CAGGTGCTCACCAAGGTCCCTGCAGATTAAATGGCGTGGCACAGAGACAATTCCTTAAATTGTCTAGTTTTCAATTGTCGCCATGGGATATATATACTCCAGGGAGCTTTCTGAAAACTTAAAAGCTGGAGAAACATAAATGGAATCGAGATGGTTGCCCCCCACACAAACAAATCATTGGGGATCAACATGTTGATCTTTCCCTGGGTTCAGATATTTTTAAAAGGTCTGTACTCTTCTCTCTTCCCCCCAACGCCAAACCTTCTAGGCTTTTGCACAAAACAAAATGCATGTGGGCGCCCCTGTTTTAACTTAAATCATCACATAACATGATGGTAATGAGATTCTCGGAAAATCATTATGTCTCTGTCAGGTAGTAATAAAATTTGAGCATTTGCCTGCGTTCTCAGCTCGCTTGGAGAATATGCAGATCTGCCAGTCCTTGTTACAACCTGATGAAAACAAAACCCATTAACGTGGGGACTGTGGATTTTAATAGGGCAGGCATGCTGGAAAGCTATCCAGGTCAGGTATAATGAAAGCATTACACCCAGCTAAATGGATAAAAAAAATCTAATTATCCTCATTATCCATCTACTGGAGATAGTCCTCAAGTTATAACCATTTCTTTTTAGTGTCAGAGTTATCACAACCCTGGAAAAGGGGATTTATGACCAGTCCCTTGCAGTTATGATTTTCTTAGCATCCGTACGGTCACGTGATCAAAATTCAGAGGCTTGGTGACTGGCCTGTACTTCTGACAGTTGCAGGGTCCCGAGGGGTGTGTGTGTGTGTGTGTGTGTGCGCGCGTGTGACGTGATTTCCTTTGGCGATCTTCTGACAAGCAAAGTCAACGGGGAAGCAGGATTGACTTAACAACCGTGTCACTAACTGGACAGCTGCAGGATCAGCTTAAAAACTGGGGCAAGAAAAGTCATAGAATGGGGTAAAATCCACTGAATAGCTAACTATCTCACTTAGTGACATAAAGTTTGGGGCTCAGTGTGGTCGTAAGCCGAGGATTGCCTGTACGCACCGCAACTAAGTGAACCAAGACAACTAAATTTGCTCCTTGAGTGTGGTGGAAGTTTTGTAGACCGAGTGTTGTAACTTAAATGGCATGTGTTGTGTTGTGTTGCAGACCACCGATTGCTTGTGGAGTTTTCTTTGCTGGATGGTAGTGACGTTTTAAGGCAGATCTTTATGTCTCATGGGTCCAGAACCGGATTCAGGGTCCCTCTAGAGCAGGGCTAGGCAACCTTGGCTCTTTTATGACTATGCTGGCTGAGGAATTCTGGGAGTTGAAGTCCACGAGTCATAAAAGAGCCAAGGTTGCCTACCCCTGCTCTAGATGATTAACAATCTAGAAGGAAAAGGAACTCAATTAGAGCCACTACTCAGCCTGGGGGGAATTTTGTTAAAATAACTGTGTTGTTATTTTCGAATGCATGATTTTCCTTGGACATGTTCCAGAAGGGAGAATAGGAATGGTCAATGAATAGTCTACACAACTCCCAAAGCCCCCAATTTTGTAACTAGGTTGATTGCTGGAATCGAATAATAAAGCTTTATTTTGCCGCTGAAAACTAAAAATCCAGGAAAACAATCTCTGCCTAGGGACTGGGGAATCTGCAATTGGGGAATTGACCTATTCCTTTTTCTGGAATCTCAGACTATATCCAGACCTGAATGAAGCAAATGGGTTTTCACACACACAAACACACACACCCTTAAAAAAAAATATCCTAGCTTGGCTTGTTGTACTGATGTAACCACAAGGTTTTTACCCATCGGATTACACGTGTTGTGCGAAAAGAACGAAGCGGCTGTTTTGTTTCGTCCTGATCAACAGCCTTCTGTTTTTACCGATTATTGTTGTATGAGAAAGAATTGATTTTATTAAAGACGATATAATAAAAAGCAATGGAATTATCTTGGAAGGAAGAGGGGAAAAAAAAAAAGAAAACTGACAGCCACCTACAGAGTTTATATTACTTTAAAAATACATCTATCAACGTCTAGCTCTGTTTTATAGAATAATTGCTGGGTTTTCCCCGAAGAAGTGGGCGAGAGAGGAATTGTTGGCTCAGTGGTAGAAAGAAGTTTACAACTTGAGTGACACCGGCCTCCATTAAAATGGTGAATGGACATCAAGCTGTCCGTCAGGGGTTTTGGTATGTTCTTGACTCAGTGGAAGGGTATGTAGGGATGACGTCGGGAGAGAGAAGCAAGAATCGTGGATCAGACAACAGATCAGAGGCAGCTGAGCCCTCAGAAAGAAAGGAATCTTGTGGACTATCCAATTGAGGTCACGCTGTGTGCAAATGAACTTAGGAGATAGGAGGAAGAGCCACAGAATAGGCCACCATCAGATAAGGAAAGGGAAGGGGTAGACCATCACAGAAATAACCTTCCTTCCTTCGTTTCTTCAACTGTGAAAGAGGGGGAAGAGATGTTCCTTCAGACATGAAAGAATGATGTTATTCCGTCTAGGTGGTCCAGACCCAGGGATACCAGCTCGATCTTTATGCTAAGGTTACTGTTAACGTCTCTTCCTCCTGTCTCCCCCAAAAAATCGTTTTCACGGACCACGACATCCAGTTTCAAAGTACCCAACGCAGCCCTGTAGCCTGATCAAAAAGATCTTGCTGAATGAGAGGATTTGATCCATTAATGTCCACGCTTTATAAATATCTCCAGGCAATGCAGGGAGACAAGAATTAATGGGCTTTGAAGTCAAAAGTCACCCAGGGCCCTCTGTCCTCTCCAAGATAAGAGATTGGAAGCTTTTCTTAAGAAAACCTGTGAAGTCAGCACTGATGGAGGGTCCAAGCAGGGCAAACTTTGATGGATGAGGGTGGGATTCTGACAGCCGCTGCAGATAAATATTCTATCTCCCCCAAGGAGAATGGCCATCAAGCCGTGGCTTGGGGCTGGGAGCTGTTAACTGCAGTGGGTTCTACAAAGCAAATGTCACCTTTGAAAATAATAAATGCCAGCCCCCTGACCCTTCTTGGCTGAAGGGTGGGCTTCCTTGGCAGTTGCTCCGAGCAGCAGACTGCAACACAGATGGCTGGAGAGGGAATTCTAACAAGGAACTTGTACAGGAATCAAAATTTGACTTGCGGCTCTCTCATTTGGGTCTCATGGATCAGGAGAGTAGAAGCAAGACAGAAGAGGCCACGGCATGGAGACGACCTTGGTGGAAGTAATTCAGAGCTATAAAACATGTCTTGGGACCAGGGTGGATCTTTCCTGATTTCCTGGAGTAGAAGATGGAGAAAGGGAGGACAATGCAGTCAGGAAGAATCCTGTAAGATTCCGTTAGGCCAGTGTTTCTCAACCTTGACAATTTTAAGGCATGTGGACTTCAACTCCCAGAATTCCACAGCCAGCATTGCTGGCTGTGGAATTCTGGGAGTTGAAGTCCACATGCCTTAAAATGGTCAAGGTTGAGAAACACTGCGCTAGGCGGTCTGCATAAAATCTAGTTCTAGTCATCCCGTGGTCTCTCTTTCTTGATCTTGGTCCATCTTGAAGGGCTGACGGTCAACCAGTCCTATCTGTTTCTTGATGTAGAACCTCCCAAAATATCAGGAGTAAGTAGTCCAGCCTCTGCTTGAAGACTTGAGAAAGGAAGAACTCACATTTTAATGCCATTGTCATGGCTTAGATGTTTAAGCACCCAAACCCAAATCTATCCTCCTACATTAAGTGTCAAGGTTGAATTGCTAAGATGCTTGTTAACTTCTGTTGTTACTCAACTTGCCATAGAAACAGGGGGGAGGGAAACCCTGGGAAAGAAACTGGGAGTTTCAAGACCCAAGGTAATCAAAAGCAGAAGTGGACAATTCCCACAACAGACAGAAAGGATGTGATCGGGCAACGTGGGGGTTATGAAAAACCATTGTTAACTAACCAGATTTTAGCGCGGGAAAACTAGAGTTGATTTTGCTTCTTCAGTGCCGGTCTGTGTACTCAATAAAGATGATCTCTTATGGCACCTCAAGACCGTAGACTTTCTTCAATATTGAATTCGCCAGCTGGACGGTTGACATTAAGCCAAACCATTGCCAAAATCCAAAGTACAACTGACAGACGTCAATGAGAGCAGATTCCAGATCATTGTTCTGCTAACCCTGCTACAGTTCCCACTTCAAACCTAGCAAACATTAATTTTTGAGGCTGGTAACCATATTCAGGATGTCCTCTGTCTCCTTGGTCGTCTTCTGCTTCCCTCCACTTCACAAAGCATAACCGTTGTAGTGCATCAGGTGTCTGCATCACGCACCCAAAGCATATGTGTTCTCTTTGCTGATTGTTGCTTTAAGGGAACTCCTGACCTTCCATTAGTTCTTGGATGGACTAATTCTTCTTTGAAATCTACAGTCCACCTTGGATCCAAGGGCATATGTGGGTGATTCAAAATACCCGTATCCCAGAAGACCAGCTGGCAAGGCTGCTTCTGGCTGTCCTTCAAATCTCTATCTCCTTCTAAGATCTTGCTGCAAAGATGACCTTGGAGAAGGAATGTGGCCATTAGCAAAACATGAATTAAGCCTTCATGAACAGGCTCCATTACGGTCATAGAATACCACTAGCTTGCTTTAGTTTCGCAAGACTCTCTATGTCTTTCTAGGTTTTTGAAGCCACTACCTGCAGACGATCCCACCAGCCACTATTTTTCTTTCAGAATTCCAAGCAACATGGGAATTGGAGTCATTTGAGAAATTCCTGATGAGAAAAAAGTAATTAATATGGAGGGAGGGAAGGGTGAGCACCTGGTTCTTAGAACGTTTGAATATGAAGGCAATTTTGCATCTGCTCTTTATGCAGTGCCTGCAACTTAAAAGTCAGGAGAAAAAAAATATCTCTTGTTTTTAAAAGCACTCTGTTCCTTTTTTTTTTTCCTTCTTCTTCTCCTGAGGGGGTATGTCCTTCATCATCTCTTTTTTATGGCCACTTGAAAAAGCACCCACGAGCCAAACAAAGGCCATTCCTAGCATTTTAGAAAATATTTATTCCGAAGAAAAAAGTTCACTCCTTACAAATTTGAACTGGAACATTCTCAATATTGCGGTACGGTTTTATATATATAAAAAAGGCTAAGATGGATGCGATAAAAACAATTTCTCTTTTCTTTTTAAATTACACAGCTAAAACTAAACAAAACAAAAAAAAAACCACCCAGCTCCTCAGGGAAGTTACTGAAGGATATACATTTAAAATGTGTCGGAGCTGGAAAACAAAAGACATCGTGGGGTATTCAAAAGTTTGGGGATTTGCGCGAATGGGTTCCTTCCAAATACTTGTTTTAACGGACAACAATTTCAGGTTTAGAAAGTTCCTCTTAGGCCTAAGGGATTCGCCAACTCAGAAATGGGTTCACTTTCACTGCAAAAAGCTCTGCAGGGAAAAAATAAAATAGCACAATTTGATCTTCTTTTTTTTTTACCAACTAGCAACCAAAACAATAACAACACCAACCCAAAAAAGAAGGATTTTTTCCTGTACATCTTTCTTACAAAAAAACCCCCGCTGTACAATGCCTGGATTAAAATGATCTTTCCCCTGTCTTGGTATCGACTGGAAAGTAAACAGTTTTAAAAAAACGGGGAAAAAAATCTTTGCACATCAAGATCCTCGAGGTGGGGATAATTCTTTTTGAAAATAAAATAAAATTGACTAGAACTCTTGGGCAAGTCTCAACTCTTGCCAGCATCTTCCCTCTTCTTGCTCACAATGTAAAATAAAGATTGATCGAGGTGCAAAGTTCAAATCTCGTCCTTCAGATGACCCCCCCCCCACTGGACTGGAGTGATGTCAGCATGATAAAGAAAGAATCTATAAACATAACTACTCATGGAAACATGATCATGCTGGAAACATCAGGGCCAGGATGGATGAAGAACCATCCGTGATGGGTGTGAAGGACCTTGTCATGTCTCAACTGGCCTTGCCATCCTTCAAGTCTTAAGGACACATCTACAGCCACGGATGCCAGGCTGGGTCCATGCGACAGAGGTTGTCTAAGCTATTAGCGGCCGCAACCAAGGTGTTGACTTTACTCTCTCCGCCTTCGAACTGAGCCAAGTTATGGAGCCGGGTCATGATGGCAGTCACAGCTTTCTGAACCAGCGACACCAGCTGCTGGCTGTCCATGTTCTCTGGCTGCCCAGCTGCTGAGAGCGGGGAGGATGTGTCCTCTTGGGTTTTCTTATGCCAAGCAATGGTTTCATCGCGCAGCACGGTTTTCAGGATGCCGTCAACCTGGAAGAGAAGAGAATAAGAGGTGGGAGGGATCTTGAAGATCTTCAAGCAGGAGACCCAATACCACTCCAGACAAATGGCTGTCCAGTCTCTTCTGGAAAACTTCCAGAGATGGAGCACCCACAACTTCTGGAGATAAGCCATTCCATTCATTAATAGCCTTCCAGAAGGTGTCCCACAACCACTGATTAATTGTTCCACTGATTAATTGTTCTCATTGTCAGGAAATTTCTCCTTATTGCTAGGTTGGTTCTCTCCTTGACTACTTTCCATCCGTTGCTTCTTGTTCTGCCTTCAGGTGCTTTGGAGACTGGGTTGACACCCCCCCCCTTCATTATGACAACCCCTCAAATATTGGAAGACTGCTATCGTGTCAGCCCTAGTCCTTCTTTTCATTAAACCAGACACACCCAATTCCTGCAAACATTCTTTAATCTCCATCTTTGTTGCTCTTCTCTGCACTCTTTCCAGAGCCTCAACATCTTTTTTGTATCATGGTGACCAAATCTGGACGCAATATGCCAAAAGTGGTCTTACCCAAGGCATTATAAAGTGGTACTAACACTTCCCTTGATCTTTGATTCCTATGAAGGTGGGAAAAAGATGAGCCAATTCCACTTAGAAGGCAGATTAGAGCAGGAATGGGCTATTAATTTTTCCAAGGAGCCACAGGAGAACCTTGAGCTGTTGTGGAGGGCTGAACCCAAAGGGCTGTGAAGAGGTGTAGGCATACACACACGCACCTATGTAAGTCTTTTACATATGGCCTCCTTCAAAATAAAAACAATTCACGTGGACCAGGGAGGGCCATATGTGGCTCAGAAGTCATAAAATGCCCAGTTCTGGATTAGAACGATGGTGGAATTTGGGACCATTCTGGAAATACTCTTTTAGGACTTTCTAGGCCTTTATTTGAACTCTTTATGTCAACAAGTTCACTTAAGAATAAGCCAAATAAGAAGAGGGTTTGAATGCACAGTCTGGACCAAGCCAGAACGACTGAAGCCGGAGGTTTTATACTTCAGAAACATGGGAAGTGCTAAAATATTTTAATCGGATCCTCTTTTCAAGAGTAGGGTGGGGAGGCTGCATTTATGATCATTTAGCCAGGATAAGAATCATAATTTATTACAATTTATGATAATTTATCCTGGGCGGTCATCACAATCTGTTACAATTTAATGCTAATTTGGCACAATTTATGATAATGTCTCCGGGGTGATCATCGTAAATTATTATAAATGTAAATTTCTTTATTGTGGTCATTAACTGGCAGGACCGAACTGATAATTTAAATATCCAGAATATACAATTCTGTATTGACAACATCAGGATAGTTGCGATAGCTTATCTGCCTCTACAGATAAAATATGGCTCTGCAGATGGATTACTCTCTTTTATTCTTGTTAAACTTAATTTCAATGCTTTTAATACCCTTATGTTTATGTCTTTATACAACTGTAAGCCGCCCAGAGTAACTTGACACAATGATACGGGTGGCATATAAATTTAATAAATAAATAGAAACTAAAGAGAACCAGTTTGGTTAAGGTGCCAGACTAGAAACCAGGAGATGGTGAGTTCTAGTCCCACTTTTGATGTGAATGCTAGCTGGGTGACTTTGGGTCAATCACCAGGAGACGGTGAATTCTAGTCCTGCCTTAGCCATGCAAGCCAGCTGGGTGACTTTGGGCCAATCACTAGGAGATTGTGAGTTCTAGTCCCACCTTAGCCATGCAAGCCAGCTGGGTGACTTTGAGCCAATCACCAGGAGACTGTGAGTTCTAGTCCCGCCTTAGGCATGAACATCAGCTGGATGACTTTGGGCCAATCATCAGGAGACGGTGAGTTCTAGTCCCACCTTAGCCATGCAAGCCAGCTGGGTGACTTTGGCCAATCCCTCTCTCTCAGCCCAACCCACCTCACAGGATCATTGTTGTGAGGAAAACAGGAGGAGGAAGGTGTGCTGGATATGTCCACTGCCTTACGTTACTTCTAAAAATAATGAAGGCAGCACACAAATAAATAATAAATCGATCCATTTAAAATCAATGCATCAGTAAATTTTCTGGCAGCTGACGGAGCGACCGGGTGCCCCCGTCCTTGTCCACCCTGACCCATTACACGCTTACCTTGAAGTTTGGCTGAGCAAAACAACGAGCCACAGCAATCATGGATGCTGTGAGGGGCCCAGAGACCCCGATGGTGGTCAGGAATTCCGAAATGTTTGGGGTGAGCCGGAACGGGACGGGACGGTTGGCGTCCAGATCCCCTGTAGCATCGTTGATGTCAAACCGGAAGTAGGCCACGTTTAATTTGCCTGTATCCTAAGCATTGGGACGACACACAAGCACAACGTTGGAAGGAGCGACAGAGAAAAATGGGAAGAAAATTACTCAAAAACAATAATGCACAGCCTGGGGCCACCCGGGGCTGCCTCCCAAAATCTCCTGGGTGGCCCCCAGAGGCTTCCAAAATTAATTGTTAAGAGACAATGTGCAGGAAGTCCTCAATTTACAACCGTTTGTATCGTGGCCGAAGTTACAGCAGCATCGAGAAAAAGTGCATGAAGACTGTTTTTCTTGCACTCTTACATTTTTGTTTATTTTGAGGAAGAAAATGCCAGAAAAAAGAGATAGTTATTTGGTATCTCTGTTTCCCACCTTGTTTTTCCTCCCCTCCCTTAACCTTTTCTTGCAGGGGGGGTCACGTGGCCCCCTAGAGATTAAGACTAAAAAAAGAGGGGCTCCCCCTATTCAATTCCATTTGACGTTTGCGATTACATTCATGCAAAGGCTTTTTCTAACACACACACACACACACACACACACACACACGCGCATGCGCGAGGCCGGTCAGGATCGGCACAGAGAGGTTAACAAGAAATTCAGCTTTGAACACAGCCCTCTATTAACCGGCGTATAAAGATGACAGGTATAAACTTTCTCAGCGAGGTATCAATCCTAAATAATGGCTTCTTTTGTTGTGCTGCTGGATGGGTCAGCCTGAGGGGGTGGGAGGGGGGGGAACTGCTCTTGTTTCTGCTTTTTTTTTCTCTATGCAAGAATTTTCAATGTTCCACCTGACAATGCAGCTGAAAAGGGATGGTTGAGAACTGGAAGGGGGAGGCAGAAAGGAGGAGGAGGAGGAGGAGGAGGAGAACGACGACTGAAGGGTCCTGGGTGCTCTTTGAGCTTGTGGTTTTCTTGCAGATGTTTCATTACCAAACTAGGTAGCATCATCAGTGCTAGAATGGAGTGGGTTTTGCAGGGGGGGAGGAGGAGGAGGCCTGTGGAGTCCTTGATGGTCTCTGAGCTTGGTTGTTTTCTTGCAGACGTTTCATGACCCAACTGGGTAACATCATCAGTGCTAGAACAGAGTGTGGTTTATGGAGAGGAGGAGGAAGATTGTGGGGTCCTTGGTGCTCTCTGAACCTGTTTTTCTTGCAGACACTTCATTACCAAACTAGGAAACATCATCAGTGCTAGAAGAGAGTGGGGTTTATGGAGAGGAGGAGGAGGAGGAGGAGGAGGGATCCATTAAAATTTCAGCAAACTCAGCATCTTTTCACCTTAGGAGCAAGTCAAGGAAAAGACAAAAGTCTTCTCATCTTCTTCCCAACCTCTTCACCAGCAATGGCCAGAGAAGACATCGGAGTTTCCTTCTTCTGCGAGGAACAGACGTGCGGTAACAGGTGCTCCTCGCCTTATGGCCACCACTCAACCCAACACTTCCGTTGCTAAGCAAGACAGTCGCTAAGCGAGATTTGGCCCCATTTTACACCCTTCCTTGCCCCAACTGTGAAGTGAATCCCTGCACTAGTTAAATCAGGGACAGGCTTGATTAAGTGGACCTGGCTTCCCCCGTTGACTTTTGCTTGCAAAAGGGGATCACGTGACACACACCCCCCCGGGACACACTGCGACCATCATAAATAGGAGTCCGTTGCCAAGGGCCTGCATTGTGATGGTGCGGCCACAGGGGAGGCTGCAACGGTCGTGTGGGGGGAAAAGATCAAGTCGCTTTTTTTTTCCAGCGCCGCTGTAACTTCCAACGGTCGCTAAACAAAATGTTGTCGAGGTATGTATGGGGGGGAGGGTCACTGCACGGGTCACTTCTCCTAGGTAAGGTCCATCAAAACCTACCTGAGCAACCTGCAGCATCTCCGGGTTGAGTCGGTTCAAATGGAAGACGAATTCCGCAAACCCGATCAGCGCCAGCTGGATTGTGAACATCTTCCGGAAGGTCCAGTAGTCGGTGGCGTTGGGGAAGGTGTGAAGGGCCCACTCCTTCAGCATGCTGCGTGGCACCATGTTGCCCTGAACTTCTTTCAGAATATCCCGGAGGACCTGAGACGGGAAGAGTGAAGTTGGGTCAGGAGGTGGGCTGGTGACGTTGGCTGGTGTAGGCCAGGGGTCTTCAAACTTGGCCCTTTTATGACTTGTGGGCCTGGCTGAGGAATTCTGGGAGTTGAAGTCCACAAGTCCTAAAAGGGCCAAGTTTGAAGACCCCTGGTGTAGGACAATGCTTCTCAATCTGTACTCCTCAGACCCCTGCAGGCTGCAATGTCATCACAGGGGGGGGGGTCCGCAAAGGCTGGAGAAATGTTATGATTTAAATCTTAAGTCTTGGGGGGGGGTCCCTGGCCCTGGTCTTTTTCCCTATCGCTTTTGGGGTGGTCAAATCTTAACTGTTCAATGCGGTGTTTTTCTGCAACTTTAAGATGGGTGGACTTCAATTCTCAGCTTGTTGAGAAAGCGTGGCTGCCGAATGGCTTCCCCATGCTGTCTGGGGAATCCTGGGAGTTGGTCCACCCATCTTCACCATTCCCAAGATAGAGAAACACTGGATCTTCTGGTCCTTCCAACTCTACCCTTCATGGCTGGCTGGAGAACCTCTACAGGTTTTTTGCTCCCACACCTTCTGCGGGCAAGCTGGGTCTCCCGTGTAAATATCTATAAGTCACCCGTAATGAATGACTACAGCCTGAACGGGCTTAATTAATTGGAGTTGGAAATAAAGAGGGGAGCTGCTTGAAAAGAACAATCACTACACTTGCTCAAATTAAATTATTTAGAGAGACAAAATTTCTGCGAGCCGAAGGCAAGTGCCTGGCAAAAAAAAAAAAAAAGAAGAAGAAAAGGAGACAGATGTTCCAAGTCACTTGATTTTTTTTAAGGCTGGGCAAAGAATGAAAAGGTTCCTTATTAGCAGGTGAACTTTCGAGATACGGGGCACCTGGAATTAAAAATGGGGTCAAGGACAACTTTTGGCCCGCCTATAAATTTTAAACCTTTTAAGCTAACCATTTCTGATCGGAAATGGATGAGCAAGGATGGTAATGGAAGATTTAATTTGTACCTCCTCGGGAAGAGTCAAACTGTGTTTTAGTCAGAGGAAGGCGATTAAGGGAAAGGCGTGGGAACAGAGTTTAAATGCCAACCGTAAAAGACCAATCTCTTGAGTAAACAACACTAGGACATAGAATAACAGGGCTGGAGTAGGCCATCTACTCCAACCTCCTGCTCAAGCAGAAAAACCTATACAATTTCAGAAAAATGGCTGTCCATTCTCTTCTTAAAAACTTCCAGTGTTGGAGCATTCACAACTTCTGGAGGCAGGCTGTTCCACTGGTTAATTGTTCTGACTGTCAGGAAGTTTCTCCGTAGTTCCAGGTTGCTTCTCTCCTTGATGAGTTTCCACCCGTTGCTTCTTGTCCTGCCTTCAGGTGCTTTGGAGAATAGCTTGACTCCCTCTTCTTTGGGGCAGCCCCTGAGAAACTGGGAAGACTGCTATCCTGTCCCCCCTCATCCTTCTCTTCATTAAACTAGACAGACCCAATTCCAGCAACCGTCCTCCCTGTGTCTGAGCCTCCAGTCCTTAATCGTTTTTGCTCTTCTCTGCACTCTTTTTAAAATCTTAGTCTTCTTTTTGAATGGCGGTAACCAGAACTGGACACTAAGTGGACAGCATTTTCTGGGATGCAGTACCTGATGGCTGGCCTGGGTCCCTCGTGCCTGGACGGTCGCCAGCCGGTCGTAGTAGCGAGAAATTGGGCTGTCGTGCTCAATCCCTTTCTTGGCGCAGCGTTGCTTGTAGATCTCCACCAGGGAGAGAGAAGACGGATTGTCCTCCACAAGACGCATCTGGGGAGAGACAGCCACAACGCGGGGAACTGGAGAAGGGAAATACGAGGGGGGCAAAAAAAAAGGAGCCATTCATTTCGTGGAAAACGGTAGGAAGGAGCACCACTAAGAAATCCAAAACATCCTAGCATGTGTCCATCTACCTTCAAATCTTGTCCAGAAGCCTCAGTAATCTTTCTTCTAATCTCAATTATGCCCTTGCTGGTAACCTATGGCCATAACTTTTAAGCTGAAGCACTCGACGTAGCTATTTTGTGCCTGAAATGTTTGCGCACACCCTCTTGCATCCGTGACAGCCAACAGCCTATTCCATATCCTAGCCCAGGGGTACCCAACTTTGACAACTTAAGACCTGTGGACTTCAACTCCCAGAGTTGAAGTCCCAGAATTCTGGGAGTTGAATTCCGGGAGCTGAAGTCCACAGCTATGTGAGGAATTCTGGCAGCTGAAGTCTCAGAATTTGGGCAGTTGAATTCTGGGAGCTGAAGTCCACAGCTAACTGGGGAATTCTGGGAGTTGAAGTCTCAGAATTTTGAGAGTTAAATTCTGGGAGTTGAATTCTGGGAGTTGGAAGTCCACAGGTCTTAAAAGTTGCCAAGGTTGGACAGCCCTGACCTAGCCTCTGAGTCGAGCAGATTTTTCACGCAAAATCAGGCAAGCTTTGTCCACCCGCAAAATCACAGCTACAATATTGAGTTGATTGATCCACTGCAGATGCTGTTAAAAAAAAAAATCCAGTCAGCACATTTTTCAAGCTTTTCTGACGTTCTACTGGAAACCTTACAACCATGACAGACAACAGCTGCAACATGGCACACCCCCTTTTGTGGGAGAGAAAAGTGAGGAACGTGAGGCCACCGTGTGCCCGTGCATGCTTTGTGATGGGTGGACAACTGTTTCTCTTGTCAAGGCTTGGACTGATCCCAAGGTAATTTCTTGAGGAGGGAGAAACAATGGGTGGAGACTGAAAGAGAGACAAAGGACTGGGAGAATAGCCCGTTTAAATAAAAGCTACAGTATTTCATCAACCATTATGCAGAAGCTGAGATGATTAAGTGAAGGGCATTGTGATCTTTGGGCATCCCTCACAGCATTCTCAAGAGCTCGAGAAAGAGAAAGAAAGAAAGAAAGAAAGAAAGAAAGAAAGAAAGAAAGAAAGAAAGAAAGAAAGAAAGAAAGAAAGAAAGAAAGAAAGAAAGAAAGAAAAGAGAGAGAGAGAGAGTGCGCTCACAATAAGACCACCCAAAATTGACAATCAACCTGGCAAAGATTAAGTCTGAACAAGCTAACATATAACTCTGGGAAGGATGCACGGTTCCCTGCCTCGGTTGCTAGACCATGCTACTGGAGATCTGAAGGCCACTAGCTGATTGCAAATAGGTTATGTTATAGTTCAAAGATGTATTGCTCAAGCCTATACACAAGAATCTGGTCATTATTAAATTGGTGCCAGATTAACGGTCATGGAAGTCAAGAGGGGTTGGACTTGAACCATTTGTGGCCACGTTAAGAACTCTAGGTTGATGACACACTTAACTCCACCCTCCCCAGCTCTGCCGGCTCTTTTCTTACACTGCTCTTAGGCAGGACGGAAGGGTGATTTTTGTACAGATTAACAACCCACGTTTGCTTTCCTTAGTTAAGGCATGAAATGTTGGTCTTCTGCTCTAAGCAATGCGGTCATTAAATGAGTCATCAGCCTTCACAAGGTCTACCTTCCTCTTTATGGACCCTGCCAGATTGCTGTTTCTTTAAAGACAGGCTTAGAAAAGCTACATCGGGTTTTTAATTTGCCAAGCCTCAGATAGCCTAAATTGGGCTTTGTTGCAAATAAATAAGAGCTGTCAAAATTTGGGTGCAGAAAAGAGAAAGGGGGGGGGGAGAGGAAAAAAGCATTAAAGTAACAATACCTCCCATCTCAAATGGGTTGTTAAAAATGACTCTGATTGAAGTATTTACTTCCCCAGCCTATTCTTGGTGGGTGCTTGTTTGTTTGTTTTTTCCTTTTATTATACGCAAAGCGTGCGACAGGCCAATATATGTATAGTCAGCCATCAGTAAACTCACAGAATGGTTAAAAAAAAAACCTATAATAAATAAAAGCCTCCAGAACCAAAAGGTTTTGTTGAATGGTATAATCAAATATAATTGAGAAGCGAAAAATAAAATAAAATAAAAGACGACGCACACAAATTGTTAACGGAAGAGAAATCTGACATTTTAACAGAGCGGTAGGAATGAACAATGCCAGCATTGTGTTATTTTGCCAACACAGTGACCGTTAGGTTCTGCTGCTAAGCAAGACGCATATTAAGTCAATCATGCCCAATTTTATGACCATTTATGACCAGCCCAACTTCCTACTCTGTAAGATATACATCTCTGAAAGAGGATCGCCCAAGGAAGAAGACATCACCGATTCACAGGACAGCCTGTTCCACTGATTGACTCAGCTTGTATCATCCGGTTGTTCCTCTGGAAGGGACCTTGGAGGTCATCTAGTCCAACCCCTGCTGAGGCAGGAAACCCTATACCAGGGGTAGGCAACCTTGGCTCTTTTATGACTTGTGGACTTCAACTCCCAGAATTCCTGTCAACATGGCTGGTTCAGGAATTCTGGGTACTGAAGTCCACAAGTCACAAAACAGCCAAGATTGCCTACCTCTGCCATATACCATTTCAGACAAATGGCTGTCCAGTCTCTTCTTTAAAAACCTCCAGTGATGGAGCACCCACAACTTCTGGAGGCAGGTTGTTCCACTGGCTAATTGTTCTAACTGTCAGGAAGTTTCTCCTTAATTCTAGGTTGCTTCTCTCCTTGAATTTGGGGAGTTGAAGTCCACAGTCATAAAAGGGCCAAATTTAAAGACCCCTGGTATAAGGTCTCGTGCCTTGAGCAGCAGGTTGGACTAGAAGACCTCTGAGCTCCCTTTTCCATCCCTATCTTCTATGTTCTGACTTTGGCCTGTCCTTCTCACAGTTCACTGAACAGAGAACAATCTCCCCCCCCCACTCCAGTGTTAAAGCATTTCTGGTGCCCCTCAACCTTTTCAAACTCACCAGTGAAGAAAAGGTGTCTCTTGGTGGTCTCTTTTCTCTTTTCTAAACAAGGGTTCAGGAGGCGGAGAAGCTGCAGGACGCGTTCCTCTCGACGCGACTCGGTCAAGCAAGCATCGTTCATGACAAGGTAGGGGTAGATCTTCCCATTGTGGCCTCGGATGTAGAGTCTTCGGGCTGCTGTGTTGTGTTTCTGGACTATCTCTACTCTGGGCATAAATCTATCGGGGGGGGGGAGATAAAAAGCAGCTGATTTTTCCAGATTCTTAAAGCTTCCTTTTTTCTCTCCTTTTGAGATGAAAGCCAGATTTTTTTTAAAAAAAGAAAAAAAAGAGAGGAGGAATTCTATTACCTTACTTAAAACCGCTAACAATAGGAAGCCCATTATGCCGCTCGACGAAACACCGGCATTATGAATTTTTGTAACGATACAACCTTTTAAGCAACTGCGTTTTTCTATTACCGGGGGCTCAGCTGAGATTAGTGTTTTCTGTGAAAAGCTGCCGCGGATACACACTGTCCTTTTGTCTCCTCCAAACAGAGTGACAAAACTTCTTGAAAACACACACGGGGGGGGGGGGGGAAGGAGCACGCTGGAGCACGCAATCGGAAACGCTTTTCTGAGCCAGAAACCACACAACCCCTGAGAGGATGCTTGTCCTGAGCACCAGCCTTACTGAACTGTGGTCTCCTCAAGTCCACAATTGTGGACTACGGGATCCCTGAGTCGCAGCCTGCTTTTAAGCTTGTCCCACGTTGGAAAAAGACTGGTCTATATACTAGGTAGTCCTTGACTTACAAATATTTATATAGTGGCCGTTTGAAGTTACAACGGCACTGAAGAAAGATTTACAACCGGTTTCCACTCTTATTTTGCACATCGTGAGTACTAGAAAGAAGCAGAGTTTGCTCTGTTTATAGACAAGTCCCTTCTAGCACTGATGATGTTCCCTAGTTGGGTCATGAAACGTCTGCAAGGAAACCACCAAGCTCAGAGAGCACCAATCACCCCACAGTCTTCCTCCTCCTTCACTTTCTCCTCCTCCCCCACTCCCTTCTAGCACTGATGTTACCTAGTTTGGTAATTAAATGTCTGCAAGAAAAGCATCAAGCTCAGAGTACGCCAAAGACCGCCCCCCCAGTCTTCCTCTTCTTCTCCTCCTCCTCCTCCACTCCGCCAACTCCACTCCCTTCTAGCACTGATCATGTTACCTAGTTGGGTAATTAAATGTCTGCAAGAAAACCCATCAAGCTCAGACAGCACCAAGGATCCCAGAGGCTTCCTCTTGCTCTTCCTTCTCCTTCCCTTTCTCCTCCTCTTCCATTCCGCAACCCCCACTCCTTTCTAATACCGACAGCATTACATAGTTGGGTAATGAGACGTCCGCCAGAAAACAACCACCCAGCTCAGAGAGCACCAAGGATCCCACAGTTCAACCCTGAGCAACACAGATCCTCTTTTATCAGAATCTTCTATCCTCAAAAGCATCTTGCTCTTCAATCCACGACTTGAAAAGATTTCCAATGAATCCATTAAAAGAAAGCTTGGAGAACAGTATCCAGGATCACAACACTAGAACCAAGTTCTTCATTTTACCTGCCTTCCCTTACCGGGCAATTTTGATGTAGTAGTGTGTTGGTTTGGGCATAAGAAATTCTCCTGGAATTTCCACGTCTGCAGTCTGGGCAGAGAAATTGCTAAGAAAACGGCACTTTTCCTCAATGAGAAAAAATTTGGGTAGCTGCTTGGTTTTGGCCTCCAGGATTTTGATCCACTTCTTCAGTTTCGAAATGAGATTGTGAAGTTTCATGGAGCCCGGCACACTAAAGTCGAAATCTAGAAGAGAGAAGGGGGGGAAAAAAAGAAGAAAACCATTTGTGAAAAACTAGGATGGAAAGCATTAAGATATTAGTGATGCAGACTCCGTTAAGTTGATTTTCTGAATATTATTCCCTTTGCCTCACCTTCCTACCAGTTTAAAAGGATGTCCCAAATGAAAAGGGTAAGAAAACATTAACAAAACCCCAAAAAACAAGAACATTGTACATCTTCAGAGGTGTAGGAAATCTGGGAACATGTAGTTTTCTCACCAAATTTTTAACGGCTGTATGATTTCTGTGTTGACTTTATTGTTCTGAATCTTGATGTTTTGTTAAAAGTAGCTTAGCGCCCTGACTCCTTGCTGGAGCGGAAAAGCGGAGTATAAATCCTACGCAATCAAGTTGGTCAAGCTTTTAAGATTTTTTGGTACTTTGTCCTCTAACCCAAGGTTTAAAAGAGGTAAGCCACAGTGACGGAAGATGGTCTGTTCCAACTTACACAAGAGTCAAAACGGAATACAAACGAAATTAACTTCATGTCTTTTTGACATTTTGTGGGTGTTACTGGGGTTGCTCTACTAAAAAATCTAAATATTTCGTTCTGTGTTCACTGCATAAAAGTAGCTAGATGGTTCCCTTCCAGGTCAACAACAAAACAATAATAATAAAGTTGGAAGGGACCTTGGAGGTCATGTAGTCCAACCCTCTACTCAGGCAGGAAACCCTATACCATTCCAGACAAATGGCTGTCCAGTCTCTTCTTAAAAACTTCCAGTGTTGGAGCATTCACCGCTTCTGGAGGCAGGTTGTTCCACTGGTTAATTGTTCTAACTGTCAGGAAGTTTCTCCTTAGTTCTAGGTTGCTTCTCTCTCTGATTAGTTTCCATCCGTTGCTTCTCGTCCTGCCTTCAGGTGCTTTGGAGACTAGCTTGACTCCCTCTTCTTTGGGGCAGCCCCTGAGATATTGGAAGACTGCTATCATGTCCCCCCTCGTCCTTCTCTTCATTAAACTAGACATACCCAATTCCAGCAATCGTTCCTTATATGCTTTAGCTTTCAAAAGGTAAATCAAAAGGCAATTTCGTTTATAGAACGAAATATTGCTCTACAGAAACATATTATCATTTTTTGGGGGGGGAAATACGCCCAACGTTCAGATTTGTTTAGAGGAAATCAAATCTCATTCATTCCTTCATTCAATTCAACTTATAAGCTGCCCAATCGATACAGACTCATACCAGTTTAGAAAACTTTATTTAAAAAAAAAAAAAAGAAACAAAGAAAGAAAACTATCTCTAACAGTTAAATCAGGACAACAGCAATAGATGAGTTGTTGGTGGCACGGCAATTATCTTGCCTAAAGAGAGAGTTGCCAATATCTGCCTTTCAAGACTTTTGACAGCACGTATATTTTCTATTTTGGTCTGGCATTTTCATAGACTGTTCCTAAACAGCAATTGACAGGCAGTGACACTGGATCATTTTAATCTCCCCCCCCCCACCGTCCTAATATTATTTTCATGGTATGTCTCGCACTTTGTATTCCATTTGTCCCTAAGTGTCTGGTTTTTATTACCCCACAATCATGTTTAATAACGTGTGGTTCTGTATTATTAGTCGCTTTGCTGTTAACCGCTTTGGAAGTGTTATATCAAATTTAATTGAAAGAGGAAATCCGTGGATGGCGAAAGACTGACTTCGGTATCTTTCAAGTATTTTTATTTCCAAATCCGCCCACTGTGTTTAAGTAACAAAAACTGGTGACTGGGATTTGTTAAGCTCCACCTTAAGCCAAACGGAAATCTTTATTTTCAGGGCCATCCTATAAAAAAGGTCCAATGGGTAACTGCAAAGGTAACTGCTCCTTAAAGAGAAATGTATATTTAATAAAAGGTAAAGCATCTTTTATCTGGAACGCTCCTTCTCTTCCTCCTGCTTCTGCTTCTGTTTCTCCTCCTTCTGCTTCTCCTCCTCCTCCTGCTCTTCCTCCTTCTGTCTCTCCTCCTCCTGCTTCTTCTGCTTCTCCTCCTCCTTCTCCTCCTCCTGCTGCTTTTCTTCTTCCTTTTCCTTCTGCTCCTCCTCCTTTTTCTGCTCCTCCTCCTCCTCCATTTACTTCTCCTTCTGCTTCTCCTCCTCCTGCTTCTTTCTGCCTCTCCTCCTCCTGCTTCTTCTCCTACTGCTCCTACTCCTCTTCCTTTCTGCCTCTCCTCCTCCTCCTCCTCCTGCTGCTTCTTTTCCTCTTCCTTTTCCTTCTGCTCCCCCTCTTTTTTCTGCTCTTCCTCCTCCTCCTCCATTTACTTTTTCTGCTTCTCCTCCTCCTCCTGCTTCTCTTCTTTCTGCCTCTCCTCCTCCTGCTCCTTTTCCTTCTCCTCCTCCTCCTTTTTCTGCTTCTCCTCCTCCTCCTCCTCCCTTCCTCCTTCTGTATTACTCAAAAACAAGACATTAAAAAGAGTTGCTAAGCAGCATCCAGCAGCTGAATTCCCCTCTTTTCAAGTTCCAATCTTTTAATCCCTTTAGCAGGGACTAAGACAGACGATCAGCAGTCACCAAGTTTTCAGTACATCTTCCACCCGCTCTGCCCCCCCCCCCCGCAGCCTTCAAAACTGCAGAATGACATCCATACACCGTGTTGTTCCCCCGTGCAATGCCCTCTAAATGTGCTTGACAATCTCCTCCATCATCCCCAGCCGGCCCAGAGGGGACCGAAGATTGAAACAGGCTGCCATCTCAAAACTAAAATTCTTCAGCCTTGCTCCGAAGTATGACACATACATCAAAATAAACCCAATCATTTTTGCTGGGGGGGAAGGGGGAAATAAATAAATAAAAAGAGGGCCTGTGCCATTTTGAGGCGGCTTCAGCGCATCTCTATCGAACAGCCTCCTCGTTCAATGCTGGTCTTACCTGAGACAGGTGAGGCACGAAAGAGATGTTCTCTCTCCTTCCCTCCCTCCCTTTCTCCCTCTCTCTCCCTGTCTCCTCTCTCTGTCCCTTTCTCTCTCCCGCTCTCCTTCCCTCCCTCTCCTCTCTCCCTTTCTCCCTCTCTCTGTCCCTCTCTCTCCTCTCTTTCTCTGTCCGTCTCCCTCTCTGACCCTCCCTCTCCTCTCTTTCTCCCTCTGTCCCTTTCTCTCCGTCCCTCCCTCCCTCTCCTTTCTCTCTCTCCCTTTCTCCCGCTCCCTTTTTCTCTCCCTCTCTCCCTCTCGTGGGTTTTGCGTGGCACCAATCCATTTATTCCCTTAGATTTATGTTCTCCTTTTCGATCGGAGGACTGTCAAGCTAGTGGATAATGCATTGTAATACTCAACACACTTGCGCCTTGCGCAACACATCTACCAAGAGGCCACTGATCCAAAAACACATTTTGCGGGATGCCCGTTAAGAACGAGATGGATGGCTCGTATTCATCTTGCCATAGATTTATTGTACCAAACGCTTCTTTTTTTCTCTCTCTCAAAAAAGAAAAAGAAAAGTGCCCCAAATCTTTTCCAGCATCTCTTGGGTCGATGATTAAGGATAGGAAAAAAAAAACAAAAAACCCTCAACTTTAATTCCAAGTCTACCCTCTAGTGAACAACTGGAGTAAACGGCTTGGCAGACGGGTGAGAAAGACGCAACGCGCCGTTCGCGTTGGGTAATTTCGGCTACCTGAAGCGCAGAAATATGTCCCCCAATGGGGAAATACAACCTCTTTGCCAACAACAATATGCAAAATCAGAAGGTAGGGGGAATCAGCAGTATTGTTGTTATATTTTTAAGTGTGTCATTCTTTGCACAGTAAGGATTCGTTTTTCCTCGACATAAACGCTTATTTTAATTTGCTCTCTCTTCTTCCGGGTTCTTGTTTTGGCTTTGCGAGGCCGGACGAGAACGGCGAGAGACGACACAATTAATGAGGTGCCTTTGTTCGTGCCAAAAAGGCTTCACACTGGGCTTGTCTAACGACATCCAGACTTTTTTTTTTTTAAAGGGCAAAAGATTGCCTTTTTTTCAGCAATGTGAACGGCGCAAGCAGCGGTTGCCCGTTCTGCCGTCATTTTAATGAGATTAGAAATCAAATCTCTTTCGGCATCAATCTGAAATACAATCTTTGTTACCTGAGGTGGGTTGAAGGGCTTCGGATGGAACAAAAAAACCAGGACAAACCAGTTGAAGGAAAAGTACATTTTGGATTCAGCTCTGAAAACGCTGAATAACGGATGGGTGGATTAAGAGCTTTTGCGCTGGGAGGAAAAAAAGAAACTGCAGGGGGGGTCCTCCACTTACCACCCTAAATGAGCCCCAAATTGGATAGGATAGGATAGGATAGGATAGGATAGGATAGGATAAATATTGGATTATAGAATAGAATAGAGTAGAGTAGAGTAGAGTAGAGTAGAGTAGAGTAGAGTAGAGTAGAATAGAGTGTAGAGTGTGTAGAATAGAATAGAATAGAATAGAATAGAATAGAATAGAATAGAATAGAATAGAATAGAATAGAATAGAATAAATATTGGATTATAGAATAGAATAGAATAGTGTAGAGTGTGTAGAATAGAATAGAAAAGAATAGAATAATGGGAATAGAATAGACTAGACTAGACTAGAATAGAATAGAATAGAATAGAATAATGGGAATAGAATAGAATAGAATAGAATAGAATAGAATAGAATAGAATAGAATAGAATAGAATAGAATAGAATAGAATAGAATAAATATTGGATTATAGAATAGAGTAGAGTAGAGTAGAGTAGAGTATAGAGTAAGTAGAGTAGAATAGAATAGAATAGAATAGAATAGAATAGAATAGAATAGAATAGAATAGAATAGAATAGAATAGAATAGAATAGAATAGAATAGAATAGATCATCAGTGCTAGAAAGGAGTGGAGTTTGCAGGGAGGAGGAAGAGGAGGAGGAGGAGGAGGAGGAGGACTGTGGAGTCCTTGGTGTCCCTGAGCTTGGTAGTTTTCTTTCAGATGTTTCATTACCAAACTAGGTAACATCATTAGTGCTACAATGGAGTGTAGTCTGCTCTCTGTTCATATACAAATTGGCCCGCCCTTTCAGTACTAAATTAATACTGGACTCAAGAATCAAGAAGTAAACAATACCCCCCACAATCAAGATCCTCTTATCAACTCAGAGAAACAATCAAACAATAAACAGCCCAATCGAGGAACTACGAAGAACATTCCCGCCAACAAGGACAGGGCAGTGACTTTTCCAGTGCTCTTGTCGCTTCGAACTGTCAATGGAGGACTCTCTGTACAACTGGCGCAAAGACATTATAAACCCAGAAGATCTGGATCGGCTGCAGAACAGTACGGTGATTAAAATGCCATTAATCCAGCAGCAGGGAGACGCTAGTCCCGTTTCACATTAATCAAAAATTTTATTTTCTGCAAAAACGAATTAAAATTCCACAAGTCCAAACCTCAAGCCTGCTGACCGACTTAATGGCAGCCATTTCCCCTCCATCTTTCAACATTAATTCAAGGTCCAACTTTTTAACAGATTACATCCAAATCTCATCTTGGGCGAAGTAAAATGGCTATTTTCATCTTAATTAGTTGGGCCTAATCGTAATTGAAAAATAAAATATTCTGACTCCACGGAAGAGATCAGAAAGAGGCTTTTCATTATCGTCCCTCGGAAAAAGGATCCTTTCGCCATCCTGAGGGCTTCAAGAATTCTATTTCAGAAATTTAAGGAAATCTGCCTCTCTGGACAGTTGTTGTTTCCCCCCCCCCAAAAAAAATCACACAACTACAACAAGTCCCAAATTGTGTCTACAGTATTTGAAAATGTGAAAAATGCATGTTTTAAACCAGTGTTTCCCAAACTTGACAATTTTAAGGCATGTGGACTTCAACTCCCAGAATTCCACAGCCAGCGTTGCTGGCTGTGGAATTCTGGGAGTTGAAGTCCTCATGCCTTAAAATTGTCAAGTTTGGGAAACACTGTTTTAAACAAACAAACAAATAAATATGAACTACCTATATTTATCAAAGGTTTCCTTTTTCCTGCTGCTTCCGCCACCCCTTCCTTCCAAACTAAGAAGAGACAATATCCTGCTTCAAAGACAAATTCCAAAATTTGGGGAGCCCTTGGTTCATTTAAAACTGGGGTTGAGAATGGCGACAAAAAAAACCACCCCCCAAAACTCAATTCCCGGTCCATCGAGAAGTAACTCACCGGTCGTGAATTGCCCCTTCAGTTTCTGAAAGACGGGATCCTGAGCCGTGGCCTGGGCCCTCCTGGCAAGGGATTCGGAAGCCGCACTGGAAAACATGGTGGAGACGTTGGAGACGTTCTCCAGGCCCACTCCGAAGGTGCTGACCAGCTTCTTGACAAAATTCAGGGTGTGGGGGGTGATTTTGGCATCGGAAACAGCCCCGCTCTTCTCAAAGGCCACCGAGTAGCACTTGGCCAGGCCTTGCTGGAGTTGTCGGAGCACCTAAAGGTGGGAAAAGGTCAGAGAGAGGGGGAGGGAGGGAGAGAGAGAAAGAGAGAGGGACAGAGAGGGAGAGAGGGAGGGACAGAGAGAAGGGGATAGAAAGGGAGAGAGAGAAGCAAGAGGGAGGGAGGGAAGGAGAGAAAGAGGGAAGGAGAGAGAGAGTAAGGAGAGAGAGGAGAGAGGGAGGGAGGGAAGGAGAGAAGGAGGGAAGGAGAGAGAGAGGGATAGAGAAGAGAGAGTAAGGAGAGAGAGGAGAGAGGAGAGAGAGGGAGGGAAGGAGATTGAGAAAGGGAGAGAGAGGGAGACGGACAAAGAAAGGGAGGGAGAGAGGAGAGAGAGGGACAAGAGGGAGAGAGAGGGAAAGAGAGAAAAAGAGAGAAAAAGAGAGAGAGTTGTGTAATGAAAATACAAAACAAACCCACAGCACAATATTGCAAGAGGTCAAAACAGAACCACAGGTAGCCAAAAATCCAACAAAACGAGGACCCAGATTGTTGGTATATAAGTGGTATGTAAGTCTTAAGTGCTATTGCTACTCTCATTTCACGTGAATCAAAATTCTTCTTTTCTGCAACATGAATTCGACCCCACCGCAACTCCAAACCGCAAACCCACCACTCCGGTTCGAGGGCAGCCTACCTCCTCGTGCCAATTTTCTCGGAACCAGACCATCTGATCCACAATCCCCTCCAGAGACGAGAGGAGCGTCGGGTGCAACTCCCGTTGCATGTGCATGATACGGCTGCATCGCCACATGGGGGCCGTCGCTCGGATCGGTCCGGGGTCCGACGCAGAATGAGACTGACTTCCCACGGAACTCGGCTGCTGCTGTCCGGAATCTTTGGTGGGGGAAGATGGGAAGGAGAAGGTGTCAGCCCTTCGAGTAGACCAAGTTGGGAAACTTCTGGAACTCTACGGTTATAGGGTGTGTAATATCCGAAACGGGGCACAGGCCTAGCGGTTAAGACGCTGGGCTGTCGATCAGAAGATGGGCAGTTCGAGACTCAAGGGCTAGCACTGATGATGTTACCTAGTTTGGTAATGAAATGTCTGTGAGAAAACCAACAAGGTTAGAGAGCACCAAGGAACCCACAGTCCTCCTCCTCCCCTCTTGCTCCTGCTCCTCCTCCTCTTACCACAAACACCACTCTCTTCTAGCACTGATGACGTTACCTAGCTTGACAATACAACTTCTGCGAGAAAACCAATGTTCAAAGAGCGCCAAGGGCCCCACAGTCTTCCTCTTCCTCCTTCTCCTCCTCCTCTTTCTCCTCCTCCTCCTCCCATCCACCTTCCGTCACTAAAACCCCCATTCTCTTCTAACACTGATGATGTTACTTAATTTGGTAATGAAACGTCTGCAAGAAAACCACCAAGCTCAGAGAGCACCAAGGACCCCACGGTCACCCTCCTCCTCCTTCTCCACCCCTCCTCTCCCTACCCTCCTCCATCTCTTACTACAAACTCTACTCTCTTCCAGCACTGACGATGTTACCTAGCTTGGTAATGAAACGTCTGCAAGAAAACCACCCAGCTTAGAGAGCCCCCAAAAAATGAAACCCTGACCGCAGTCGCAATTTTAGAAGGGCTAAATTCTAGCCATCCTCGAAAATATCATTAAAACGGCAATGAAAGAGTTCAACCAGGACCCTCTGATCCCGTTCTTCAATTAGGAAAGGAGGCTAAGCAAGGATCTGCCGGTCTTTCCAGCCACAGGAGGCCAAGTCACTCCATCTTCCCTGACGCCCCTGAGGTTGTAGCACTGTCACGTTCCCCCTGCTTACCGCTTTTGTAGCGCTCCCGTTGTTCTATCTTCAATGTCAAGTAGAGGGTCCGGATGGGGAAGTAAACCGCTTGGGGGTAGACACGTCCCACCTATTGCACGAGGAAGAAGCGCCCGTTAAAAATGCAACGGCCGTCTCCAAAGTATTGTGATACAGCAACCTGCCCGCTGATTCATGTCTAGCTTCTGACTCCATGAAATCAATTAATAATGATTTATACAGAGGGAGGGAGGGAGGGAGGGAGGGAGGGAGGGAGGGGCCGGCGGAGAGCCTAGGTTCACCTCAAAACAAAGGTTCTGATAAGGGTGGCAGAGAAGATTTTATACAAATCTGAAACCTGATTTGCCTGCTCCTTATTCCTCCTTATTTCCAAGGCGCTAACCATTCTAGAATGTGATCCCTCAAAGGGTGCCTTCTCCACTTCCTACATTCCCCTACCTGGCTAATGAGGTTCAAGAGGAGTTTTCCTTCTGATCCAACCAAGCAAGTTAAGAGCTGGGGGATCCAAGCCAGCCACTGGATGGGCGGGACGCCAATGCAATACTTGTCCACGGCATCGGCCAGCGTATTCTTGTCGTCATCAAAGCTCAGGAGCCAAAGGACCTAAAATCGTAGAATCATAGAGCTGGATGAGACCTTGGAGGTTTTGTACTCTAGAAAGAGTCCAGAGAACAGCAACAAAGATGATCAGGGGACGGGAGGCTAAAACATATAAGGAACGATTGCTGGAATTGGGAATGTCTAGTTTAATGAAGAGAAGGACGAGGGGGAACATGATAGCAGTCTTCCAATATCTCAGGGGCTGCCGCAAAGAAGAGGGAGTCAAGCTATTCTCCAAAGCACCTGAAGGCAGGACAAGAAGCAACGGATGGAAACTCATCAAGGAGAGAAGCAACCGAGAACTAAGGAGAAACTTCCTGCTCAAGCAGGAAAGCCTATACCAGGGGTAGGCAACCTTGGCTCTTTTATCTCGTGGACTTCAACTCCCAGAATTCCTGAGCCAGCCATGCAGCTTCAGGAATTCTGGGAGTTGAAGCCCACAAGTCATAAAAGAGCAAAGGTTGCCTACCCCTGCCCTATACCATTTCAGACAAATGGCTGTCCAGTCTCTTCTTAAAAACCTCCAGTGTTGGAGCATTCACAGCTTCTGGAGGCAGGTTGTTCCATTGGTTAATTGTTCTCACTGTCAGGAAGTTTCTCCTCAGTTCTAGGTTGCTTCTCTCCTTGATTAGTTTCCATCCGTTGCTTCTTGTCCTGCCTTCTGGCGCTTTGGAGAATAGCTTGACCCCCTCTTTGGGGCAGCCCCTGAGATATTGGAACACTGCTGTCATGTCCCCCCTCGTCCTTCTCTTCATATGTAAGTAAACAACCAAGCAAAGAGATTATGAAAAACTCTGCAAGCAAGAAAGCAGCCCACACCTGTGTGCCTTGGGCTGGTTTTTTTTTTTTTTTCAAAAGAAAAGACTCACCTTGGCTAAATACTTCCTGGATTTGCTTTCGTTTTGGTGCCGGCAGGCGTGGAGGTAGCAGGTGAGGGCGGAGACCCCGAGGTGCAGCTGGCGCTCTTTGACAAAGATGTTTTCCAGGTAATCCCCCCACATGGCCCAGGCCTTCACTAGCACATCGTGCATCTGAACCGCCGCTGAGAAAGCCTTGTTGGCTTCTTCAGACCTGGGGAGACCATGGAAGGGAAGATTACTTGCGGCACATTAAGCCAACAGTACCGAGAGGACAGGGATGGAACTGGGTCAGTTTGAATAGCCAAGCAAAGGTTGCGTTTTCACAACACAGAGAAGACAAGGATGGAACTGAAAATGAAGAGAAGATAGAATAGAATAGAATAGAATAGAATAGAATAGAATAGAATAGAATAGAATAGAATAGAATAGAATAGAATAGAATAGAATAGAATAGAATAGAATAGAATAGAATAGGTTTATTTGGCCAAGTGTAATTAGATACACAAGGAATTTGTGCAGAAAAGAGAAAAAAAAAGTGGATGAGAGTGGGTGTAAAACATCAGCAAATGCAAAATAACCCTGTGAAATAGCTTATTAAAGAGCTAATTAGCCTCGGTGTTAACTGAGTTTCATCTTTTCCGTCTCCTCCTTTCCGGCTAATAGCTTTCAGCATCCCAGGCTCTGCAAAAGCCGTACAACTTATTCCCGAAGTGATAAATGGCCGGCCATATTTTCTCTTTTCGACGGCTAACAACTGGATTTGTCTTCGAGCTGCTTGTTTCTTGTCTCTGCCTCCCGTCTGGCCTTTTCGATCACAAACACTTTTGATAACTCTTTAATCTCCCCCCCCCCCGATCTTTCCCGCGGCACGGCTGGCGAAATCGACCGAGCCTTCGCTCCAAGTGAACTCTTGAATCCCAGTTCTTCCACAGGCTAGCCAAGGATCACAACTCAATCTACGTTTTAGCAGACATCTTGAAAATACACAATAGAAAACATCAGATCCCTGGCTCCCTGTAAGCAGGTTTTTTTTCCCCCCCTTTTCCTGCTTCTTCTTTTTTTTTCTCTCTCTCTCTCTTTTTGACAAGAGAACAAGGTGAAGTTGTGTTTGAAGATTGTATCTTGCCCCAATCCTTGACAGCCGGCAAGTCATCTAAATTATTTAAACCATACTTCCTCTGCAGAGGAAACGTCTGAACATGCTCACGTGGTGGTTGAAAAAGAAAGAGGTTATTGCACTTTTCCGCTCAACTAATTGGCCTTTTTCTGATTTCAAACTCTCTGCCTTCCCAGGAGAGGATACAGATTGCTTCCACCCTGTGCAACTGTGAGGCTAAGCTGTGTTGTTGTGGACAAACAAGTGTAATTTTTTTCCCCTCCAGTTTTAAAGTCTTTGGTCTTCAAGGACTGCAAAGAGCACCGTCTACACATTCAACTTTGCTTCCGATCAACTGTGGACAAATTCTGAAAAATGGACCGTCTAGAAGCGGGCCCTGAAAGGTCTTGCAGCTGATTGTGAGGTCTCCTCAAGTGAAAAAGAAAGGAAGGATGGGTTGTCTTTCCATCAAGATGGAAAGAAAGAGGAATGGGTGTACCAAGAGCTGAGCTGGCTTTCTTCAAAAGATCTTTTAATCCAGGGGTCTTCAAACTTGGCCCTTTTAGGACTTGTGGAATTCAATTCCCAGAATTCCTCAGCCAGGCCCACACTGAAGTTCTTGCTTTGCACACAGAATCTTGAGAATTAAGAGAGCCAAACAAAACTTCACCCCTGAATCCCTGTGTATTGTTTACACACACTGTCAGAGGTTACTGCCACATTTCATCCAACATACATACATACATACATACATACATACATACATACATACTTGTTAATCTGTGCTAAAAACATCCCCTTCAATGCGTAGAATTCAGCGGTCATTTCCTTGGTGAAATACTTCAGGTTTGTGGATTCGATCACCTCCAGGCCCTATCGGAAAGATTTGGAAACAAGATTTGCAAAAATACATATATATCAGCTAAAGACAAATTAAGAAGTTTCAAAATACAGGCTGGGGGATTCTGGGAGTTGAAGGCCACATATCTTAAAGCATGCAGGCTGGGGGATTCTGGGAGTTGAAGGCCACATATCTTAAAGCATGCAGGCTGGGGGATTCTGGGAGTTGAAGGCCACATATCTTAAAGCATGCAGGCTGGGGGATTCTGGGAGTTGAAGGCCACATATCTTAAAGCATGCAGGCTGGGGGATTCTGGGAGTTGAAGTCCAAATATCTTAAAGCATGCAGGCTGAGGAATTCTGGGAGTTGAAGGCCACATATCTTAAAGCATGCAGACTGGGGGATTCTGGGAGTTGAAGACCACATATCTTAAAGCATGCAGGCTGGGGGATTCTGGGAGTTGAAGGCCACGCCTCTTAAAGCTGCCATGGTTGAGAAACACCTATCTTGAAGATGGCTGCCATACCTGCATGCATTCGTTTTTGCCCATCACCCCAGCAAGCTGGAGGTAGCATTTGACTTGCTGTCGAATCTTCTGGAAGCAATCCACAATGGGCACTGTCGGTATGGTGTGAATGCGGCTGAGGATGTCCAAGGCCACGTTGACCAGGCCCTGTTTCCGAGCAATCTTGCCGTACTGGATAATGGCAGAGGCTGAGGCGTGAACGCCCAACATGGCGTTGTTCGAACTTGGGTCGTGTTGAGCGCTGTTCTCGTAGGCGCTTACAATGGCTAGAAAAGTGATAAGAGAGGAGTTTTAGGAAAAAAATAATGGTGGAACACAGAATGAATATGTCAAGAATGAAACTTTGGCAGCTGCCTGCCTCTTGGTTTCAAACATGCCGTTAGAGTTTGGGGGGGGGGGGTAGGAAGAGGTATTGCTTTAGAAGTGTTTAGACCAGGGGTAGGCAACCTTGGCTCTTTTATGACTCGTGGACTTCAACTCCCAGAATTCCCGAGGCAGCATGCATGGCTGGCTCAGGAATTCTGGGAGTTGAAGTCCACGAGTTATAAAAGAGCCAAGGTTGCCTACCCCTGGTTTAGACGGAGAAATAAAACCTTTATAATTCCTCTGAAGACTGTTGAGAGCCTGAAAGCTTTCCAAGGACACTGCAGCAGGTGTGGAGAGGCGGACAGTTCCCATAACAAAGTGAAATTGTTTATAGAGACTTCGTGAGAGGGTGGGGGGGGTTGGCTGGAGAGGTTATTGTTTAATTCTATGAGATGGTGTCTGGGAACCGCAAAGTTAAAATTTTGCTTCGACGGGACCATGCGGTGTATTCAACAAAGAGTAAGACTTTTTGGAAACAGAATGAACCTGGTGATTTATTTGGATCCTCAAGCTGGGTGTTGACAGAATATAAGCATCTACCGCTAGTCAGAATCGGTACCAGAATTCCCGTCGCTAAGCAAGAGGGGTATGGAAGCCACGCCCAATTTTAGGAGCACTTTGGTCGTTAAGCAAGTCACTGCAGATGTTCAGTCAATCACAGAGTCATTAAGCAAATCCGGTGTCCCCACTGACTTGGTCTGTCGAAAGCCGGCTGGAAAGATGGCAAACGGCGATCACGGGTGATCCTGGGGTGCTGCGAAGGTCATCAGCGCATGCCGTGTTTTCTTTCAGCTTCCCAAACAGGCAGAGATGCCAAACGTCTTAGGAAAAAAATCCCGTCCGAGAGGATCTCACCTTGATAATGATGCTGCCGCCACATGAAAATGCTGCTCCAGTGAGACAGGTCGTCTGACACGATGGGCAGCCGGTTCCTCCAGGTCTTCACCACGGTTTTCATGTCGTGGAGGCTGTTGTTCCGCCCGAGGTTGGCCGGTTGCAACCCTGCGTTGATTTGGGCGGCCTCTTGGAGTTCAATGATCTGCTGGGCAGCCTGGAGGTGAGGTAGAGGAAGAGCAGGAGGAGGAAGAGGAAGAGGAAGAAGAGAAAGGCAGGAGGAGAGGAGGAAAAAGAAGGCGGAAGGAAAGGAGGACGAAAAAGAGAAGGAGAAAGAGGAAGGCAGCAAGAAAGGAGGAGGAAGAAGAGGAGGCGGAAGAGGAGGAAGAGAAAGGCGGGAGGAAAGGATGAAGAAGAGGAGGAAGAATAGGACAAAGAGGAAGGGGAAGGGGAGAGTAAAGGAGGAAGGAGGAAAAGGAGGAAGAGGAAGGTGGCAAGAAAGGAGGAGGAAGAGAAAGAAGAGGAGGAAGAGGAAGGGGAGAGCAAAGAAGGAGGAAGAGGAGGAAAAGACAGAAGAGGAAGAGAAAGGGGAGAGTAAAGAAGGAGGAGGAAAAGACAGAAGAGGAAGGGAAGAGGAAAGAAGGAAGAGGAGGGAGGAAGAGGAGGAGAAGCAGGAGGAAGAGGAAGAAAAAAGAGGAGGAGGAAGAGGAAATGAAGGAGGAAGAGAAAAAGGAGGAGGAAAAGTAACTTACTTATCATTGCATATTGTATATTTTCTATATTCCACATCCTATTTCCTTACTGCATACACATATTTATACATTCCAATGCAGCTACTCCTCAAGTTGCAACTATAATGGAGTCTGTCCATTAAGGCCGCAGGTTGAGGACTAACTTTACTTATTAGCCACAGAAATTGGCAATATTTCCCTTGCTGTTTCAAAGATACACACAGAGAGAGAGAGAGAGATTCTACACCGCAGGGAGTTTTAAGTTCCAGCAGACATATGAACACTGCTGGAATTCAAATCCCACAGAGACAGTAAACTGATATAAGCCATTTGCAAGACCTCCTCCGAGAAAGATAACACTTGTAGGAGCTATTCATCAACCAACTCAGGGAAGCGTCTCTCGGACCCCCAAAAGTTGGGCTAGACTTCTGGCCCAATCTCTGAAAATAAAATAAATTAAGCCAAGTGGCTTCCCTTCTCCCACTCACCCGTAATTGCCACAATATCAGCTCTCACAAGAGCTTCACCTTCCTCCTACCCCATTCATCATATAAATTTAATTTTCAAGCAGGTGCTTAATCACCCACTATCTGATCTAGGGGGAAAAAAAGTAATTACTGCTGAGTAGCTTTATTGCCATGTTGCTAACTTGCCATTCACAGCCCACCTAAGCAATCTAATAATGAGGAGATGATTGAGGTCATCCACATCGCTCTTAGCCGCCATTGGTTGAGCCAAAGTTTGTCAAAGAACCCACTCAGCTACAAATCAAGAGTCTGCAAATTTCAGAAGCCCTGCTCCGTGTACGCTTTCTTCATCTGGTTAAGAGGAGGTTAACTTATCCCAGAATAACTTTTCCAAACATTTGGGACAAAAATCCTCCGTGTTTCATTATTCACTCTTGTTTCGTAGTTCAAATGATAGCCTGCCAAAGACTTGGTGCACTGGAATGTGGTCTGGATTCCCAGGAGGAAGGGGCTGCATTCACAGAGAAGCAAGAGACAATGCGGTTTAGTGTATGAGAAAGAGGGCAAAGACAGCTCCTCCTCAACAGTTCCCAGAACCTACGTTTTCTGGAGCAAGTAGTCTGTTTTAATTCGGCAAGATTCTGTCTACAGGTGAGGAACAATAAAAGAGGCTGCTTAGAAGTAGCTTAGCATGTATCTCGTGGGTTTTGGAGTCTAACACTTGGGCGTCTCCGGAGATCGGTCTGTCTTACCTGAAGAAGTGGGGTGTGGACGTGAGAAACCACCTGGGGAAGTCTTCGCCACTCTCGGATGGCCAACCCGCTGGCCATTTCCACCAGGCGCTCGATGAAATTCAGCTGCTGCTCGTCAGGGTGGCAAATGGCCAAATATCCCCGATACATGTTGACTTTCCATGCCATCTCTTTGGGGCAACTGAGCTCCACCTTGGGGCAAAAGAAGGGCATAGAGAAGATGTCAGAAGCGAGGGAATTCCCAACACACCCAGTCTCCTGGTATCTAGCCAGATGCCTTAACCACAACATCAAACTGCCTCTCTCAACCACGTTATAATGGCTGATTCTTTGCTTTAAGTTCTTGTTTGATTAAGACCCAGTTTCCCAGGCTCGTTTCTGCCTCTTTTAAGAGGAGACCAATGGTCTTCATACTGAAACCATCAAGAAATTTGGGTTTACTAGGACACCCACATCTTAATAATAACAACAACAATAATAATAAAGTTGGAAGGGACCTTGGAGGTCATCTAGTTCAACCCCCTGCTCAGGCAGGAAACCCTACACCATTTCAGACAAATGGCTGTCCAGTCTCTTCTTAAAAACTTCCAGCGTTGGAGCATCCACCGCTTCTGGAGGCAAGTTGTTCCACTGGTTAATTGTTGTCACTGTTACGAAATTTCTCCTTAGTTCTAGGTTGCTTCTCTCCTTGATTAGTTTCCATCTGTTGCTTCTTGTCCTGCCTTCAGGGGCTTTAGAGACACAAAAAGGGATACAGCCTACAACCGTCGTAAATGTGAGTCAGTTGCCAAGAGCTGAATTTTGGATCATGTGCCCCTGGGGATGCTGCCAGGGTGGTGTGGAAAAGGGTCATAAGTTACTTTCTTCGGTGCTGTTGTGACTTTGAACTGTCACTAAATGAGCTGTTGTAAATAGAAAATTATCTGTACAGTCACTAGATGGCGGTGAAGAGACACAGGAACTGCAAACTTCCACCTAGGGGTGACATCGGATTACTGCACCCCAGATCTTAGTCCCAATATGGACCCACTGTCTGAAGCTGCCTCTCGGGATGGCCACCAGAAATAGCAACGGGCGAAAGAAACTATGGTTTGCCTTGCACCCAGAAACAAGCGTGGTCTTTTAGGTTACCATACATCTTGGCTTGCTATCCAATAAAGGCAGCTGTTAAATCCCGTTTTGATTTTAAACAAGAATTTCCTGAAACAGAGCAAGGGTTGAGGGCTAGGAAGTGGAGTACTGAAGTCTTTCTTTAACGTATTTCCTGAAGTAGGGAATCTCCCCAACCACAGTCAAGACCGAACGCTTGATCCGAGTTCCAATGCTTTTCTTGAAATAAAATATCTTGACACGACTTGGCCATCACCTCAAATACCATCAAAAAGCAAATAGAAAAGCGCATACTGGCGACAAGTAAACCATGGTTTGGTCATGAATGCTGAACTGGGGCAATTGAAGATAAGGTACGGAACGTATCAAGCAGGGAACGCCAAGCACTCGGTCATAAATCAAGGACTGTCTATGTTCAGGATTCTTGCAACATGTAATCCAAGCTGTTTCTCTTTCCCAACTAAAAACTTCAAGCCCGATAAACTGATTTCCTATCCTTTTGGGGTGCCAATCTTCGCTGCCACTAACGGCTACAGTGATGTTAAATAAAACACTGGCTGGCTGATTCCCTCATGCACTTTTCGCTTGAAACTGTGCCATCCAAAATTGAAATACATCTCAATTAGCACCAGCGATTATTTGAGAGGTTCCACTTCCACTGCTGGCTTTAAGCAAGTAAACAACAGCAGCAAAAATGACTAGAAAAGGAAGTGTCTCAGACAATATGGCCATTTCCTCCTTGAAACAAATTCAAAAGCCAAAGGAATGCCAGCACGGAGCCCAAAACTGGGGGGGGGACAACATGTGACAGAAAACGGTATTTCTACAAAGGTATTTTGAATGCTGTTGGATAAATTATAATTACAGGATCTGGTTCTGTGTCTCTCTTTCTCACCATCGACTCCCATTTGGGAATGCACGCAATTCTGCCGAGCTCTAAATATTTCTCCTATCTCTTACTTACATACATACATACATAACACACACACACATATATATATATATATATATGTAAATAATGTCGCAGTTGGTGACTGCTGCCTGTGGATGGCTCTGGATTGAGCTGATACAGGCAAAAGAAAAAAGAAAAAGAAAGATTTCTTTCTCCCATATTTGGGCCGACAGGGTGCATCAAGAAAACACTCAAGGTAAATCTCCTCCCCCTGTCTCTTCCCTCCCTGATACAGCTGACAAAGTAAGAAAGAGCTTGTGGCCTAGATGTTAATACAGCTGCCTAACATGCACACAGCCCAGGCTCGAATCTCAGAAGGGTAAGTCTGGCTGAAGAGAGTTAAGAAACTCGAAATAGCTATCCCAGTCTCCCTTTATTCTTTGTTAATAATCTAAAAAAATGTGTGTGTAGGTCTGGTTATTCGGGTTTTTTCCCGCGTAAAATTGGAAGTGTCTTGGCGACGTTTCGACCTACATACAAACACCCGCGAAAACCTCAGAAAACATATATATATATTTAAACTTTTAGCATTTTATAAACTTTTAATGTTTTACTTCTTCCTGGTGCTCACGTTTTATTTCTCAACACACATACACACAAACACACACACACACACACACACACACTCCCTTTTCCCTTTGTATATATACACACACTGTGTATATATACACACTCCCTTTTCTCCTCTCTCTGCCTGGCCACCAGACGAGACCGCTGAGCCACAAAATCATTTGTCTGTATTCCCTCTGCCGGTGCTCAATCAGCATTTTCTCTTCTTGAAAAAATCTTGGATGACAAAACCTGCAGAGTCCCTCATGGAAAGGCTATGCGCTGATGGCCAGAGAAAACAGCTGCTCCCTCCTGCATCAGGAATAATCCTACCCAAGCAGGGCACAGCCTTCCTCTGGGGGTTTTGTGTCTGTCTGTCTGTCTGTGCATCTGCTGGCACTGCACAGGCGACATTTGTGTGTGGAACTACAGACTGCCTGACCTGGTAGATGGGAGAGACTGGAGTGGGGGGGAATAGATTAGAAGTTGCAAGTCATTTTTTTTTTCCCAGTCCTGTTGTAGGCTTGAGCGGTCTTGTAAACGAATGGCTGTAAAGCGAGGTCTACTTGTAAATTGACCTTTGTAAATCCTGATCACTCTTTCCCCATCATCTTCTCTTCTCCGCAAGGTGAAGGTGGCAGGGCCTTGGCTCACATTCGCAACTCACCTGTACGAGGGCTTCCTTCATGGCTGTCCAGTTGGAAACACGCCAGGCACACTCCAGAACCAGGTACGGGTTGATGTGACCCTTGGACTGGCCGTATTCCGTGAGAGCTTCCCATTGATTCAGTTCCTTGGAACACCTGGCAACAAGAAATTGCAAGCTCAATCCAGTTTTCTAGCCTCCGATCCAAAGCAGGAACCCAGTTCATTTGTCTACTTGTATCCAGCCTTTATTATTTTGCAAATAATAGGCAGACATATCCAACATATCTTCCTGGTCCTGTTTTCCCCATCATTTAACAATCCTCAAGGTGGGTTGGGCTGAGAAAGAGAGAGAAACTGCCTCAAAGTCACCCAGCTGACTTTCATGGCTAAGGCAGGACTAGAACTCGCCCTCTCCTGGTGATTGGTCCAAGGTCATCTAGCCAGCTTTGATGCCTAAGATGGAACTAGAACTCTCGGTCTCTCTGGGATGGGCCCAAGTTCCCCAGATGGCTTTTATGCCCAAGGCAAGACTAGAACTCACCGTCTCCTGGTGATTGGTTCAAGGTCACCCAGTTGGCTTTTGTGCCTAAGAGAACTAGAACTCACCGTCTCCTGGTGATTCACCCAACGTTCCCCAGCTGGCTTTCAAGCCTAAGGCAGGACTAGAATTCACAGTTTCCTGGTTCCTAGCCTGATGCCTTCTCCACTAGACCCAACTGACTCTCTTATATTAAGGATTCAACAAGGCTGGTTAAAGAATTGTTGGCAAGGCTCATCCTACCCTTATCCTTCTGCTCAGAACATTGTCAAAAAACTGAGCTACCTTCCCACACATCCAATTCCTGTCTTTTGTTCCCCATTTTTCTCTTCTTAGCAGCTGGATCTGAAATAAATTATAACTCTACTCCATTTTGACTTGTGAACACCATCGCAGACACGTTTAAGAAAACACATTCGTGGTAGGAGAAACAACAAAACCAAGTCTTTTTTTTCTCTCTTTCTCTCTTGAGTGCAACTTTCATGTGGAATAAAATGAAAGGCTTCTTTAGAAACCCATTCGACTAAAAGCAAGGAACGTTTCTACAAAGCTGCAAACAAGACACAGGCCCTCAGGGAGTGGAACAAAGTCTGTTGGCTTCCTCAGTTACTTTTCTGAAATTTAGGTTAAATGCTGTTATCTGGGTCTCCAGAGGCCCCAACATTCGTAACATCCTTAAAAAAAAAAAAGAAGCAACCATCAGATTTAATTAACTTACCGAATCCAATGGTCTTCCCAGAGCTGATATTCTGGGAAAACAGCTGGAGAAGCGTTGTTCCTTTCATGTTCCTTCTTCGCTTTCTCCATCGCTTTTTCGTAGGTTTCCTGAGCCTTCGAAGGAAACGAAAACAGTTCGGTTTCTGACGAGGTACGAAACTAAAGAAAAGCGAACGCAAGCAAACTAACCAGCCTCTCTTGAATTCTGGTGAACCCTGTCTAACTCTTGGCAGGTGCCCACAGTCAGTTGGGAAACTTCCTGTGGTCCTATTTTTCATCCGATAGATGGGGTGGGGGGTGTGTGTGTCTGGTTAAACACCTATATACACAAAACACGCAACCTGCTCGAAGAAGCCGTGCTGTTCGTAAGCAATGGCGGTGGCCGTCTCGGGAAATTTGCACCGTTTCTGCCACAGTCCAGCCCACATGTCCTCTTCTTGCAGCAGGCAATACAATTCTGCCAGCGAGTCCAGGATTTCCTGGGGGGGAGGGAGAGGGAAAAAAGGCAAAAGGCAACCTAAGATCAATAGGGAGTGGTCGATAATTAAGCCGGTCAACCCATCGAGATGCTGTAGAACAGGTGAAGAAAGAGCCCCCACTGGGATTTCAGGAGTGCTACTTTATTCCAAGAGGGCAGAGTAGCAGAATCTTGGAAGCTGTTTGCCCTGATTTATACCAGACCAAATCAAGGAAGCAGTTTCTTTCTTGCTCTTTCTATTTTCTTAGGATCCTGCTGGCTTTTCTTCTGCCTTAAACCTTCCTTCCTTCCTTCCTCTTCAAAATCACCCTTCCTTCCTTCCCTTCCTCCTTCCCTTTCTTCCTCTCTCTCTTCCTTCCTTCCCTTCCCTCCTCTTGAAAATCAGTCTTCCTTCTTCTCCTTCCCTTCCTTCTTCCCTTCCTTCCTTCCTCCCTCTCTTCCTTCCTTCCCTTCCTCTTGAAAATCAGTCTCCCTTCCTTCTTCTACTTCCCTTCCTTCCTCCCTCTCTTCCATCTTCCTTCCTCTTGAAAATCAGTCTCCCTTCCTTCCTTCCTTCCTTTCTTTCCTTCCTCCCTCCCTCCCTCCCATCTTCCTTCCTCTTCAAAATCAGTCTTCCTTCTTTCCTTCTTCTCCCTCCCTTCCTCCCGTCTTCCCTTCTTTCCTTCCTTCCCTCCCTTTCCATCTTCCCTTCTTTCCTCCCCTTCCTCCTCCCCTTCCTCCCTCTCTCCCTTCCCTGCGCTCCCTATAAACCTCAAACATCCAGACATCAGGGCATAGCAGCCTCCATTTATTTATTTATCCAGATCTAACAGCCACCCCAACTGCAAACGACGTGAAGTGGCAGGCGCCTGGTCTTTGCTGAGCGACCGCCTCACACAGCAACCCTTCTGACGGGGGTGCAAAGAACCAAGAGGGCTCTCCTCCTAAACCCAGAGTAGCCCCACTGGCTTCACATCTGTCCCCTATCCAGTTTGCTACACTTCCTGGGGATTTCTTCGCCTAGGCCCAGATACCCCACGGGCTTATTTCCTTCCAGCACAGAAAACCCCACATTCGGGCCCTACCTGTTGGGGCAGAGTGATGCTCTCCTGCTCGTAGAACTCCGTAGTCTGTTTCGGTTTGATCTGCAGGCTGAGCCCCTTCTCGAAGGCCTGGTGCTCCAGCATCAGGGTGGAGCGGAACCAGAGATTGTGGGTCTTGCCCAGGTACTTCAGCACGCAGGGCCTGATGGGGATGGGGGGCACGCACTGGGACATGGCTTCCACGAAGCAGTTCAAGGCGCTCGGCTGGCAGTCGCGCTGCACCTGGTGGCTGCCGCTGCACAAGAAAGGGCTGATTTCTCCAGCCAGAGCCTACAATGGAAATTAGCCATTATTCCAAGGGCGAAGCTGGCATCGTCAGCGGTAATTATGCTCTCGACAGGGAGGCTGCCAAAAGCTGCTCTTTTCAGGATCCGAAAGACAAGTCTTGTTGAGGTTGAAAATTGCCTCTGGGTCGCTCCCGGAAGAGCATTAAAACTCCGAAACGGCTTTTCTCAAGAGGAAAAACACCAAAGTGCAGGAAAAGAGTCTCCTATAACATCCAGGATGCAGATCTGGCTTTTAAAGCCACGCATGGAAGATTTCGGTTTCTTTTCAGCTGCCTGTGCCAAATCGCTCAGATTCAGCTACTGATCAAACATGATCAATCAAGAACATTTTCTCCGCCTGCCCCAACAGGTGGTGTAGAACTGGCAGCATCCAGGTCAGATCAATCAGTCAATAGGCCCACAAAGATGTTGTTCTTTTTAGGCAAATCTAAGCATCCTTTTCCCCCTCTGAGGCTGGAATCATTTCCTGATCTTGGAGAAGGGCCTTTTTTTTTTTCTTTGCAAATTACAACTCGGGAGAGGGAGAGGAGGAGGAGGAGGAGAGAGAGAGAGATGAGGGAGAGAGAGAAGGAGAGGGAGAGAGGGAAGGAGAGGGAGAGAGAAGGAGGGGGGGAGAGAGAGAGAGAGGAGGGAAAGAGAGAGAAGGAGAGGGAGGGAGAATGAAAGAGGAAAGAGAGAAAGAGAGAAAGAGAGAAAGAGAAAGAGGAAAAGAAAGAAGGGAGGGAGGGATGAAGGGAGGGAGGGGGGAAGGAAAGGAGGGGGGAGAGAGAGGGAGAGAGGAGGGAAAGAGAGAGAAGGAGGGAGAGGGAGGAAGAATGAAAAAGGAAAGAGAAAGAGAGAAAGAAAGAGAAAGAGGAAAAGAAAGAAGAAGGGAGAGACGGAAGGGGGGAAGGAAAGGGGGGAGAGAGAGGAAGAGAGGAGGGAAAGAGAGAGAAGAAGGGAGAAGGAGGGAGAATGAAAAAGGAACGAAAGAAAGAAAGAAAGAAAGAAAGAAAGAAAGAAAGAAAGAAAGAAAGAAAGAAAGAAAGAAAGAAAGAAAATATTTCACCAGTTTTTCATCACTGCTTTTTTTTTCAAAACGACACTCACATGTTGCTGTCTGTCTGAAAGGATTTTCCACAATCTGGAAAACAGCTGGATCCAAGTTTTTTCAGCCAAAGGGGTGGAAATGTGACAAAGCTGAACGAAGGCACTTAGCAGGGCTCCCGTCTGGAACGAAACTGCTAGTTAGGCATACCCAATCATGAAGAAGACAAAGCTGTTTTACCCCACCAGAAAAAAAATGAAGGAGGGAGAAGCCATCTCTAAAGCCACAAGCTAGGGAAGGCTACTAGAGAGACCAGCAACCCAGAGATCTCATCCTGCGTGGTGGCGCAGTGGTTAGAATGAAGTACTGCAGGCTAACTCTGCCCATTGCTACCGGTAGCAGTTTGATCCTGACTGGCTCAAGGTTGACTCAGCCTTCCATCCTTCCGAGGTTGGTAAAATGAGGACCCAGATTGTTGGAGGCCATATCCTGACTCTATAAACCACTTAGATAAGGCTCTAAAGCACCGTGAAGCGGTACATAAGTTTAAGTGCTATTGCTATTTTCCTTCCTTCCTTCCTAGTGGTTAGAATGCAGCATTGCAGGCAAACTCTGCCGACAGCCTGGAGTTCGATTCTCACCGGCTCCAGGTTGACTCAGCCTTCCATCCTTTTTGAGGTTGGGAAAATGAGGACCCAGATTGTTGGAAGCAATAAGATGCTGACTCTGTAAACCACTTAGAGAGGGCTGCAAAGCACTGTAAAGCAGTATATAAGTCTCAGCACTATGGCTATTACCAAGCAGATCAACTGTGGGACAGGTGTAACACCAACATGCTAAGAGACAGCCTAAAGCAGGGGTCTTCAAACTTGGCAACTTTCAGACTTGTGGACTTCAACTCCCAGAATTCCTTAGCCAGCCCTGGGAGTTGAAGTCCACAAGTCTGAAAGTTGCCAAGTTTGAAGACCCCTGGCCTAAAGAATGACCTGCAATGCACCTTCCTCCCCACCCAAAGGGGTGTTAGTAGCACGCGCGCTGCAAAATAGGCTCCCCAGGCTTCAAGGAGTATTGTGAAATGTCAGGGGAGCATCAACTCACTCACCTTCACCTCGCGCAGAGAGTCCAGGAATTTGTCGTGCCGGTTGGTTAACATGTGCAACTGGTTCCCAATGTCCTTTTCGGACAGTTCTTTGGTTTTCGGGGTGCTCGTCTGATCTCCGGGAGCCAGCTCAATGTCTATCTCGACATCCTGCGTATAAAGGGGAGAAGACCAGAGTTTTGCAAATAGACACGTTAAGGTACCCCCAACAGCACAGGACTCTATGTAAACAAGTAAGCTTTACGTGGGATTTTTTCCTGTAATACAGGAAGACTTTACCTCTTCTTTGGATTCACTGTTTTCTCGTTCACGAGGTTCTTGCTTGACGTGGGTGACCATGGCAAACGCCGCCCGGTCGTGGCTATCCGCCAGATTGATCACGTTTGTGATGGAGGGAAGCGTGGCTCCTTGACAGCTAGTCCCAATGGTTGTGTTCCTTTCACAAACCGCCAACAGGAGCTGAAAGGGATTAAGAAGAGAGGCTGTAGACACAACCCGTAGATACGGTTAACCAACTTTAAGACTGAACGTGACGGTCCCTCTTGGTCTGAAGGAAGAAACTGAAGGCAAGAGAGGCAGCTAAGAAAAGAAAAATTAAACTCCCACGTCTAGTGGCCTTGTGCAAAAAGTGCAAATGATTGGAAACTAACCAAGGAGAGAAGCAACCTGGAACTAAGGAGAAACTTCCTGACAGTTCGAACAATTACTCAGTGGAACAACCTGCCTCTGGTTGCCCAATCTCTTCTTAAAAAGCTCCAGTGATGGAGCACCCACAGCTTCTGGAGGGAAGCCATTCCACTGATTAATTGTCCTCACTGTCAGGAAATTTCTCTATAGTTCCAGGTTGCTTCTCTCCTTGATTAGTTTCCATCCGTTGCTTCTCGTCCTGCCTTCAGGCGCTTTGGAGAACAGCTTGACTCCCTCTTCTTTGGAGCAACCCCTGAGATATTGGAAGACCGCCATCATGTCCCCCCAGCCCTTCCTTTCACTCAACTAGGCATGGCCAATTCCTGCAACAGTTCTCCATGTGTTTTAGCCTAACCATATTCTTGCCTCTTCTGCTTCCAGAGCAGAGAAAGGGAAATCCAACTTGTTTGTGTCCTCACCTCGATGCACTGCTTGATCCAGAAGTGGTTCCCCATGGCTTCCCAGTTTTGGGAACAAGTGATGTACAGCAGTCTCTCGTAGACCCGCCGTTTCATGGAATTGTCAAAGACCTCAAAAAACTTGGCCCTGATGAGAGGCTGGGTGCATCGGAGGCCAGAGAGGAAGGCCGGCTCGAGTTTAGCGGTCAGTTCACTCCCCGAAAGGTTTTCATCCCTAAGAAGAAGAAAAAAAAAAGGGGGGGGCAACTTAAGTTACTTCTGTAAGGTTTTTTTTTTCATGTCAGAATCACAGAGGCGCTTCTGGGTTGAAAGGATTAGCCAGTGACATCACTGTTGCCCTGGGGACGCCCAGTTGGGGAATCTTTTCATGTCCCTAGAGCAGGGGTAGGCAACCTTGGCTCTTTTACAACTCGTGGACTTCAACTCCCAGAATTCCTGAGCCAGCCACGCTGAGGGGAAAGGGAGAGGTTTCCATGCTGAGCCATGCTGGCTCAGGAATTCTGGGAGCTGAAGTCCACGAGTCATAAAAGACTAAAAATTTATGACTAAAAAAGTCATAAAAGGTTGCCTACCCCTGGTCTATCCATATGCTGCATATAGTATGTTTAAATTGTCTGTTATGTATGTGTACACTTTGAGAGCAAGCAACTAAATTTCATGTTTAATGGGTGCCGTTGCGCCCACAGTAAAAAATGACAATAAATCAGCTATGCTCCGGGACAATGCAAAGAGACCAAATTAGCCAATTACAAGACTCCCCCTGAATTTTCTATCTTGAATTTTTAAAAAAAAAAAACTCTTTAACTCCTGCAGGATTGGGGGAAAGACCTCTTTTCCCTTAAAAGAACCGACAGAGATTGACGTGGCATTTGAGTGGCGTGAGCACGAACTAAAACCTAAAAATTGATCGTTCCCCCCCCCCAACATTCCCAATCCCCGGGCTGACTTCAAAAGATGAATGGTGCCTTCTTAAGGTCAGGTGTGGCACAAATTATGAACCGAGATACACTGACCCGGCTGATTAATTGCTGCAATTTACCTATAGACGTAGTTAACAAGGTCTAAGAACTGAGCGTTTAACTCAAGGTCCTCTGGAAAACGTTTTTCAATGTAGGTCATCATTTTCACCAGCAGAATGGACTTCTCGCGCAGCGTCGGAATCTGTTTGGGGGGGGGGGGGAGGGAAAAAAAAGTTGATTTTTTTTTCTCCGGCTTGTTCCCTAAGACAGAGGTCCCCAACTTTTTGGGCACCAAGGACTGGTTCCATGGAGAGAGGTTTTTCCGCGGACCGGAAGGGTGCGTGGTTCTATGTGCTGCCTGCATCCCACGGATGGGGCTTTTGCTTGTTTGTGCAGACTGGTTGCTGGCATGCTGTGGCCCGCTACCGGTCCACGGACGAGGGGTTGGGGACCCCTGCCCTAAAAGGGCAAAAGAACAGCTGTCGGTAAATGTAGCTCACTTCTGAAATAAATCTCGACTTATGACGATAATCGGGACCAGAACTTCCCTTCTGTCGGTTATGTGAGTTGTGCCCCGTTTTATGACTTTTTAAAGCAGGGTGGGTTAACCACACCACCGCTGTCGTGTGACGATGGAAGAGAGGGAAGAACAGCAAAACTTTAGAACTAGGTTGTAAGTACCGTATTTTCCCGAAAAGAAGACCTAACCAGAAAATAATAAGCCCTGGCATGATTTTTCAGGACTCGGGCTTATTTAAAAAATAAGCTCCAGTTAAGATCATCAGCCAGACAGACAGCATCTAGTACCATATTTCCTGGAATAGAAGTGTAAGGACTCGCCTCAGCTAACCACCCAAGAAAGCAGAACTCTTGAAACAGGCCTTGTCTCAAAAGGAAACTTTTATTAGGGGTCAGTGACAGTAAGGAAGTCAAGGCGAGGTCTGGGGAAAATCCAGCGCAAATGATATAGTTAAATTAGCAGTATTCCTCCTCCCACCCAGAGTCATGATGTCCATTTGAAATTCAGCCAATCCACAGGTGGTATGAGGTGTGGGTAGCTGGCACAGTTGGTGGGATCTCAAGGTCTTCTCCGGCTTTCTTTTCTCTGCCACCATCTCCCTGATAAGGGAGACCATTCCTTTCTCAAGGATAGAGGCAGGAGAGGGAAAGTAGAAAGTGAAAGTTATCCCAAGCTCTTCCTCCCCCCCCCCCCAGCAGAACGGCAGGCCCCCCAAAGTAGTATATGCAAGGAAAATGCAGAGATTTTGGGGACCTGACAAGAACATAAGCCCTAATGCAGTGGTTCTCAACCTTTTTAATGCCGCGACCCCCAACCAGTCGTAAGTCGAGGACTACTCAACCGGTCGTAAGTCGAGGACTACTCAACTGGTGCAGCACCATTTGCAGACTGGGACTTTTGGCAGGCTCAGCAGGGCAGAGACAGCCTGGACAATTCCTATTGGCTTTTGAAAGCCAATAGAATTAGACTCTATTCAAGAGAGTCTATTCTATTGGCTTTCAAAAGCCAATAGAATAAAAGGGAGTAGCACAGCTAAGGAAAAGGGGGGAAAAAATGGCGGACTGCGTTGTTTGGCGACCCCCGTGAAATGGTCGTTCGACCCCAAATGGGGTCCCGACCCATAGGGTGAGAACCACTGCCCTAATGCGTCTTTTGGAGCAAAAAATAATATTTTATTTTTGGGGAAACATGGGTACTTCTGGAGAGGTCTTTCATAACTCTGCCTGGCTAATGGGGGACTAGAATTCACTGTTGCCCGTTTTTTTTAGTCAGGTGCCTTAACCACAAGACCATGTTCAAGTCCATTCCCCTCTTCCTTCCCCCCCCCCCCCCAAATACTCCTTTTAGGTTACCTGGTTAGCCGCCATGGAGGAGCTGTTTTTGACCCACTCTTCCACAATTTTGACCACGGCCCGCAGGATTTTGGCGTCGCTCGATTTTTCAATCAGCGAGGTCAGAATGCCCTGAATGAAGTTCTTCCTCATCTCCATGCTCATCATAGCCAGGCGGGTCTTCACCAAGTCCAAACTCAGCATCACCAACTCGCTGGTACCAGCTGCAAACACAGCCCGGACAAGCAACTCAGATCGAGCGGGGTTCAGCCAACAGGCCTGGGTTAAGCACCCCGTGATTCGGTGCCTTAAATTCAGCTTGCAATATCTTACCTTTTTCATTATTTATTTATTCAGCAAATTGATATGGCCTCCCAACTCACCTATGGTGGGCCGCTTAGAGCATTAGAAATCTGCCACGTAACACAACACCCCATACCACCAGGACCACAACTCAACAGAGGCAACAAATACAATCACACTAGCCATAAGAGGGGATGTTTCTGGATCAGCACTATATTCTTTGCGTGAATAGTTCTCCCGAATACGTTTTCTCACCTTTCCAGGAGAGGAAATGCTAGCTAGGAGAACCAAATCTTTGCACAAAAACCAGCCAAACCCCACATCCTCGGGATCCAAATTGCTCCGGCGTGAAAGTTCAACAGGGCAAGTCGGCAGTTTCGACCTGGTGATCTACCTGTATTGGCTTCCACTGTTCCTGCTTGAGCCTGCTGGTTCAAATGCTCTCTCACCATCTTCTGGAGGGACCTCATGAAGACTGAAATCAGCCTGTCGATATAGCTGGGATTGTTGCTGCAGGCAGACTTCAGGATCATTAAAGTACCTGAAAGATACAAAGAAAGAAACCAGGCAATATTGGAAGAATACGAACGGGGGGGAACCCATCTCTTTCGAACCGGCCTGATCTGAGGCTATTTTGAAAAAAAGAGAACAGAAAGATTTTAAAATCAGAGGTGCCCAACCTTGGCAATTTTCAGACCTGTGGGCTTCAACTCCCCAAAATCCCTTTTTTCCAGGGCTGTAGTAACTTTGAATGGTCACTAAAATGCTTGTAACTTGAGGACGACCTGTAGTTACTCTCACAAGAAGACCTAAGAAACTATGTCTTCAAAAAGGTTGTGTATTAACTCCAGAGTAAGGGGGGGGGAAGGTAGGGTTAGCTTTGCTTTTCTCCACCATCACACACACACACACCCCAATTCTCCCAAAGCTAACCATTAACTTAACAAATCTATCGTGCTTTTGGCAAACTCACTTCCTCAGCTTTAAGGGAGCAATAACGACGTTGTCCTACGTCTATTATGAATGGTCAGCAAAAAAAAAAAAAAAAAACCCCTATAGAAAGTTTTTCTTCTTCGCAGTTCTCAAAATATTCGTGTCAATGAAAGCGGGCCGTTTTTCTTTTTTGTTTCCCCGATTACGTGCTCCATCATAACGATGCGATCGATCCAACGGCTTACCGAAAAGCTGAGAAGGGTTTGCGCTGGCCGCTTTTTCATAGTTGGTAAGTCCTTCATAAATAACCTTCCCAACAGCAGCATAGAGACACTCCAGCTCTTCGTATTTGGAGGCCACGCTTGAAGTACCTGCGCAAGAGCAGACAAAGCAGAAGAGATTCACGTGCTGAACGGGGTTCTCCAGCTTTTAGCCGGTGGGATGGGTTATTTCCTTTCTTTGCTATGTGTTTATACCCGCCTTGATTGTTTTCACAAATAACTCAAGGCAGAGAATGTACCCAACACGTCTTCCTCCTCCTGTTTCCCCCACAACGATCACCCTGTGAGGTGGGTTGGGCTGAGAAAGAAGGACGGGCTCAAAGTCACCCAGAAGGCTTGCATGGCTAAGGCGGGACTAGAACTCACCGTCTCCCAGTGATTGGCCCAAAGTCACCCAGAAGGCTTGCATGGCTAAGGCGGGACTAGAACTCACCATCTCCTGGTTTCCAGCCTGGCGCCTTAACCAGACTGGTTCCCTTTAGTTTCTATTTATTTATTAAATTTATATGCTGTCTGTCTGAGAGTCTCTGACTTATTCTGGGTGGCTTATAACAGCTTGCATGCCTAAGGGGACTAGAATGTATGACCTACTGCTGACTGGGCCAAAGTCACCCAGCAAGCTTTCATACCTAAGGCGGGATTTGAACTCATAATCGCCCACTTTCTAGCCTGGTTCCTTAACCACTTGGCCAAACTGGCTCTTGCGGTAGGTTGCCAAGCATCCACATTCTGTTCACATGACTGTGGAGAAGCTACGACGGTCCTAACGGTCAAGTCATGTCCATTTTTTTCAGCCCTGATGTGGAATCTCCACAATCAACAACTAAGCAGGAACGAGCAACTCTTTGGACCTAAAAAAATCAAGGCGATTTGGAACGATTCTTCTGCTGCCTGTATCCATGCAACTATCGTGCAAGCCCAGGAAAAGACATGGATTATTTCAAGAGCTGCAAACAGCTGCAGTAGCTTTGCTGGTTTGGATCCAAACAGAAGCATATTCCTAATATTCAACTCAGTTGCCATCACGATGCTGCTCTCATCCATCTCTCTACTGAGCAGACAGAGGAAGTCTCTCCCTGGCAAGAACTGGCCGAGGGGAGCCTTCGCTTCTCTCCGGTTGTTCCGTCTTATCAAAAGTCTCCCTTTCCACTTAATTTCCCTTCCTTGTCTTACTAATACAGCCATGTTCAACAACTGAGAAAACGGCACTTTCAAAGCCGGGGAAAAAAAAAACCCCAGTAATTGCAAAAGACATTAAATTTATGACATGCATTTCTTGAGCCAAAGTAATAACCGCCACAGGTTATTAAGTTTTTATGCGACCGGATAATGATGTCTTTCTAGTGCTTACCTCTTTCCACTTTTTTATTTCAACTGGGGAGGCGAGGGCAACTTTTTAAAAAATAAAAAAAGAAGTCCACAAAAACAAGGGCAACGTTAGAGAGAGGCTCTGCCCTTCGTTTCTGGTCTCCTATTTTCCAAGAGGAGGACACCAGAGGCCATCTCCCTTCCCTGTGGTCACTACGTACTTGGTTCTGTAGGGAAGTTGTTCATCAAGCGGGAAAGGAGCGTGTGGACGGCTCGCAGAACTTTGGTGTTCCCGCACGTCATGCAAGAAGCGATTCCTCGCTGAAGCGGCTTGAAGCTACTCAAGATCACCGAAGACTGGAGTACGGTGAGCAGAAAGCTGAGAACTTCCAATCCGGTGCAGATGTTGGCAAAGTTGGCTTGGTTGGGCTGCTCCTGGAAGGAGACGTTGGCGAGACAAAGAAAATTTGAAGACACAACACGAAAAAAAATCGTGCGCACATTCATCTAAAGAGGCTTTTGGTGGAACCGTTTCCATTCTTCTGATGTGTTTTCTGATCTGAGCAAACTTTGGTTCTTCAGATGGTGCTACGTTGAAGCTTCTAGTGACCTTGGCTAAGGGTCAGGCTGGCTGGGGCCTGCGAGGGTCACAAGTTCCCTTTCTTTGTGCAAATCAAGGCTCTTCCAGGCCAAAAGGATCTAAAAAGGTTAAATCAGGGCAACGGGACCAAATTTGGTTAGACACAGAGTCAGCGAGTCTTTCCGTAAGGGATGATTGAGTCTTCATTGATAGATTGCATTTCATTTGGGGGAGAAACCCCTGCAGTCAGCATGGCAAGAGTTAATACATTCCAACGACTCTCTGACTAACCAACATTTTTCATTTTGACTGAAGAAGTCACTTGGATGAGTAATGAAATATCTCGGTTTAATAAACTTCGGTTCCGTTGCCGTTCTTTAATCTTTTTACATGCCCTTTGTTTTAATTCTTGATTTAAATTTAAATACTTTAATTCCCAAGCAAAATCGGCCTTTTTTTTAGATGCCATCAACCTTTTGTCCCGAGATCAAATCACAAATGAGGTGATTATTTATTATTATTTTCAATGACCATCTTCCCAGTTGGGGAATGTCTTTTCCAGACAAGCATGCCTGAGGTCTAAATTAGGATCTTCTGGACACCGGTGACAACGAACACCCCAGATAAAGGGAAGTCCACCACCTCAACAACAGATGCAAGACCCAAACAGACACAGAGATGGGTGAAATCTGGGGAACGTTTACACCCTGTCCTCTGTCAACCCCATCAATCCAACATGTTGCTAGTCTCAAAACACGTGTGAATCGTTCCTCAGATCCAGCGCCAGAGAAGGTCAAGCCTGAGACATAAACGGAAATCTGACCTTCCAACTCCCATCAGCCACAGCTAGAAGAGCCAACAGCTGAACTACCGAAAGTCATCACCTACAGAGGGTCAAAGATCCTCACTCCCCCCCAAGCTTCCTCATGCCAACAAGATGTCCCAAGAATGAAGGAGCCTCTCTTTTTCACTTTCGGCATGTGTCCTTGGATGCAGAAGAAAAAAGATCTGACAATTTCCAAAATAAAAGACCTACACTCAATTATTCAGAGCAGGAGAGAGCAGCCAAAAATCATTTTTCTAGTCTATGTAATGTAACGGCACTTTGTGGATGAGAAAGGCAAAAACCACGGGCACAGCAGGGGTTGAAAGATTCTTTTTGATCTTAGTTTCTTCCAAAACAAAGAAAACATCTCAAGTTCATGTTATCAAACAATCAGAGTGTGGCTGTAATAAAAGCCCATCTTTAAAAGAGGGAGGGAGGGAGGGAGAAAGGGAGGAAGGAAGGAAGGAAGGAAGGAAGGGAGGGAGGGAGGGAGGGAGGGAGGGAGGGAGGGAGGAAAGGAAGGGAGAAAGGAAGGAAGGGAGGGAGGGAGGAAGGGAGGGAGGAAAGGAAGGGAGGGAGGCAGGAAGGAAGGAAGCAAGGAGGGAGGGAGGAAGGGAGGAAAGGAAGGGAGGGAGGCAGGAAGGAGAGGAAGGGAGGGAGGAAAGGAAGGAAGGAAGGAAGGAAGGAGAGGGAGGGAGGGAGGGAAGGAAGGAAGGAAGGAAGGAAGGAAGGAAGGAAGGAGAGGGAGGGAGGGAGGGAGGGAGGGAGGGAAGGAAGGAAGGAAGGAAGGAAGGAAGGAAGGAAGGAAGGAAGGGGAGGGAGGGAGGGAGGGAGAGAATTCTAGTTAGACCACAAAAGAATACCCCAAAATTCCAAACTCAAATTCACATATCAGAGTATAACTATAATAAAAGCTCATCTTTAAAAGAGAAAAAGAGAGGAGGGGAAGAGAAAGTGAGGGGAAGACAGAGAGAAAGAGAGAGAGGAAAAAAACAAGGAAGTCCAGTTGCCTTTTGGAAAAGCACCTTTGAGACTGAGCTATCGACAGAAATCTGGAACATCTGCAGGGAACATGGTGGACTCAAACTACTCTGAGAGGGAGAACGAAGCTACCATCAAAACATCTAAAGGCTGACCTCAGGGACAATTCTCTGCAAACTCGACCCTTTTTAAAGAGTTGCATTGGTGGGGGGCGGGGGAGAAAGGACAAGCAACTTAACTAGTCTCATCAATATTCCATCTCCAGGCCTCGCTATTTGCTTCCCATCCGCAACCACTGGCGTTTTCATCGCGCGTCCAGAAGGAGGACGAGCGTTAATTATTTGAGACGATAAATCAATCCCATTAAGCGGAACATTTTCCAAGTCATGACATCCAATTAAATTGGCAATTAAAGAAGCTAACATGACATTTCAAGATCTCCGCTTCCATCCGCCGACAGCCCTCCGCACCTATTTGATTTTTCTCCGTCATTTTTTAAAACAAACCGACTCCCCGGACGCCGCACACGGCAACTCGTAAGCACAAGGCAAGGTGGTTTATGAGGCACTTAATTACGCTGACGAGGTCTTTCAAAAGCCACAAGCACGGCTTACCACGGTCATTAGAAGCTTATCAAACCACTGCAGTTTCAGCTCCGACTTCGGCCACATGTCCGGTCGGGAAGCCGTCTTCAGAAGGTTAACGCAGCGGCGGGAGAGCACTTCTCCTGGAGAGCCGGCGGTGTTTGAGTTGTCATTTACCTAGCAATTAAGCAAGAATAATTACCCAGTGGCAAATATTTGTCATCATCATCTTTTAGACCTCATTAATGTTTTAAGGCCATCCCAAATGCTTGGGCATTTCCCTTATGCTGCGTTCATGTGTGTGAGAGGGATGAGAGGGGAGGAAGGAGTAGGGAGGAAGTAGGATGGTTAGAGGAGATGGGGAGGGGAAGAGAGTAGGAGGGGAGGAGAGAAAGAGGAGGGAAGTAGGGAAGGTTTAGAGAGGGTGGACGCAGCCTGGGGGGAATGGGCAGGCGGTACCAATGGTTAATTATATTTTGTATGAATAAATGGAAAATAAAAACTTTTTTAATAAAAAAAAAATGTTTTAAGGCCATCCTCCCTCCCACATTTGCAGGAATCCCATTTTACGTCTCCCAAAGAGAGACCTGGAGATGCCTGATTAAGGGGGAATGGTGTTCAATACTTCCAGGGAACTTCTTCTGGATGTAGAAATGAGGTTTGGAGGCTTCCACACACACCCAGCCTGAATCTAAAACGTCACCAAGCAGCAGAGGTGGGGAAAACATCTGTCCTGGAAATGGTTATCTCTTGGGCTAAGGTAGAACATGGAATGGTAGGGTCGGAAAGGACCTTTGAGGTCTTCTAGTCCAACCTTCTGCTCAAGCAAGAGAGCCTCTACCATTCCAGACCAATGTTTGTCTTTTGGGAACCTCCAGGGATGGAGCACCCACAACTTCTGGATGCAAACCGTTCCCATGCATTAATTGTCCTCGCTGTCAGGAAATTTCTCCTAAGTTCTAGCTTGGGTCTCTCCTTGACCGGCTTCCATCCGTTACTTCTCGTCCTGCCCCTTAGGTGCTTCGTAGAGATAAAGCCACCCCCTTTTTTTTATTAACCAGAGCTCCTTGGATATTGCCTCAGCCCTAAAAATGTTGCCGTGAATCTGGAGTTAAGCTGCGATGAGCAAATCCAGAGAGATGGGGGCAATGCTAGTGGATTCTCGTTCCTCTTTCTCTGCTTTGGGATCAAGAAAATATTTCAGGTCTCCCTTCAAGGGAAGGACACTGATCAAGCCAGACCGCGTCCACTTCAGAAGAGAACTGTACCTGGCAGGCAATTCTAATCAGGAAATTGATCACCGTGTCGGTGTGTTGCTTATCAATAGACTTGGAGAAAAGAGCATCGGCTCCGGAAAGCGACTGGCTCCTTCCGAACACCTGAGAACGCGGAGGACATGGAAAGGGTTAGCCAGGTGTTACAACAGCCTATGAGCACAGGGAAACTGCACATCAATAGACACAGAACAGACACACAATTCATGGGGCTCTGAATATGCCTACAGGCACACTTGTGTCCTTCAGTTTCGCTGCATTTCTCGGGTCTTTATTTTGAGGATTACTGAGTTTACAGCTAATGATTTTTGTTTTTAGCATTTAGTCAACAGATTGGTCTGCTGGTGAAGGAACCAGGAAAGAAACCAGGAGACGGTGAGTTCTAGTCTCGCCATAGGCACGAAAGCCAGTTGGGTGACTTTAGGTCAATCACCAGGAGATGGTGAGTTCTAGTCTCATCTTAAGCTTGAAAGCCAGTTGGATGACTGTGAGTCAATCACCAGGAGATGGTTCTAGTCTCATCTTAGGCATGAAAGCTGGCTGGGTGACTTTGGGCCAATCACCAGAAGATGGTGAGTTCGAGTCTCACCTTAAGCATGAAAACCAGTTGGATGACTTTGGGCCAATCACCAGGAGCCTGTAAATTCTAGTCCCGCTTTAGGAATGAAAGCCAGCTGGGTGAGTTTGGCCCAATCATTAGGAGACGATGAGTTCTAGTCTCACCTTAAGCATGAAAACCAGTTGGGTGACTGTGAGTCAATCACCAGGAGATGGTGAGTTCTAGTCCTGCCTTAGGCATGAAAGCCAGCTGGGTGATTTGGGGCCAATCCCCAGAGGCAGTGAGTTCTAGTCCTGCCTTAGGCATGAAAGCCAACTGGGTGACTTTGACCCAATCACCAGGAGACGGTGAGTTCTAGTCCTGCCTTAGGCATGAAAGCTGGATGGGTAATTGGGGGCCATTGAGTCCCTCTCTCTCCCTCTGCCCAACCCACCTCAACAGGGTTGCTGTGGGGAAAAATAGCAGAAGGAAGGGGCATTAGCTACGTTTGCCCCCTAGAGTTATTGATAAAAATAACTCCGTGTGGGATTAAAAATAAATCAAAGAGATCAAACTGCTCTAGGCTCCTTCGGAAGGAAGAGCAGCACAAACGTCAAGGAAACAGAAGCAATGAGGGATGGGAGGCCACAAAGCCCCAAATCCTTACTGCACTGATGGCCCCAGTCGCCGTTCGGAACCGCTTCACTTCCTGACCGGAATCCACCGACAGTCCCCTTTTCACCCCAGATGAAGCGGTACTCATGCCCTCGCCACTGGCCCCTGGGTCCATGTCTGAATCCGGCTTTTGGGGGGGGGGAGAGAAAGGGACAAAGGAGAGCTTAGGAATCGGAAATCACTCCAGTTAATTCCTTCCCCAATCCTCGCAGGGGGATTTACCTGCTGATCTTTGATTCGCTGCAGTTCCCACTTGATGATCACTTCGGCCAGGTCCACAGCCAGCTTCCTCTGCTCAATGGTCACGCTGGGGGTGAAGCCCAACCTCTGCATGGCGCTCACCATGTGCTGTACTAAGTGGTGTCTCACCGGGTAGTAAACCTGCAGAGGGGTGGCGCGCAAGAATTTCCGTGAAAAACGTGGCCCAAAACTGCTCCAAACTTATCTTCCTGGCCCTCGGCTAACGAAATCCGTTTTAAAATGATTAGATTAGATTAGATTAGATTAGATTAGATTAGATTAGATTAGATTAGATATTCTTTATTGTCATTTTTCGCTGTTGGGCACAACGGCACACGTTAAAAATGAAATTGAGTTGCTTGCTCTCCAAGTGTACACATACATAACACCCATTTAAACATACTACGTACAACATATGTATATACCAGGGGTAGGCAACCTTGGCTCTTTTATGACTCGTGGACCTCAACTCCCAGAATTCCTGAGCCAGCCATGCTGAGGGGAAAGGGAGAGATTTCCAAGCTCAGCCATGCTGGCTCAGGAATTCTGGGAGTTGAAGTCCACGAGTCATAAAAGAGCCATGGTTGCCTACCCCTGGTATAGACCTACACCCTTATATACAAGCAACATACAAGCAGGAGACCCTATACCATTTCAGACAGTCTTTTCTTAAAGAGAATGGACAATCGTTTGTCTGAAATGGTGTAGGGTCTCCTGCTTGAGCAGGGGGTTGGACTAGAAGACCTCCAAGACCCCTTCCAGCTCTGTTATTCTGTCATTCTACTGTTGTTCTGTTAAAACTGTGAAACAGGCAATGTTGTTATACAGTTACAACCGTGTTTTGGGGGAATGATAATGGTCTTTGGTCCCTATATGCCTCCCTGAGTGAATTCAAGCAGCTGCAAATACACCACACTTAGTCCTTTTCTTTGCACTAGGAAGACCACAGCATAATAAAGAAGAGAAAAAGAGCTTTCTGGTTTTGTATACTCCATTCAAAAAGCCTCCGGCCAACAAAGCATTTTCAGTTTATTTGTGACTCTCTGGAGCTCACTAATAGCATGAACCCTGGGATAGCGCAACCATCATTAATGTGAAGCAATTGCCCCACGTCTGAATTTTGATCACCTGACCGTGCTTCCGCAGTCGATAAGTGTGAAAAACGGTCGTAAGTCACTTTTTTTGATGCTGTTGTGTAACTTCGGTCGCTAAATGAACTTTTGTTAAGTGGAGGACCACCCGCAATTCGCCGGGTTGATCCATCCCACCAGTCACAACGGCTGGTGACCAACACTGAGGAAATTACTGGGAGAAATCCATCCTGTCTACACAAACGCAAACTCGTGCTCCGTTCACACATACACTTCTCCTAGCAAATGTACAGGCAGTCATTCAGTTCTTTACCAGTTTTAGTTTTTAATGCTCATCACGATCCGGGCACTTCGAGCGGCGTTCGCGGTTCCCACTTTGCCGTCACTGAGTTCCTACCTTGAAGTGCTGAACGATCAAGTGCAAGATATGGACCAGCTGAGGCACGGTGTGGCCTTCTTCCACGATGATCTTCCTGGTCCAGTGGGTCAACATCTGGTGGCCATCCTCCATGCGAGCAGGTACCGCAGGGGTCAAGATAGCCATGGCTTGTCTGACAATGATCCGAGCCTCCATGGCGTGGGCCTTCAAGAGACTGTGGAACACCTGGACAGAAGGGAAGGTGGACGTGACTGCAATGGGTGGGGATCTCAAATATGTAGCTTTTACATTAAAACAGAATGAAGGGTGGGAAGGCACCTCCGAGGTCATCTAATCCAACCCCCAGCTCAAGCAGGAAACCCTGTATCATTCGGAACAAAGGGCTGTTTTTAAAAACCGTCCTCGTTTACGGAAAGGAAAACAAAGCAAAAAGCAGGATTGGATAAACCCACAAGGGCTGCTTCCAAAGACGGGCAATCTCCCGTTTGCCCCAGATGTACCTGTAAGACAATCTTTTTGTGAATGGCGAACTTGGCAATGATGTGAGCAAGGAGCAGGTGCCCGCTGTATTTGCAGGCCGGGTCCACGCAGGCTTTGGAGAGCAAGCAGGGCCAAGCGAAGGTCATCAGGCGGCGGAGTTTGCTGTTCCGGTTCTTGTTGTTGTCGTGAATGTGGTGTGGGGCGTGTTCGACCAGCAAGGTGGCGAACTGGAGGAGGTAAATCCTGAGCGAATCCAACATGTCGGCTTGCTTTTCTGGGTCCAGAACCTGAATCGCCCAAAGGCGGGGAGAGAAATGTCAGAACCAGAATCAGAACAGAGCTGGAAGGGACCTTGGAGGTCATCTAGTCCAACCCCCTGCTCACGCAGGAGACCCTAAACCATTTCAAACAAGTGGCTGTCCAGTCTCTTCTTAAAAACCTCCAGGGATGGAGCAACCAGAACTTCTGGTGGCAAGCTGTTCCACTGGTTAACTGTCCTCACTGTTAGGAAAATTCTCCTTAATTCCAGGTTGCTTCTCTCCTTGATTATTTCCCATCCATTCTTTCTTGTCCTGCCCTCTGGAGCTTTGGAAAATAAGTTCACATCCCACTTCTTTGTAGTAGCCCTTCATATAATGAAACACTGTTATCATGTTACACACACACACACAGACAGAGAGAGAGAGAGTCCTTCATTTCTCTAGACTAGCCAGACCCAATTCCTGCAACCATTTTTCATATGTTTTAGTCTCCAGGCCTTTACTCATCTCAGTTGCTCTTCTCTGCACTTTCTCCAAAGTCTCATGTAACCAAAACTGGATGGTGACCAAAACTGGATGCAATATTCCAGGTGTGGCCCTACTAAGGTAAAGCAAGATACATAGATAGATGATAGAGATAAAAGATAGAAAAATAGATAGATAGATGATAGATGAGATAGATAGATGGATGGATGGATGGATGGATGGATGGATGGATAGATAGATAGATAGATAGACAGATAGATAGATAGATAGATAGATAGATAGATAGATAGATAGATAGATAGATAGACAGACAGACCAACCCATAGGTAGGTAGGTAGGTAGGGAGAGAGAGAGAGACAGACAGACAGACAGACCTTTGTTATGAACACGCTGGTGATACTCTCAGGGTTATCGCCTTCAGGATTGGGGGGGCCCAGAAGTTGCTCCCCTTCCCCCTTCTCAAAGCTGTACAGGAAAGCAGGATTCAGAATGTACTGCAGAACCTACCAGCCAAAGGAAAGACAAACAAAATATTTATAAAAACCTGAAGAGAGTCAATGACCTACAATATTAGGAAGACAAAGCCTATGTAGGTATCAAAGGCGCATGCAGATCCATCTTGAACTTCAGGCAGGAAACCTTATACCAGAGGTCTTCAAACTTGGCCCTTCTATGACTTGTGGACTTCAACTCCCAGAATTCCTCAGCTAGCGTGCCTCACCTTGGCCTTCAGCTCATCGCCGAAATTGAGGTCGCTGAAGTCGACGAAGCGGAAAAACAGCGCCCGCTTTTGGGCAATGGTGTAGTTTTTGGGGATGTCTTCCTCCATGTACTCCTTCAAGAAGGTCAAGTTGCAGAGGAACCGGCCCGTGAAGGCACGGAGAAGCTGGAACAGCAGCTCGATGTCGTTGTAATTTCTCCTAAGGATTAAGAGGGGAAAGCCAGACGTGAAAACACGCAAAGCACCACAGGCTTCCCTTGTGCGGAAAAGGCCTGTCTCGTTCATGAGGGGGAAGGAGGAAGGGGGGAGGAAGGGAAGGGAAGGGAAGAAAGGGAAAGGGAGGGGAAGGGAAAGGGAGGGGAAGGGAAAGGAAAATGGAAAGGGAAAGGAAAGGAAAGGGAAAGGGAAGAGAAGGAAAATGGAAAGGGAAAGGGAAAGGGGAGGGGAAGGGAAGGGAAGGGAAGGGAAGGAAAGGGAAAGGGAAGAGAAGGAAAAGGAAAAGGGAAAGGGAAGGGAAGGGAAGGGAAAAGGAAAGGGAAGGGAGGAAAAGGAAAGGGAAGGAAAAGGGGAGGGGAGGGGAAGGAAAAGGAAAGGGAAAGGGAAGGGAGGAAAGGGAAAGGGAAGGAAAAGGGGAGGGGAGGGGAAGGGAAGGGAAAGGGAAAGGGAAAAGGGAAGGGAAGGAAAGGAAAGGGAAGGAAAGGGAAGGAAAAGGGAAAGGGAAAGGGAAGGAAAAGGGAAAGGGAAAGGGAAGGAAAAGGGGAGGGGAGGGGAAGGGAAGGAAAAGGAAAGGGAAGGGAAAGGGGAAGGAAAGGAAAGGGAAGAGAAGGAAAATGGAAAGGGAAGGGAAGGAAAGGGAAAGGGAAGAGAAGGAAAAGGAAAGGGAAGGGAAGGGAGGAAAGGGAAGGGAAAGGGAAGGGGAAAAGGAAAGGGAAGGGAAAGGGAAGGAAAGGAAAGGGAAGAGAAGGAAAATGGAAAGGGAAAGGGAAGGAAAAGGGGAGGGGAAGGGAAGGGAAGGGGAAGGGAAGAGAAGGAAAAGGGAAAGGGAAGGGAAGGGAAAAGGAAAGGGAAGGGAAGGAAAAGGGGAGGGGAGGGGAAGGGAAGGGAAAGGGAAGGGGAAAAGGAAAGGGAAGGGAAAGGAAAGGAAAGGAAAGGGAAGAGAAGAGAAGGAAAAGGGGAGGGGAAGGGAAGGAAAAGGGGAGAGGAAAGGAAGGGAAAGGAAGGAAAGGGAAGGGAAAGGGAAGAGAAGGAAAAGGGAAAGGGAAGGGAAGGGAAAAGGAAAGGGAAGGGAAGGGAAGGAAAAGGGGAGGGGAGGGGAAGGGAAAGGGAAGGGGAAAAGGAAAGGGAAGGGAAAGGGAAAGGAAGGGAAAGGAAAGGGGAAGGAGAAGGGAAACCATGATCTGGAGGACTGAGAACCTCCACAGACATTCAACACAAGAGACGCACTTGCAATAATTCAACAAGCAGTAGGCCAGAAGTTTGGGCTCCTTCCAGTTGGTGGCCGCCATGTTCTCCTTCCGGTGCCTCTCTTGGAACGCGTCACTGACCCAGGCTCGCCTCAGCTGGCTCACCAAGGAATGCTGGTTTGCCAGCCAGCATTCATCATTCTTAACAATGATACTGATGATCTGTTGAAAACCAAGGACGGCCGGTATGTAAATTGCCTTCAGCAGGTGATTAGTTATTGTCCATTTAACGTTTCCTCTGCTAGAGTTCCAGGCAGGGCCATTTGCAAACTGGAGACTCTTGGAAAGTGGACCAAAACACAAAACACTTCAAGCCCCACAAGAGACGATGAGAGTTCGCGAAGGTGGCTGAATGGACCGCTTGGATTAAAGAAAAAAAAATTATAAGGATTTTGGTTTCTACCTGGAAACCACTTCTGGACTTTGTGTTTGAGGTGGAGGGGGGGGAGAAAAAATGAAACTTTGATTTTGGGTTTTACCAATTAGAAAGGTTTCCTTGTTCTAGAAATGGCTCGTTTATACTGTTGTATAAAAGTAAAAAAAAAAATGATGTTTGACGTTTTATTCTACTGCACGAGAGGGAGTCGGAACTCAACACGTGTGTATTTTTTTTCTTTTTTTTTCCCCTTCTGGGAATTCTGGGAGTTGAAGTCCCCAGGTCTTAAAGCTGCTAAGGCTGGAAAGCCCTGGTCCACAGCTAGCAAAGCCCCCGAAATCCAGATGGGTACCTTTTATTTAGCATCCTATGTTGAAGGGAACAACCGTACCTTAATAGCTTGAAACTGGAGGTCCAGCCGCATGGTGCTGGCGCTGGGGGAACCGGGCCGAACCGCTGTCTGGGTCCCTCCAGGTAAGAGCAACGTGATGAAACGGTTGGGATTTGCTGCCAGGACATCCCGTAAAGGCTTGGCGTCTTTGTGTTTTAAAAAACTCTGTGAAGATTTTTTTTTTTTTCGAAATGGAGAAAAAAATAATAAAAACTGCTTGGTGAGAAGAGCCATCCAACGTTTACGAACAAGGCCCAAAGCCTCCATGCTAAGCTGCAGTATAGCCTTGCTTTGCACCTCAAATTTTATTTTATTGAACACTGTTTGGTTGAAAACACAACCCTGAAGGCCAGCCCTAGGCTGGGATGGCGAAAGTCGTCTTTTTTTTTTTTTTTTAAAGCCAGCCGTGTCTTACCATGAACATCCTGCTCCACTGTGGATCATTTAAGGTCGCTTCCATCATAAAGAGCTCAACGGTCTGGGATGGATGGCGGGTCAGAAACTTTATCAGTGGTTCTCGGAAGGGGCTGCCAGCCTGCAGATTGCAGAGGAGAGGAGGTCCGTTCACAGGCGAGCAGGTGGAAAGCATGAGCAGCTGGATTTTTAAGAGGATGGATGGATGGATAGGGGAGGTAGGGAGGGAAGGAGGGAGGGAGGGAGGAAAGAAAGGAGGAAGGAAGGGGAGGAAGGAAGGAAGAAGGGGAGGGAGGGAGGAGGGAGGAAGGAAGGAGGAAGAAAGGAGAGGGAGGAAGGAGGGAGGGAGGGAGGAAGAAGGGGAGGGAGGGAAGAAGGGAGGGAAGGAGGGAGGAAGAAGGGGAGGGGAGGAAGGAGGGGGAGGGAGGGAGGGAGGGAGGGAGGGAAGAAGGAAGGAAGGAAGGAAGGAAGGAAGGAAGGAAGGAAGGAAGGAAGGAAGGAAGGAAGGAAGGAAGGAAGGAAGGAAGGAGTTATTTACCTCAATCAACATGGCCCGTTCTGTTTTCATCACCACTTCCAGCAGAGGTTTGACCAGCGTCTGTGGAGCAGCTGGGATCAGATGAAACAGGTTTATAATGGCTGAGCAAATCTTCATTTCCTGCAGACGAAACAGAAATATCAGCGAGCGCCCAGCAGCCATACACCCATAAACATACTTAACCCAGCGGCTGGCCCCAACGGAAGCTACAGCCCTGTTTCTACAGGGGATGATGGCTAGCAAGCCAGATCAAGGAGTTAAACCACGGTTCTTTACCCCAGGCCGTTTCAGAAGCTGCACTGGTTTGAGGAAAGGGGGTGTTTATCTACATCATTTGGTTATGTTTGGGTAGTAAAATCTTGTTTGTCTTTAATGGCATGACGGGAGAAGCACGGGAAATTATGAAACTCAGAAGTGACATCTCTTCAAAACGCAAAATCTGCACTGGGGCTGAAAATGGACTTGGACAGGATTAGATCGTAAAATTGTCTCTCTTTCTGGCCTTCAAGCCATCTTTCTCCAGCACTGTAGCTCAGCTATTCATGAGGACTAGCTACTTTAAAATCCATGGCATCTTGGTTGGGTCTCTTTTACAAGATGACTACTTTCTACTCATTTTTTTTTTTTTACACTGGATTGCAAAAAAACGCCCCAAAAAAGGTCTGGAGGGGGAAGAAGGAAAAAAAATGTATTAAATCTAGAAAAGTGGCTGCGTTCCCTGGACTTAAAGGGAAATGGGGACCTCCATTGTTTCTTTTCAGTTTGACATTAGCAACTCAAAATATTCAGAGATATATAAATATAAATACACACACACACACCCCAAATCCCCTAGTGAAAAATAAAGAACATGCTTAAAACCCCTTCTCCACACGGCAAGTGTTAACGCAAACCACTCTGTCACAGACGAGAAAACAAGAGGACAAATCACAGCACTGCACTCAAAGGCACAATGCACTCTGCCCCGACACGCAACAAAGACAGCTAACCAACCACAGCAAAGGTAACAATGAAACCCAAAAGGTAGAAAACAGAACAGGGAGAAGGGAGAAAGAGGAGAAAGAAGGAGAAACAGTGAAACCAAAAAGGTAGAAAAGGAGGAAGAGGAGAAAAGAGAGAAAGGAGAAGAAAGGAAGAGAAGAAAGGAGGAGGAGAAAGAGGAGAAGGAGAAAGAGGAGGAGGAGGAAGAGAAAGAAGGAGGAAGAGAATCACTGAAAGTTTTTAAATAGAGACTAGGACAGCCATTTGTCTGAAAGGGTATAGGGTTTCCTGCCTGAGCAGGGGGCTGGACTAGAAGACCTCCAAGGACCCTTCCAACTTTATTATTATTATTATTATGGATCATCGCACAGTCAGCCACATGTTCAGACTGGATTTGGCATTTCTGTCTACCTATCGAGTCCTTATAAGGACCTGGGATAGGCAGATGTGAATGTTCGATGGTATTATAGATATCATCGCAGGATGGAAGCAGTTCCTAGTAAGGCCGCCTTTTGCTATTGACTAATGGCAAATTTGTCAATGCTGATGGATATTATTATTATTATAAAAGGAGGAGGAGGAGGAGGAGGAGGAGGAGGAGGAGGAGGAGAAATCACCACTTCCTTGTGCCTCTACCATGAATTCTCACCTCTACCCCTTCCACGGCAGGCTGAGCCAAACACCAGAAGAGGAAAAGAAAAGAAAAAAACAAAAATTCACAGCATGAACAACAACAACAACAAAAAGGGAACACAAATGCCAAAACAAAACAAAACAAAAACAAAAAAAACAAAACGTGTATGTGCTGTTTGCTTTGGACTGCTGTCAGGAGAGAGAGAGAGAGAAAAAAAACCAACAAACCAAAAACTGATTTATTTTATTTTTTTAAAAAAAAGTAGGGATGGTGTTCTCACCTCAAACTGACCGAAGGGAGACAAGGAACCTTTCCTGCATTCTGCAATACTGTCCTAGGGATGGGAAAAGCAACTTTTTTTTTCTTTTTTGACCTTGGAACACACACACAGAATACACAAAGCTCCCCGTATTTCCAAAAAAAAAGAAAAAAAAAACCTAAAAAGCAGACCGGGTGGGCCTGAGCGGGGGGGGGGGGGGGAGGAGATGAGAGCTGGACAAGGCTGTGAAAAAGCAGAATTCCGACTCTCTGGGATGGTGACGGACTGTGTGGGGTGCAGAGGTCACAGCTGGAATCTCCCCTTCCGGGTGTTTGATGGAATAAATCAGGTTCTGGGGATTAGACACCCCCCAATCTGTTCATTCTCACATACACGCAAACACAGCATCATCGCCTTGCGGACCGTTTTCAGAAAAGCATCTGAATAAGGGAGAAAATGCCAATGGAGAGACGGGCCCTCTAGTGACGGTCAGCACCACTCAGATCAGGGGGCTCCCAACGTGGAAACTTTGAGACTTATGGACTTCAACTCCCAGAATTCCCCAAGCCAGCATTACCCAGCACAATCATCAGTATCCATCCTTCCTTCCTTCCTCCCTCTCTCCCTTCTAATTTTTCCTTCCTTCCTTCCTTCCTTCCTTCCTTCCTCCCTCCCCTAATTTTTCCTTCCTTCCCTCCTTCCTTCCTCCAATTTTCCTTCCTTCCTTCCTTCCTAATTTTTCCTTCCTTCCTTCCTCTCCCTAATTTTTCCTTCCTTCCTTTTCCTTCCTTCCTTCCTCCCTCTCTCCCTTCCTTCCTTCCTTCTTCCCTCCCTCTCTCTCTCTTCCTTTTCCTTCCTTCCTTCTTTCCTTCCTTCCTCCCTCCCTCCCTCTCTCTCTCTCTCTCCCTTCCTTCCTTCCTTCCCGTCATTGGTTCTCTGTATTTATCTCCAACGTCCCAGGAAGGATAACCTGGAACCCCTCCCAGAATGAAGCTGGGGGGGGGGAACTGAGCCAGTAATTCCCCCTGACGAAATTGCTAACAGAAACCAGGTGTTGTCCAGCCGCACTTTCCACTGCGCAGGCATCTCACACGTTGTTCACTCAGACAAAAAAGGGGCGCTCCTGTCACTTCAGCTTCAGCAGCAGCAGCTAATGTCCAACCAGCTGCCTCTCAATGCCTTGGAGGGGCTACAGCCTTATTATGAAAACAAAAAACAAAAAAACTTCCATCCTATGAAAAAACAGGTATTAAAAGGGACCCAGAATCAAATCCTGCCCATTCACACCCTGATTTCCCCCTCTGTTGTGAACGTCTCTGCTGTCGAGTTCAAAGCCCCCAAAACAGAATCTGCTACTTACATTTCCATCGCTCCTCTGCCCTCCTTTATGGGTAAGGACCACCACCTCCATCCATTTACGCAAGTGTTGCTGCAAAAGGATCAGAGGGAGATAGGTTACCTCTTGCCCTTCCTGAGTGGCAGGCGTATCTACCAATGAAAAATGAAGTTTAAGGGAGAGAAGGACGAGGGGGGAACATGATAGCCGTGTTCCAGTATCTCAGGGGCTGCCCCAAAGAAGAGGGAGCCAAGCTAGTCTCCAAAGCACCAGAAGGCAGGACAAGAAGCAACGGATGGAAACTAACCAAGGAGAGAAGCAACCTGGAACTAAGGAGAAACTTCCTGACAGTTAGAACAATTAACCAGTGGAACAACCTGCCTCCAGAAGCGGTGAATGCTCCAACACTGGAAGTTTTTAAGAAGAAACTGGACAGCCATTTGTCTGAAATGGTATAGGGTTTCCTGCCTGAGCAGGGGTTGGACTAGATGACTTCCAAGGTCCCTTTCAACTTTATTATTATTGTTGTTGTTATTATTATTAAAAAGTCACTCTACATTGATATATAAAGATTGCTAAAATAATTAGGATATGTATAAACTAAAAATTATTGGTAAATGTAAGAAAGTTATTTTTTATTTAATTGCTATAATAAGAATTGTATTAGTTGAAATGTGAGACAGTAAATACTAAGGGGAAAAGAGAGGAAATATTTAATGTCATAGTTTGAGACATATACTAAAGATATTTGTATGTTATTGAATTATCGATTAACTCAGTCGTCACGCTGCTTTTTAAATATTTAAATGTAAAACTAGAAAACCAATAAAACTTTTAACAACAAAAAAAAGTCACTCGGCGTGGATTGCCACAGGCCACTTTTTCCTCCCTCTTCCTAACGTTTTCCCGCAAATGCAGGATCCACTTCTTTCTTATCCATCCAGGGCTGATAAATTAATTCATTATGAAATAGATAAAAAGAAAAGGACGAGTAAACTAAAAGGGCACACTCAACGGATCGACAACAGATCTTCTATCATCGGTCTTCTGTCTTTCTACATAAACTGACATCCAACCAAGAATATGGTCAATTCCTCACCCGGAACTTCTGCCTTCCTGCCAGATTCTTACCATCATCTGGTCACAAAATTTGTCGTTAAAAGAGTTGGGGAAGAGCCTCGTCACCGACGTCAGCCTGTTCACCACATTGAGGGTGAGGCTCCGATAGTCTCCCAGCATCATCAGCAGCGGTCTCATGTGGGTGTGAATCTGGTCCACTTCGATGGTTGCGCCTTCCAAAAACTGCGAGGGGCCAAAAAGCAGGCAAGGATCAGGGAACGCCGAGAGAATGCAAATGCTTCCATTGTGCTACTGGACCACAATCCGAATAAGACCCTGACATTCCTGATATTATCACTGGGCCAATGTGTGACCTACAATACATACCTGGGCTTATTTTACCAGTCTAACCGGGTGTTTCTCCATCTTAGCAGCTTTAAGTTAGGTGGACTTCAAGCAGGGCACAACAACACAAGACGCTGTGTTTGTCAGATGGAGCTGACAGTCGGGGTTTGAGACCCGAGCTGTGCGCAACAGGGTGAGCTCCCATCCTTAGCTCCAGCTCCTGCTCATCTAGCAGTCTGAATGCATACAAATGTGAGTAGATAAATAGGTACTGTCAGCCGTTCAATGCGAGTAGATGAACAGGTACCGTCAGCAGTTCAAAAGCATGCAACTGCGAGTAAATAGGTAGTCAGCAGTTCAAAAGCATGCAACTGCAAGTAGATAAATAGGTACCCTCAGCAGTTCGAAAGCATGCAACTGCGAGTAGATAAATAGGTACCACTTCAGTGGGAAGGTAACAACATTCAACGAGCCTTTGGCGTATAGCAGGCATGGCAAAATGCCGGCCCAAAATGCCAGATGGGTCACGCCAACACCACGCCCCCCCCCCCATTGCAAGCAATGGGGAAAAAGTCCCAATATATCATGCGACGTCATGTGACATCGTGAATTTGACATGCCTGGCGTATAGCCATGCTGGCCACATGACTATGGAAAACTGTCTTCGGACAACACTGGCTCCTTCGGCCAAGAAATGGAATGAGCACTACACCTTAAGAGTCACACATGCCTGGACAGGGAAACCTTTACCTTTGGACTTCAACTCCCAGAATTCGCCAGCCAGCCAGAAAGATTCCGGGCTAGAGGATTCTGGGAGTTGAAATCTACACAGCTTACTGGCTGGGGAATTCTGTGAGTTGAAGATGGTAAATGCGGCCTGGAGAAACCACTTCCGCCAAGATCTCGAGAGAAACTTCACTGGTTTCAACTGCCATCTGCTCTCTCACAGCTTCCGGTCTTGAGGAAAAAAAAGAAAGGAGACCAAGAGGAAAGAGTGTCCTTTCCCCATCACAAACCTTCCTCATGCAGGCCTCGCCAGCTTCCTGAAGCTCATTGTTGGTCGAATTGAGGGCTTTGAAGAGAGCGCCGATGATCTTCTCTCGAGACTGGGGCAAGTAGTTGCAGGCAGCCAAGGCGTCTGCGTGAAATCAAACAAAGCAAGTCCCCATCTGAAGCGGGAATTCAAACAGTCCTAAAACGAGGCTCTTCTGGTGGACTATTCTGCTACATCAAGGGTCCCCAACCCCCGGGCTCTGGCCTGGTACCAGATTGTAGCCTGTTCAGAACTGGGCCACAGAAGTGATGGGCAACTGGGTGCATGCACGCACAGGCATGAAGCTGCATTTGCAAAAGGGGGGCACACGCACGCACAAAACTATCCCCTTTCCCCACCACCGCCACCTCTGCCAGTCCGGACTGGTGCATTATTGTGCACCGATCACATTACCTACTTTGGTAGTGAAACGTCTCCAAGAAAGCAATTAAGTTCAGGGAGTAGCAAGGACGCCTCATTGCTAGTAATTTTGACTAGGAATTCTGGAAATTGTATGCCAAGTTCAGGGGAAGCCACTGAGCCAACGAATGCCATTTTTTTTCTTCAACACAGCTCCCTTTAAGCTTGGAACTGGCTCCCTTTAAGCCAGGGGGTCTTCAAACGTGGCCCTTTTCTGACTTGTGGACTTCAACTCCCAGAATTCCTCATCCAGGCAGAAAAGGGCCAAGTTTGAAGACCTCTGGTTTAGGCAGTAAACCTCTCCCAGCTATCTTCAATTCTTGATCAACTTACTCAGCGCTGCAATTCGAAGGGGCACCAAAGATGGCAGACTCTTATAACAGGGCAATTTCATTAAGGCACAATCTTCAGCCTCACACAGATTCAGCAGCTGAAAGTTCAAAGAGAAGAAAAGTTGTCTGAAATGGTATAGGGTTTCCTGCCTGAGCAGGGGGTTGGATTAGATGACCTCCAAGGTCCCTTCCAACATTATTATTATTATTATTATTATTATTATTATTATTATTATCCACAGCGCTGCTGATTTACAGGGCTCAAATTTTACAAAACGGTCTGAAAAGTGGCAAATACCTCTGTATAAAATACTTTGTGCTCTACCACGTTGAGGTCCATGGTGAAAAGCCGAGGTTGTAGAGTAGTGCAAAATGTGTTCCCTTCCATCAAACCGATCTGGGCGTTTGCCGGCTGATGTCGGAGCAAATGCTTTTTGGGAGGAACCATATCCTGGAGTACCTAGAAGACAGGGAGGTCTATCAAGAACATGATCTTTATTGACTTGATCCCACCACTATCGTCATGGCGATTTCCCCATCTGGCCCACAATCCAGGTTCAGCCCTCGGAGAACAAAACTTGTAGCATTACATCTGAAGGGACAATCAATTTGGAAAAGGTCTCTAAAAGCAAAGAACCATCCTAGCATCTTAGAATCTTCTCAACTTGGAAACCTCTCTTTCCCCTCAGCATGGCTGACTCAGGAATTCCAGAAGTTGAAGCCCACGAGTCATAAAAGAGCCAAGGTTGCCTACCCCTGCTCTAGCTCAATCAATCTCATAACAATTGTCTGACACCTTATTGGATAATGTGACCTGCACTAATTGGGAGGGGGAGGGAAATTCTATGCCAATTCATCAGAGCTGGTTTTCCATTCCTCTGTGCCGATATGCTGAGCTCAATAAAGTTTTGCATTAGAGATGGGAAAGTCTCAGCTCTGCTCGCTTCATTGGGATCATCAGTCGGAACCTGGACACTAAGCTTCAATTTGGCAGCTGCGGGCCAACAATGGCCAGCCTCACCTCTTCTTTTATTAATTTTTTATAATCACAAATGCTTAATATTTTATCAGCAACCTATTGTCTGGATTCCAATATTTAGCTTACCAATACATGTTAAATTCCTTTCTCCAAAGCTTCCTCCTTCTGTTATGTATTCAAGATGGACAGTGAATAATATTTATATGTTACTTATATGTAAGGGTGTAGGTCTATATATATGTTTTATATAGTATGTTTTAAATGTGTGTGGTGTGTGTGTACACTTTGAGAGGAAGCAACTAAATTTCATTTTTAATGTGTGCCCTTGTGCCCACAGGAAAAAAAATGACCATAACGGTTATCTAATCGACAGGTTATCTAATCTCTACCTTGTTTTTCTAGCCACTGATAAAAGGTGTCCCATGTTCTAAAATATTCTGAATCTTCTTTCACTTTCAGTGTCAGTCTGTCCATTTCTGCACAGTCTAAAATTTTCTTAGTTATCTCTTCCTCTGCTAATTCTTCCTCTTTCCAACGTTGAGCAGTTAACACATATGTAACAGCACAGTCTCACCTCTTTATGGGGCTCCATGATGGCCGTGACGCTCTTCCCCGTGACCTGGGCCACCACCTGGAGGGAATGCATAGCCTGCTTCCTCACGGTGGAGTTTGGCGAGGTCACTTCTCGTACCAGGTCGTGGGTCACGTGGTGGAAGGACTTCTCCTGGGCGGTGAGGATTTCGTCCGTCTTCTCCTCTTCTTTCAACAAGGTCGCGCATCGGATTAAGAGCTGCTCCAAAGTGGTCTTGGCCATCGCCACGGCCCCGTTGGAGACCTAGACGGGCATTTCACCACCAATCAAACTTTATTTTCACGTTTTTACATTTTATTCGGGTCTGTGGCAATAACGAAAGATTGAGTTGACTGACTGGAGGAAAAGTCACCAGAGGGGGCAAGGGAAGGAAGGAGAGCTATAAAATGAAATGCCACATGAAATTTGATGAATAATTAAAATAAAGAGCAGTGGCACTTAGACTCACACATTGCCTCACAATGCTTTGCAGCCTTCTCCAAGCGGTTTACAGAGTCAGCATATTTCTCCCGTGACAATCTGGGTCCTCATTTTACCAGCCTCGGAAGGATGGAAGGCTGAGTCAACCCGAAGCCGGTGAAGATCGAACTCTTAGCAGTGGGCAGAGTTAGCCTGCAATACTGCATACTAACTATTGCACCACCACGGCTCATCAGCAGTAGCACTTAAGACTTAATACTGCTTCACAGTGCTTTACAGCCCTCTCTAAGTATTTTACAGAGTCAGCCTTTTGCCCCCAACAATCTGGCTCCTCATTTTACCAACCTCGGAAGGATGGAAGGCTGAGTCCACCTTGAGTCCTAAGAGAGACGTACCTCTCCCGTCAGGTCCATCATGACGAACAGCAAAGCCTTGAGGAATGTCTGCTGGTTCTGGAGGACCCAAATAAGAGGGAGCCGCTCCATCAGGAACTTGATGGACACCACCCCGCCGAGCTTGGCATACCAAGCTTGCTCGTAGCAACAAGCACAGAGGCGTTCCACGATGTAGGAGAACAAGGGCAGCTGGCAGGCCTAGAGGACGGGAAGAAACGTGGATCAACCAGAGGGCTGGGGATCTTCTGGAGAACGAGATGGCGGCCACATCAAAGGAGTTACCCGTTCCTTGGATCCCAAAATGATGCTGGCCACGTCGAAGATCACCGCCAACGCCACCTCGCCGATTTTGCAGAGCTCCTTCTCCTCGTAAGCCATGCAGATGGCGATGGCGTCGATCAGCACCAAGGGATCCATGCCTCTCGATCCATTTTCCTCGCTGTGAAACATGGAAGTGCTGGGCTGACTTCCCACCTGATAACACTGAAGTAAGAAAGGGCCTGGGGGTTGACCAGGCGACAAGGAGGACGAAAGGAGAAGGGAGGGAAGAGGGAAGAAGGACGTTAAAGAAGAGCAGAGCGGTAGTTTTCCTTCAAACCACACTCCCTTCCAGCACTGATGATGTTACCTAGTTGGGTAATGAAACATCTGCAAGAAAACCATCAAGCTCAGAGAGCACCAAGGACTCCACAGTTCATCTGTCAGCTACAAATATCTCTTCTATGGTTATCTGTCTGTCTGTCTGTCTGTCTGTCTGTCTGTCTGTCTATCTATCTATCTATCTATCTATCTATCTATCTATCTATCTATCTATCTATCCATCTATCTATCATTTACCTACCTACCTACCTATATTATCTATCTACCTCTATTATCTATCTACCTATTATCTACCTACCTACCTACCTATCTATTTATCTATCTATCTATCTCCCACCAACATTGACAGGGCAAGCCAACTGTACATAAACAGAGAGCAAACTCCACATCCTTCTAGGAATGATGATGCAGTTCCAGACGTGCTGCAATTCCGGTGCCAAGAGTTCAGCCTTTGACCCTCCAGGTTGGCAAATCCTAGAAGCTTGATCCTCAAGGCATCTGGGCAGCACTGGGACAGGTGTCCGTTTCTTGTCACCTGTCCTGCTTCCCAAATTAAATCTACTGTACCCAAGAATGAGCTGCTTTCTTTCCAAGCTAGCATTTACGGCTGCAGCCAAAACCAGGGAATTGCTGAATTCTTACCGCATTGCTGAGCCACTGCCACCATGGTGTAATGGCGGATCAGGCTGGCCACGAAAGGCAGAGCGCTGGGTCGCAGGTCCTTGATCACCGCGGACATGAAGGCCCCGGTCAGGGCCTGTTCAAAGGTCTTCCGAGCAGGTGTGTCTTGAGCCTTGTACCGATGCGAAATAATCACGTTGGGAATGGACTTCTCGGTAAAGCTGGTAAAACCAAAGTAAGAACACCGAGAACCCCATGAATTTACTCCGAGCAATTGTCTTGGAAGCTGTGACGGTCGTAAGTGTGGAAAAAAGCAGTCCTAAGTCACTTTGTTCGGTGCCGTTGCAACTTCGAACTGTCACTAAACAAATGGCTGTCAGTCAAGGCTTAGCTGCATTGTGCCACCCAACTCTTTGGGTGAGTATAAATTTAAATAATTCTGTCTGATATTTGCGTTTAGGACAGCGTGAAACACGGGCACTGCCATGGTTAACTCGGATTTTATTATCCCCGTATGATCCGGCCAGCCTACCACCCTTTTAGGCAACCTCCCAAAATACATCTTCCCAGAATTCCATGCTTGCGAGGGGATTCTGGGAAGAGAAGGCGATGCCTCCAAAGGGTACCCCGATTGTTGGGTAGCTTGGGCTCCATCGCAAGAACAAGGCCCAGCTTGTCAATGTTAACTTGATCCACCTGTGTCCTTACTTGGGATGTGCCAGAAGCTGGTACAAAGCATGCTTGTTGTCATCTAGGCTCATCATGGCCACCAGGAAACACTTGATGACCTCCCACGCTTGCCTCCGATAGTAAGGCTCCGTGTTGGCGCTCTTCAAGCAGTCTAAGGCAGTCTCAATGGCCTAAGACGATGGAAAAGGATCCCCCTTGGTCAAGCAGTAGAAAACTCCAAAGCACCACAATGTTGGAAACCAGCCACAATTGCTTCCCACAACACTTGTCTTGAGTCCTGGGAAGTCAAACCACCTACTTGTGTTTCCCCCCAAAGTAAGACCAAGTCTTATATTAATTTTTGCTCCAAAAGGTGCATTAGGGCTTTTTTCCGGTTAGGGCTTATATACGGGGAAATAAGGTACTAAATGCGTCCGTCTGGCTGAAGATCTTAACGGGGGTTTATTTTTGGGGTAGGGCTTATATTACGAGCATCCTGAAAAATCAGGCTAGGGCTTATTTTTGGAGAAACAAGGTAATTAGGGCTGTCTTACTATTCTTCTTCTCACCTTTCCCGTTACCTATTTCCTTAGCTTCTTGTGACTATTACTGGGCAGGCCCCCAGCATCGATGTATGAATGCAAACTCTCAGGCTGAGACCCCCCCCCCAACCCAGAAGGCACTGAAGGAAGGCCTCACCTTCTCCATGGGGAGCTGAATGGATGCTTTACAGTCAGAGAACTCCGCCGTAATGCTAGGCCCTTGGATCTCGGTCACCACGTAGTGCAACTTCTGAGAGTCCTTCAGCATTTTCCTGTTGCTTCCGCCGAACTTGCCCAGCACCCGATAAGCCACGTGAGAAATGGTCTCCGCAGGGTTACGCAGAGTCCGCCACAGAGCCTAAGAAGGTGGAAACGCTGAGTTTTCAAAGCCTTCACAGCTCTTCAGGGCAGTATAGAACCTCCCTAGTAAATATGTTATGGAGCCAGTTTGGTCTAGCGGTAAAGGCGCCAGGCTGGAAACTGGGAGACACTGAGTTCTAGTCCTGCTTTAGACCTGAAAGCCAACTGGATGGCTTTGGGCCTGTTTGCCACCCTGAGCTATTGCTAAAAATAATAACAGCAAGGTAGAAACAACAAATACAATGAAGCGTTCATCCTAGTCGGCAGGAATTCTTGCAAGTGACAGTTTTACATTTTCCCTAAAATAATTCAAGAGATCTCAAAGAGGCCAAGCGATTTTCTTTGCCTCCCTCAGACTAATTGCTAACAAGCTGGGATGCAGGAGAAACTTCCTGACGATGAGGACAATTAACCAGTGGAACAGCCTGCCTCCAGAAACCGTGGATGCTCCATCACTGGAAACTTTCAAGAAGAGGCTGGACAGTCACTTGTCTGAGATGGTATAGGTCCTCCTGCTTGAGCAGGGGGGGGCTGGACTAGAAGACCTCCAAGGTCCCCTTCCAGTTCTATTCCATTCCATTCTATATTCTATTCCATTCTATTCTATATTTCTATTCTGTTCTGTTCTGTTCTATTGTGTTCTGTTCTATTTCTATTCTATTATTCTATTCTATTCTGTTCTATTCTATTCCATTCTCTTTTTCTATTCTATTCTATTTTATTCTGTATTTCTATTCTATTCTGCATTCTATTCTATTCTGCATTCTGTTCTATTCTATTCTGCATTCTATTCTGCATTCTATTCCATTCCATTCTATAATTCTTTTCTATTCTATTCTATTCCATTCCGTTCTGTAATTCTATTCTATTCCATTCCATTCCATTCTGCATTTCTATTCTATTCTATTCTATTCTATTCTATTCTATTCTATTCTATTCTATTCTATTCTATTCTATTCTAATTTGCAATCTGCATACTTCCCATTAGCTTCCCTCCCGTTCCCCAGACCACCTTCCACCTTGAATCGTAAGCTGAGCAATGATGTTCCTTCCAAAGCAGGTTTGTCCTCATAGCAAGGTAAAGGCTGCCCTCTACCATCCCATTCGCGCAATTACAGCTTTACCTGCATGAGTTCAGCTCGGACAGGTTGGATGTGATCGTAGAGGAAGTCTGGCTGCAGATTATCCACGCAGAGCTCCAGAGTGCGCAGGCCTTGGCTGACCAGGGTCTGAGAGCCGTTTAAGGCTGACACCAAAGGGTCCATCAGCATCGGCAGGTAGGGGAGGAGGGAGCTGAGACGCACCGGGACGGTCAGGCACAGCTCCACAAACAAATCTTTCATGTGCTGCTTGTGCAAACCGCTCTGGAGCATGTTGAGACCTGAAGAGCAACAGAGAGCAAGACCAGAGCATCAAGCCCACCGCCAAAGCCTACAGAGATATACTGTAGAAGGCACTCCCCAAGTTACGACTGAGACTACCTTGCCAGCCTGGTCCGCTATAGTCATAAAGCCGTGACAAATCACAATAAAAAGCTAACTGGCCTGATTTTATAGCTTTTTTTTTTTTTTTGCAGCAGTCGTTAAGCAAACAAAGTAGCTGTAAAACAAAACTAAAGGAACCCACAATTCGCCACGGGGCTGGTTTTGCCAAAACTGTGTCGGTTTGGGGGGAAACCGCCATAAAACCTGGTTACCTGCCTGCAGGATGCTGCAAATGGCCGTAAACTAGCCACGTTTGCTGAGTATCTGAACTCTGGCCCTGAGACCCAGGAGGGAGGCGGCCATCAGAACTTTGAATCCAGGTTGAAAGTTCCCCCTTTTTAAGGTGGTAAGCTTGGAACACCCGCCGAACAACCCATCTTAAGCCGAGGAGCACCCATATGATGGGAGAACGGGGGAGAGAGGTGCATTACTGACCTTGTAGTAGGTTAGGCAGCAAGGGCAAGAATTCCTGATACAGGAGGTCATGGCTACCTCCGCCGATCGACCGGAAAAGGGCTCTCAGCAGCAGGAAGTAATTGTAGGGTTCTTTCGCCGTCTGCGCGAGCTCCATGGAGCTGTTGACTATTTTATGGAGGTGGGGCTGAAAGCAACAGAAAGGAAGGTGGGAGAGAAGATGATTGACGCAGCTCAAAACGCAACCTGTGTTCGGGTTATCTGTCCGGATGGAGCAAAGTGGCTACAGTGGCAATGCTGGGCAGGAGGTGAGCGTCTCCTGCGTTCGAGACCCAAGAGCTGACATCAGGCAGGGTTGAGTTCTCCTCCTTCACTCCAGCTGCTGGAGTGAACCTCAAAAAAGATGTTTTGAGACTTCGGGGGGGAAAGCGCAGAGAAGAGCAACGGAGACGATTAAAGGCCTGAAGACTAAAACATAGGCAGGATTTGGGTTTGGCTAGTCTAGAGAAAAGAACTGGGGGGGGGCGAGAGACATGATAAGTCTTCCAATATTTGTGGGGCTGCTACAAAGAAGAGGGAGTCAAGCTATTCTCCAAAGCACCTAAAGGCAGGACCAGAAGCAACGGATGGAAACTAATCAAGGAGAGAAGTCACCTGGAATTAAGGAGGAATTTCCTAACATTGAGAACAATCAACCAGTGGAATGGCTTGAATGGCTTGCCTTCAGACCTTGTGGGTGATCCATCACTGGAGGTTTTTAAAAAGAGACTAGACAGCCACTTGTCTGAAATAGTGTAGGGTCTCCTGCTTGAGCGGGGGGCCTGGACTGGAAGACCCCTTCCAGCACTACTCCATTCCTGCTGGGGATATGAAAGGCATCCCCAACTGGGCGTCTCCAGGACAACGGTGATGTCACCAGCTAAGCCTTTCAATCGTCAAACTTTTGGTGCTTTTGACATGAGTTTAAAAAAAAAAAAATCTGTCTGGACAGGCTGCTATTACAGGCAGTCCTCTACTTATGACAACTGGGACCGGAAATTTCCATTGCTAAGCAAGACGGCTATTAAGCAAGTCGCTGAGTCTATTTATTTTGGGTGTGTTTTATTCTTTTTGTTTTAAATTATTTTTAATTGTAGTATGTTTTGCTTTCATTGTAAGCCACCCAAAGTCCTTGACTGGGATGGGCAGCTATAACAACTGAATGAATTAATATTTTTTTAAAAAAAAGAGGGGGGGGTGGAAGAATGGGCCACCTGACTCAACCCAGTAACAAATAATAACCTGGAAAGTTTCTTTTATTATTATTATTAAGCTCTAAAGGCCCGGCCTTGCTCCATTATGGGCGAGAAATACTTTCATCCCTCAAATTAAATTGTCTGCTCAGGGCCACGCATCAGGTCTTTGAGAACCGAACAGGCGCGCAACAAAGGCAGCCGTATATCACACCGAAGAAATTGGATTTCCCTTTTGCACCATCCAAATGACCTTCATTCAGGAGGCTGACTTGGAAAACGCAAAATAGAGAACCCCAGTTCGGAGGGAGGAACAGACTTTACACATCTTAAGACTTATTTGCCAGGCAAGAAGCAGCTCGGGGTTAAACAATTAACCCACAAGTAATCAGGAATTCTTGGCAGTTGAAAGAAATGTCCCCCCCCCGCCCCCAGTCTTGGAATATTGCATGTCACGTTTTGTTAATTCCAAAGAAAAAAAAATTACAGAACACAAGAACACCAGATATGAAGCTGATTGGGACAGATTGGAATAATTATTTAGGCACAATGAAAACAAGCTTCCGCAACATAGCAGTCTCCATTTATGATGGACTACAAGCCCCATAATCACCAACATCTGGCAAGTACAAAAAGATTGGAAGGGTTTGTTGTTTTTAATTTTCCTAAGCAGCGTGGTGGCCTGGTGGTAAAGACGCTTGCCTCCCACTCGGAAGGTTGAGAGTTCAATCCTAAGTAGTGCAAAATATTTCTCTCTCAGGGTGTAAAGGGAAAATATTTGCTGCAAACTCCACATAGGTGTCAGGAAGGGCATCCGGACTATAAATGCTCAGCTCCATCCATTCACCCTGGCTCTACCCAGAAATTAAGGGATTTATTGGGTCATAAAAAAGCAGAGATGGTTTTGTTTTCCTCTCCAAAGGTCTATCAACACACAGACTTCACTTCACTTCCTAATGTCAAAGCAACTTAGAAGATGTTTGGGATTTAATCAACGGCCTGCTGAATTCTTTCAAACAAACCAGGCCCTAAAAACATACTTTGTAGACGTTCCTCCATTTCTCCTCCAGCGTTTACCTTCAACATCTGCTCGTTTTCCGCTGCGAAGAGCGAAACCGAACCAAAGACCAACTTGAAGAGTTTGAGATACAGGTTGGACAGCTCCACGTTGGAACCCATTTCAGGCAAACGGTCCAACAGATACTCTACCAGGATGGTGGCAAATAAAGCTGAGGTCGTAGGGTTGGCCAAGAAAGAATTGGCAACGATCTGTCAAAATGGGGAAAAAAGCAAACTGATTTTTTTCCCCAAAAAAAACTGCTAATGAAAACTGAAATGTTAATGCTAAAAATTGAGAGCCGGTTTGGCCTAGTAGGGAAGGCAACAGAAACCAGGAGATGGTGAGTTCTAATCCCACCTGAGACCTAAAAGCCAGCTTTGGGCCAATTACCAGGAGACGGTGAGTTCCAGTCCCACCTTAGGCCTGAAAGCCAGCTGGGTGACTTTGAGTCAATCACCAGGAGACAGTGAATTCTATTCCCACCTTAGTCATGAAAGCTAGCTGGGTGACTCTGGGTCTATCACCAGGAGATGGTGAATTCTAGTCCTGCCTTAGGCATGAAAGCCGGGTGACTTTCAGTCAATCACCAGGAGACTAGTCCCACCTTAGACAGGAAAGCCAGCTGGGCCAGTCCCTCTCTCAGCCCAAACCACCTCACAGGACTGTTGTTGTGGGGAAAATGGGAGGAGGAAGCAGTTTTCGCTTTATTTTCCATCTTGAGTTATCTATAAAAACAGTCATGGTGGGATAAAAATCTAAACTAGATAAATTCAGCTGCTGGGGGACCAAAGCCAAATATCCAAGCCCAGGCAGACCCCTACAAGCAGAAGTGGAAGCAGTCATGTCCCAAGACTCTCTTGAACCTATTCTGCCTCATCTTCCTGATCCGCTTTCCCTTCCTTTTGTAGGAAAAAGGGACGCTCAAATTGGTCAGTTCCACCCACGGCACAGTTCTTCTTCTTCTTCTGCTCAGCAGGATCAAAACCACCGTGGTTTGCTTGGGTGACCAAAGTTTGCTCCATTTCCAGGTTATGTCATCAAGAAAGTCATGGAGGAAGAACTTCCATGGTTCTCCTCCTTTTGGGAACTGACCTCCTTTCTCCTTTAGGAGCGCAAGACACCTAGATGACACCTTGCTAATTTTCCGTGCCCTCCTGCCTCCGCTAACAATTGTGCTTCGCTGGCATTGTCTTCTCAACCACCACACAGGAGAAACAACAGAGAGTGGTTGCCTACAACCGACCTTCCCAAGGAAAGTGGATCGGTGGATTTTCTTTGTTTTTTGTTTAGATCAGCTGGATGTGGATCTTGTTAGAGAGATCTTCCCACTTCAGTTATTTTCATCTTAAATCACGATGGCCACAGTCCAACCTCTGCTGCACAGTTTCCTTGCAACCTCAAGCGCCCAATAAAACGGCACAACGGTTAGAAATCAGTGCCAGAGAAGGAATGTTGTGAACTGTGAAGCCCACTTTCGCGGGCCACTCACTGTCAAGTGCCTAAAACATACTACCTGGAGGGCATAGTTTTTGGAGATCCTTTCCACCATGTAAGGGACAGACGTCTGGAAGATTTCTTTGAAAGTCAAAGGGTTCATCATGGTGAAGACCCCAGCAAAGTGTTCCAGGACCTCTTTCTCCTCCTTCATTCGGACCGTCTGGCAGTTGGCCACCCGAATGTACGTCTGCCCGTTCCCAGCTATTTGGACCTGGGCGGAAGGGATACATTTCATGGAATTAAAATAAGGGTACTTGGCCAAGTTAACGAGAACACCCTGAGCTTTTATTTATTTAGCGTATGGCATCTGTAGAGGTCATGCAATCACTGATATGCAAATGTAAATTTAGATAAAGCATCAGCAAAGATGGATAGATGGATGGATGTAGAGATGAGAGATGTAGGTAGAGATGATGAATATATAATAGATAGATAGATATAGACAGAGATAGATAGATAGATAGATAGATAGATAGATAGATAGATAGATAGATAGATAGATAGAGATAAAGATAGATAGATAGATAGATAGATACAGAGATAGATAGATACAGAGATAGATAGATAGATAGATAGATAGATAGAGATAGATAGATAGATAGATAGATACAGAGATAGATAGATACAGAGATAGATAGATAGATAGATAGAGATAGAGATAGATAGATACAGAGATAGATAGATAGATACAGAGATAAATAGATAGATAGATAGATAGATAGATAGAGATAGATAGATAGATAGATAGATACAGAGATAGATAGATACAGAGATAGATAGATAGATAGGTAGGTAGGTAGGTAGGTAGGTAGGTAAAGATAGATGAGAGAGAGAGAGAGAGAGAGACTGATTAGAAAAATAAAGACAGACAGAAAGGTAGATAATGTGGACAATACAACAATACCAGATAAAATATGAAATTAAGATGTCCCAAAGGACATCATTTTTTTTTTACTTTGAAGACATTTCGCTTCTCATCCAAGAAGCTTCTTCATAAGATGAGGACTAGCTGTAACCATCTTCCAAATTAGAGTTATAAGTCACCTCCATGAGGATGCAAACATCCCGATACGTACCTGATAAATATCCAAAGCCTGCATGGCGTATTTGACCAATTTTATATAAATCTGGGTCTCTTTCGGTTGAAGCTGCTTATTGGGAATGAACTGGGCTTCTAAACAGAGGAAAGAGAAGAATCGTTGAGATCAGGGGGAAAAAAAAGAAGAGGCAATTCCAATTCACAATCTCAACTTAAAGGTCCGGGACTGGGTGGCCACCTCAATCCATTTTAAAAATGAAAGCTCAAGTCAATTTTTACCGCCAGGAGCTTTGCAAGACGTGATGCCCCAGGTGATCGTCTTGACCCCGCAAACTAAGGTCTTCACCAAACTTCGACAATCCGTGACTTGAAAGGTCTGCTTATCCTCCTTCTCCTTCTCCCCTTGCTTCTCAAAGACGGGCCCTGAGGCCGGGACCACCGGGGTGGTGGTGGGCGCAGGGGAAGGAACCGTGACCGGAAGCGCGTTTCCCCCTGCTGGCGCCCCGGTTAAAGCAGCTTCTCCTGCCCCCAGCTCTGACTGTGGCTTGCACTTTTTAAAGATGATGGAAAGCTGGTAGCGGGCGATGGTGTGAAATTTCAAGACAAAAACCTGAGGAACGAGAAGGAGAGGAACGGGAGATCAGGAACAACAAGGGTATCAAAGGGGGTGGAAATAAGGAAGCGGCTGGAAATCCTTTCACGTCCAAGTTTTTCGAACACCCCCTCACTGTCCAGAGGCAAAAAGCAAGAAAAACGCCTCGGGATTCTTCCAAGCACATTCTTTCTCACCTATAGACAGAATCTTGCCGGACTAAAGCATTGCTACCATCTCCATAAAGGAAGACTATCCAACCTTGGCAACTTGGAGATCAGTGGACTTCAACTCCCAGAATTCCTCAGTCAGCAGAGCCATTGTTGAGAATTCTGGGCACTGAACCCCCATCTTAAAAGGTGCGAGGCTTATATTCTACTCTAAGCTACGAAGCCACCTTACATGATGGAAGTTAGTTAAAGGATTAGTTAAAGTCCTTTAAAAGTTAAAAGACTCCATCATTCCCATTCGTTTTTTAATTTAAATACACCAGAGTTCCCCAACCTTTCCAGCTTTGTGAACCAGTGGGGGGGGGGAATTCTGCACGAGCAGCAGGCAAGCATGCTCCATTTGTACGAGCGCTGGGCACGCATACCTCCTTGTACAAATGTAGCACGCACACGCCATGTGCTCACCCGCTACTAGGGATGTGCTCAGGTGTGCTTGTCTACTTGCACAACCCAGTTCCAAACAGTTCAAGGCCTGGTAGTGGGCTGCAGTCCCGGGGATTGGGGACCCCTGCAGTACGCAACGTCTCTCCCGAGAGTCCACGTTTGAGCCGTAATATCGTTTCACACTGGCATTTCCACCAGCACGGTCTTCCCACTCCCAGGCACGAGCCTTCCTACCTCCAACATCCTCATGAGAATATCCCTGCCGTTTCCATTCTCCTGCTCGCTCTTGGAGCGAATACAATCCACCAGGTTGAGCAAAAGTTTGCATGACATAGTCTGGATACTGCTGGGTAACGATTCATCGTCAATGTTCTTGGCAAAGAGCTGGACAGCCAAGGAGAGATCGTTGAGAGGTAAATGCTGGCGGACGTGGTGAACCAGATCAGCCAGGGTGCTGTACGCAAGGGGCCTGAAACAAGGACGCATTAACAGAGGGATAGAATCAAGATCACAGGAAGTGTTAATATCACTTTACAAGGCCTTGGTAGGGCCACACTTGGAATACGGCATCCAGTTTTGGTCACCACGATGTAAAAAAGATGTTGAGACTCTAGAAAGAGTACAGAGAAGAGCAACAAAGATAATTAGGGGACTGGAGGCTAAAATATATAAGGAATGCTTGCTGGAATTGGGCATGTCTAGTTTAATGAAGAGAAGAATGAGGGGGGACATGATAGCAATCTTCCAATATTTCAGGGGCTACCATAAAGAAGAGGGAGTCAAGCTAGTCTACAAAGCCCCTAGGACAAGAAGCAACAGATGGAAACTAACCAAAGAGAGAAGCAACCTAGAACTAAGAAGAAATTTCCTGATAGTGACAACAATTAATAGTGGAACAACCTGCCTCCAGAAACGATGAATGCTCCAACACTGGAAGTTTTTAAGAAGAGACTGGACAGCCATTTGTCTGAAATGGTATAGGGTTTCCTGCCTGAGTAGGGAGTTGGACTAGATGACCTCCAAGGTCCCTTCCAACTTTCTTCCTCTTTTTTCTTCTTTCTTCTTCTTTTTCTTTTTCTTTTTCTTTTTCTTCTTCTTCTTCTTATTATATTATTATTTCGGAGGCGAGGTTCATTTAAATTTTCGCTTGGGGGGGTAAAGATGTCCTACAGCTAACCAAGGTTGGGCAGAAAGCTCCCCACAGGTGGTCTTCAACTTACAACCATTCACATAGCAACCGGTAAGTTAGGACGGTGCCAAAAAAAAGTGTGACGTATGAGGGCACCTCACAAGGACAGGCAGTCGACTGGCAGTCCGTTTAGTGACCGTTTTAAAGTTATAACAGTTCCACAGACAATTTGCACGAAGCAACGCCAGAGGGGACGCTGAATTGGGAATCTAGTTATGAGGCCACTGCCATACACACACACACACACCTCGTAGACCTTTTGTATACAACTACATGGATTGTGTGTGCATATGTTTACTTCTGCCGTGTTCTCATCGTACTCTAAGCAAATAATAGATAAACAAGCTGCTAAAGCTGCAGCGTTTGTAGGGTGTGGGACCAGGCCTGCATCACAATTTCCCTTCCCCTGCAGACACCTGCAGATTTTTATAGAGGACCCCCCCCAAAGGCCTCCAGGTAAGAGTGTGAGTTACACACCTGAGTGTTTCACGGGCCGTGTAGCCAGAACCAATGAGTATGGACTCGTCAAACAATTTGTCCATGCACGGGATAAACTCTGCAAAACAAAAAATTGCCACGGAGTAAGTACCGCCATGAAAAGAGACCAGGTTTATATTAAGAGGTTTCAACGAATTTCAGACGGCACAGGCAGTCCTCGACTTATGACAGTTACATTTAGTGACCGTTCAAAGTTCCAACAGCAGTGGGGGGGAAAAGTGACTTAGGACTGTTTTTCACAGCCCTGCGGTCATGTGATCGAAATTCAGAGGCCGGGCAATGCTCCCTTGAGGTCGTTAAGTCGAGGACTTACCTGTATTTAAGAGATGCAACTATCTAAACGGGGCAAAAAAAAGTACATACGGCTCCTCAGGTCTGTGGTGAGGATATGTTTGGCCGCGATGAGCAGTTCCTTTCTCAGGTGAGCCGTTTCTGCTGGACAGTTGGACAGCAGCTGCAACATTCCCTTGACCATTTGTTGAGAGTACTTCGCCACCAGCTCCTGGCAAGGCGAGGAAAAAAAATAAAAATAAAAATAAATGCAACTCCCTATTGTAGATGGGGCCTCCGTGGTTTATATCTCAACGAAGAGGAACTTAGAGGAAGTAAGACCTGGCCTTGGGGGGGGGGGAGGGCACAGGTGACCACACAAGCAACACTCACCTGATAAATCCTGATGATATAAGCCAGGAATGACAATGTTTTGATCTGGGCGGCAATGAAGTCGGCGTACAATTCTTTATTGTAGTTTTTATTCTGCCTGAATAGGGAAGAAGGCAGATGGGATCACCAGAGTTATGGGTTGGCACAAACACTCAACAAAGGATTGTAAGGACGACAGAAAGCCGGCAGAGCTTTACAAGAATATTCTGCTTTCCCTCGTAAAAATGCCTCTTCTAAGGAGATGCCACCTATTTGTAACCTCAAAGCAAGCTTCTTGTTAGGAAACATTCTTTGCTCACAGATCGGTTTCCTTTTAAAAAGACAGTCTTCTCAGTCACCACGTATTTGTTTTGGGGGAAAAAAAGGCTTTAAAAAATGGCTCTTGCTGGGGGTAACGTCCCACTGTATTCAGTGAGATTATTCCCGAGTAGTACAAACAACCTTGCACTTAAAGATACCAAATTAACATTCAAAAGTGCACGATAACAAAGCTTGCCTCTCTCCAAAGCAGGATCAAGACCCCCAGAATCTTTGATTATAGATTCCCCCTTGTCACCACCAGATTGCAAAGTTTAACACGACTGATAACGCTTAAACGCATCGAAAGCAAGGATGTGACTTGTACCTAGTTCAATAATGCAACTGTAATTAAATTACTTTCAGGTTTGATCTTGGCCTGTCCCTTTGTGGATACAGCTCACAAATGCAGCCCCCCATCTGAAAAAAATAACACCTGCCATTCCTTGCCTTATAGGCTAAAGATTTAGGGAAGCGGTTTCCCACTCAAAGGAGAGTTATAAACCTCTTCCTCGTAAGATGGCCGAAGACAATGGTTGTTGGTTTTTTTTATTTCTGAGGTAAATAACAGTAACTCTTGATGCTGGAATGCTCGCGTTTGTTCCCTTATGACAGGGGTCTTCAAACTTGTGGACTTCAACTCCCAGAATTCCTCAGCCAGGCCCTTGTTACTTGTGGACTTCAACTCCCAGAATTCCTCAGCCAGGCCCTTGTTACTTGTGGACTTCAACTCCCAGAATTCCTCAGCCAGGCACTTGTTACTTGTGGACTTCAACTCCCAGAATTCCTCAGCCAGGCACTTGTTACTTGTGGACTTCAACTCCCAGAATTCCTCAGCCAGGCACTTGTTACTTGTGGACTTCAACTCCCAGAATTCCTCAGCCAGGCACTTGTTACTTGTGGACTTCGACTCCCAGAATTCCTCAGCCAGGCACTTGTTACTTGTGGACTTCAACTCCCAGAATTCCTCAGCCAGGCATGCTGGCTGAGGAATTCTGGGAGTTGAAGTCCACAAATCTTAAAAGTTGCCAAGCTTGAGGACCCCTGCCTTATGCTGTGTATCAACAGTGAACATTTCTTTACAGAGTTCAGGATTTGTTAAAAGCTTCATTCCATATGCATACCTGGCTTGGTTGGACACCTGAATAATTATAGTATTCATGATCAAGGGCACAAATTCAGCAACCACGTTGTGAATATTCAGTTTATAGAGCTAAGAAGAAAAAAAAAAGCAAAAGAGGTGTGTTAGACAACCGGCAACCTTTTACTTTTCCAAGTCATCTGGGAAGGGTAACAAAAATGTTCAGGAGATGATAATGCACGAAATTGCGCCTACCTCTTTGATGAGGGGAAGAAGAAAAGAAAAATAGCAGAAAGTTTGTAGGAAGAAAAAAAATAGGAATTTAGACACGGTTTCATACGAACCTGGTACATGAGGACAACGATTATAGGAAGTTCTGCTAAAACTTTCAAGGAAAGGGAGCCACGAGGAATGACCGCATGCTGGAAAAGGATAAAAAAAAAATGAAATGGTCAATAGAATTCAAAGGACCTCAAACTTAGTTCGCTTGTGGCTATGTAGGCATTCCAGGCTGATTCCTCTTTTAACTCTGCCTCAGGTTTTGCCACCCTCCTACACATCTTCTTCCTTTTATCCCCATCTCTCTCTCTTCCTCCCTCCCTTCTGTCCTTCCTTCCTTCCTTCCCTCTCATTCCCATCTTGTCAGATGTGAAAAAACCAGGTCCACATATGACGGTCCAATTAAACTGATTTATTGCTAAACAGCCTATGCACAGGAATCTCCTCAGGTCATGATCAGCACCCGCTTGAAGTTAGATAATGGTCAACGGCACTCAAGGGAGGCTAGAATTAGTTCGCTTGTGGCTATGTAGGGATTCTAGGCTGATTCCTCTTTTGACTCCGCCCCCAGGTTCTGCCACTCCTTCTCCTACAAAGACTGGGGGGGGGGGGTTGTTTCAAGATATGTCTTTTCTTTTACTCACCGATCTGGTTTCACTGTCGTCTCTCTCCGGATTTACTTTCACTACAATCGTCGTGATCAAGCCCACCATGTCTGGGGTGGGAATGGTGTTCTCAGGAACAACTTGAGGATTCTCAAAGTACCGATTCTAAGGTAGGAAACACAAGCGAAGTACATCACTCTCGCTGCCAATGGCAGGCTGCGATGCAAAAGCATATTGGAACCGATGGATTCCAGGATCAGGAATTTAGGAAAACCAGCCAAACGGTAGAAATGCCTTGGAGATTCGGCACTACTGGATCAGGACCAAGGGTTTTCCAATAAAACTTTCGTGCAGCATAGAAGAAAAGCACAAATGTCATCATCTCAGCACCTACCACTACTTTGGGTAGCTCCTTGTATATCTGTTTCACAAAATCCAAGAAGTGATGAATCTGTACGAAAAGGGGGGAAATGTTATGAGAAATTTTGATTTTGAAATCTGAAACCATCATAGTCTTCAAGGAAGTCTGTCTGAGTCTCAGAATCTGCTGCTTGAGGAGACCTATTGTTCACCGTAGCTTGACATTCTTCCCCCAAAAATTATGTGTGGGAACCCCCAAAGTTTGTGGGCTTTGACTATGTCATGCAACTGCACGTCCGTAAATTAAAAACTTTGGCCAGGAAATTATTTACCTCTTGTGTGATGGGCGGCCGGAACTGTTTGTGAAGCTCAATAATTATTCTCAAGCAAATAAGTACATTTTCTTCATTTTCAGTCTAAAAGCAAGAGAGGGAAAGAGGTAGAAAAGGAAAAGGGTTTATTAAAGAGCGAAAATCAGAACTGCATACTGCAAACAGTAAGGAGAAAAAAATGCAGAGAGCGCAGTCCGACCGAATTACCTCTAGGAATCTAAACATCACAGATAAGATATTTTTGGTGTGCGGGCGTAGATGTTCATTGGTTGGTATTCTATGGATTATCTCCAAAACTAATTTTCTCAGTTGCTGCAAAAAGGGAGAAAAAATGGGAAACAGAACTTGACTTCCAATGATAAACACGTTTATGTTAAAAGACCCAAATGAAACCCAAAAAGCTTATTACATGAATTGAAATTGTGCACATCTGCAAATTTTAAATGCATAAACAGCTTAAGAAAGGTTTTACATTAAAAAAAGAAATAAACCGCATGTCAAAATGAACAGTAATCAAGTCAGATCTTTTCGGCTATCATCCAAAAATTAAGCAAGGTTGTCTGCCATGAGACACCAGGAATTCTTAGTAAAACTTAGAACAGGGATTTTCAAACTTGGCCCTTCTATGACTTGTGGACTTCAACTCCTAGAATTCCTCAATTCTGGAAATTGAAGTCCACAAGTCATAAAAGGGCCAAGTTTGAAGACCCCTAACTTAGAAGATTAAAAAAAAAAACAGATCTCAGAAGGTGTACTAAATTTGTTATATTGCAACCAGTATACAAACCCTATCAAAAGCAGGCTTAGTCTTTTATCTGTAATTTCACCTTCCTTCCAAGGTTTAAAAAGATGGAGCCCATGTCTTTACAACAGAGACAGACCACCAGTTTTAAGATTATGTAACATCTGCACAATTATGCACAATCTACAAGATGAGGAAACACTTTTTCTTGGGAAATTCATCCCCTCCTGGCTGTTTGGCCAGCCTGGCTGAAAAAGGCCCATGAAAGAGGCCGGAAGCCATCCCTGTGGAATGAAGAATTATTTCTGGAGGGTACCTGGGCAGGTTTCTCCTGCAGGAACTGGACGTCCCCATCTTGGAGAAACGTCAGGAAGCGAGGGATTATGTGTTCCAGGAATGTGGAATATTGAGGAGATGAGGTCACATTCTAACAAGAAGGGGGAAAAAAGATTTTGTGAGGTTTTCCCAGCTTCGGCAACTTGAAGACAGATGGACTTCAACTCCCAGAATTCCCCAGCCAGCATCCGTTACTTTCTTTCCTGACTCCAGGTACTTTGGAGAACAGGCTGTCCCTCTCTTCTCTGTGATAGCCTTTCTGTCAACACTGCTAACATCGGATGTTTTTGCTTTGACAACAGTTAAGAGATGCAACCATTTACTTCTTATGTTTTACTTTTAGAGTTAGATGATGCTGGGGAGGGGAGGAATGTGCATGAGTGTTCAGCTAGACATAACAATACTGGACCTAGTGTGTGAACCAAGGTTATTGAAATAAGAGATGATAAGAATTGGCCGGCTGGAGATCTGGAGGGAAGGCCTGCATTTCAAACTAATTGGAGAATGTGATTTATGACTGTTAATTGGAGGAGGGAATTATGCTTTGATACTATGTGCTCAGGGGAGGGGAATCCAGTTTTTGGCTTCCACTGTGTTAGTGCCGATGCTATGCTACTCAAATAAAGATTCTTTAAGGTAAACAATGCCTTGAAGTTCTTTCAAGAGTTTTCTCTGTTGGAACCATGACACTTTCAAATATCAGAAGAATGCCATCACATCACCTCTCGGAGTCCTAACAGCCTTCCAATATATCTACCAGTAGCTTTCCAGACCTCTGATGGAGGTAGTCCCCGACTAACCGTCACACTGGAGCCCAAAGTTTCCGTCGCTAAGCAAGACATTTGTTAAGCCCCATTTTACGACTTTTCTGGCCACAGTGGGGATGTCAAGTGTGAAAAAAGGGTCATAAATCACTTTTTTCAGTGCCGTTAACTTTGAACGGTCCCTAAATGAACTAGTTGTATGTAGAGGACTATCTGTATTGCTTTCCTGTCCTCAAGTCCTTTGGAGAATAGGTTGTCCCCCCCCTTCTTTTTGACAGCCCCATAAATATGGGGAGACGGTTATTATGTCACCCTTCAGTCGTGATAACAGTCTTCTGGAGTCTACCACAACTTTCCAGGCCTCTAGTAAAAACGTTCTAGCCAGGAAGCGTGAATCTCCTCCAGTCAACAACGGCCCCAAGTGTTCAGCTCTATCAAGCACCCCATTATCAACCCAAAGTGTTACCTCAAAGTTTTCACTGACTTCTTGCATCATCTTCAGCTTCGTTTCATCGGCTGGAAAGCAAGAACGAAAGGCAAGCACTGAAATATATTTTTACCTGTAGCAGAGAAGCATTTTTTGAACCCTCCCTGAAAGAAGCAATCAGATCTTATCAGTTTAGCTCTCACTACCCACATATTAAGCATCACATAACACCGTTCACAGCCACACCACACACACACACACACACACGTCTCCACACACTCACACACTCAAGTGATTTTTTTTGTGGGGTTCAAGAGAAAGAGTGATCATCATTTGCTTCTCGGTTAGGTCTCCAAGCGGGCTGGAAATGACACAAGGTTTGCATATACGTTCTCTCCTTCTCTGCTGTGCAAAATGTCATCCAGCCTGACAATTGGCACCACTACGGTTGCTCTCAATGCCTGGGTTTAAGAATTCACAATTCTCTGTGAATTCCCAGGAGGAGAACGTGCATTATTCTGGAGGGTAACTCACAATTTGCCAAGGGCGATTTGCACAAATTTTGTCCATAAGGCTGCAGCCAAAGGAAACCAGGGCTGAAAAGACACTTACGTGTGTTAGCGTCAGTGAGAGCCGCCACAAACTGGAGATACTTTTTCATTAAGGTGGTCTGGTCGACCACCGTGGGCCCCTGGGTCGAAACAAATGCCATTTTTTTTTTTTTTTTTACTTCTGAAGGTTGAGTGAATATTTAGGAGGAAACTGAAGAACTCAAGTGATCAGCCGGCCTAAAAGAAAAGAGAAAGCAGAGCTATTTTAGCATCATTGTACGGAGCCTATGATGTTACTGGAGAGATTTATTTATTTTTATCCCACTTTAAAAAAAATAAAAAATAACTCAAAGGTAGTCAAGAGGGTCTAGCTCAAGATCACCCAGCTGGCTTTCATAGCTAAGGCAGGACTAGAACTCAAAGTCTCCTAGTGATTGGCCCAAAGTCACACAATGGTTTTTGTGGCTAAGGCAGGACTAGAATTTCCAGTCTCCTGATCCAAAGTCTCCCAGCCGGCTTCCATGCCTAAGGTAGGACTAGAACTCACAGCCTCCTAGTGATTGGCCCCAAATCACCCAGTCTGCTTTCATATCTAAAGTGGAACTAGAACTCACCGTCTCCTGGTGATTGGCCCAAAGTCACCCAACCGGCTTTCGTGCTTTAAGGCAGGTCTAGAACTCACCGTCTCCTAGTGATTGGCTTTCATGGTTAACTCTGGGCCAGTCCCAGCCTCCCTTGCAGGGCTGTGGTTGCAGAGACAAAAATTACGTTCTCTGCCCTGCCACCCACGGTGCAAAAAGCAAGGGATCAATCCAATGCATCTGTGATAGACAAAAAGCTCTCCAACCCCCTCCCTCCCCTCCCCGGGCTGGAACTATCCTACCTCCTATTCCAACAACTCCCATCATCCCCAGTCACCACTCAACCGGGCTCTTGAACCCTCAGCTCTGCAGCCCCAAAACTGAAACGACTCCCCGGACCTTTGGCTCGCACGAAGCGGGGAGGCAGAAGGACTCCCCCCTCTTTGGACGCCCAGCACGGCTGGGAACGATGGGGGCGGCAGTCCCCCGAAAGCAGAGGGCGCCCGGTTGGAGAAGCAGCCCGATTCCCAAGGGCCAATCTCGCCTCGACCAGGGCTGGCCACGCCTCCTCCGCGAAAGCCACGCCTCCCCGCCACGCCCACTTTTGTGCTTCGCGAAGGGAGGGGGAAGCGTGGCTCCCCTCCATCCGTTCCTGCCCCCCCCTTTCCCGGCCCGGCGCCCTGCCCGCTCTTCTCACCGGCCCGGGCCGCGTCGTCCGCCGCCTCATGCCCGCCTCGGCAGCTTCCCGAAGCTCCGCCGCAGCAGCCGCGGAGACCCGGCCGCCTCCCGCGCCGCCGCTCTGGCTCCGCTGCTTCACCTGCCCGTGGCGGAAGCCTTTGGCGGCGCCACTTCCGGCCCCTTCCTCCTCCCCTAGAGCTAGGCAAGAGGCAAGAGAGGCCCGCTGCCGTCATTTCCGTCCTCGTCCCCAAGCGCCTCAAACCTAAACCAAAGAATCAAATACAGTTGGGAGGCGACCCAGACCTACGAACAGAGGCGTGTTATAACTCCATTCAGATATCCGGGAATGAAAGAAAAAAAAGCCATTCGTCGTCCTGAGGGCAGATAGGCATTGTGCATAGATTGTGGCTTTTTCTATATTACGTGAGGATTCACTCTTCGCTTTCAAGGGAGGAAGCGGCAGGGCCTTCTCTAGACTTTTTCTATCTCTACACTTTTTCTATCTCTACACCTCGCCTTCTCGCCTGGGATTAGCCAATCGGCGCGCTGCTCTCGCCTCTTCCCAGCCAATCAATGCAACCTTTCGCAGCTCAATACAGAACTGAGGCTCGCCTTGGAGGCGAGGAAAACAAGGCGGGGGGGGGGGATTTCCAGGGGTATAAAAACTACAGTTCCCATAATTCCCGTTCGGTTCAATGGGGCTTTATGGTTTTTCGTGCCTTTTTTCTGTATTTTGACTTTGCAATCTGGGACAATCGCTGCAAACACAAAAGCACTCGACCCTGTCATTAATGCAACTCTTTAAAATGCTACGGTTTTTTTTTTCTCACCAAAGTCATCTCTTAATTCGTTGCTGCGGTTTCTGTTGGCTTCCCTTGATTGGAAAACAAGGATTTTCCCCAACTGCTTCTACTTGCAATTGCAGGGATGTCGTCTTTACAGCCTTGTCCTTTCCGCTAACAGGTCAATCGTCCTCGCCTGGCTGGGTTTTTGGATGGGTTCACACCAGGAAGGCAAAAGAAAGAAAATTCTACTTTTGATTTGTGTCCAGCAAAGTTATTCCGCTTTGTTACAAGAGGAGGACAGTTTACATCAGCATTTTTCCCACTCCGCCACTTGGAAGATGCATGGATTGCAACTCCCAGAATTCCCCAGGCTGCATGGCATTCCTATTTTGAGGGTGTTCAAAATGTTATGAAATAAAACGTTGAAACAATGCGTGTTCTAATTGGTTACATATTATGCTAAACCACATTTTGCAATTATTTTTAGGCCTGGTTACAATGCATTTATAACTTTGTGGGAAATACATGAAGCAAAGCAATGCAGGAAATGTATAAAGCATCAAAATCACCCAGAAAGACACTCATAGTTCTATTTTAAAATATACAGGGTTTTTTTGCATTAGAAAAACTAAAATAACGACTTCCCGTCTCGCAAAGGACACATGTTATTCCTAAAAAGGACACTTGAAACCCTTGTGTAAGATCCTAGAGAATCTGCCACAAATTTATTTATTGTTTATTTCTTTACATCCTGCCTTTTTGTGTTTAAAAATAACTCGGCAACAACACACTTAATAGTTCTTTCTCCCCCTATTTTCCCGTCAACAACCCTGTGAGGTCAGTTGGGCATCTCCTGGTGATTGGCCCAAAGTCACCTAGGCAGATTTCATGCCTAGGGCAGAACTAGAATTCCCAGTCTCCTGGTGACTTTTGATTGGCCCAAAGTCACCCAGCTGGCTTTCATGGCTAAGGCAAGACTAGAACTCACCATCTCCTGGATTGGCCCAAAGTACCCAACTTCTTGTGGAATACGAAAGGACTCTTACGAATTCCAGAGGGTTTTAGCAGAGAGATTTATTGCGCAGGTTCAGAAGCAATAGCAACAAGCAATTCTGAACCCTGAGGGCGGGTTCAGACTTCAGTTTTATACAGGAACAAAGGAATACACATTGAAATGCACATTGTAATACATTAGGTTAGTTTCTCACAGGTATACAATGGAGAGTTTGCTACATACATTGTATCCAAGTGCAATGCACATTAGGTTAGTCACATACTGCTAACACAGCACTATTCCAGTAATTATGCAGACACAGCATTATTCTAGTGATTGTTAACTTTTCCAAAGACTAGAACTCACTGCCTCCTAGCTTCTAGCCTGGTGCCTTAATCAAATGGCTCCTTACTCAGCAGCCTGGGTGTGGGGGGGGGGAAAATCCTAAGGGTTTTTTAACAAGAACTTTTTCTGCATGCTACAGAAGAAGAAGGAATGCAGAGAACTAGGCCACTTTTCTCAGACTGCCAACAGAGGTCAGCAGCTACCATGGGCTGTTTTGCTCCTGAAGGAAATGGAAAAGCAGAGCCAGCCTTACTGAAGATGAAATCCGATTCTCCCGGCACTGAGCAGACAGCATAAGATATTTCCTTCCGAAGCCATCCTCTCCTAAATGGCGCTGCTGTTTTCTCCTCTCAGTTTCTTCCAGGTGATTTGGGGAATGCTGTTTCTGGTCACCAAAGCTGCAGGTAAGTAAGATCAACTCCTCTTTCTTGGGAGGCAGAAGAAAATAGGATTGACAACATCCTGGACTGTCAACCTTTTGCTGCCATAAGCTTGCTGCCGTTCCTGATAAGATGCCCTCAGCTTTCCGGAGGTGAATGTATTAAAGTGCCATAGCTGGTATTATTTACTTTAGGGATTCCAGAATTTTCTTGTCTCTGGAATGGAGAGGGGGAAATGACTTTTAAGATTCACAGTCCAAAGAGATTAAAAGAAGCTGAAGCTGTGGGGATGCCTAAGGATGCATCCCTTTATTAATATGATTACTAGGAAAAATAAATCAATATAGATAAAGTATCGGCCTCAGAATTCAGCCCATTCAGTCACGTCCCTGATCATAGAAGAAAACATACTGCATCTTTGAAACATTATTCAAAAGCTAAATATATTCTGCAGTATATATTCTCCCCGTATCTCTGGGTTAAAACAAGGCAAGGGCTGTTTCCACACAACACACACACGCTAAACTCCTAACTAGCTGATTACAATTTAGCCATCTGCTTTGTCGGTGTGTTAAGGAAATCCAGAAAACCGAGTTTGTTACATCAATCATGATCGCTATTCATGGCAAATGTGTTGTGTTAACCCCAGGCAATCAAATTAGAATGATTAAGTTAGGGGTCCTGTTTGGTTATATTTCCACAGTAGCTCCGTTGGGTTATACAAATTCCACTTGTAAAGTTAGAGATAAAAGAGATCAGCTTTTGTCAACAAGCCAACTTAAGTTCACGAAACAGCACGGGAAAACCATTTCTTTTTTTTTTAATTTAAGAAAATGTATACGTCCACTTATTCACTCTCAGTGACTCTGGGCAGCTTACAAAAATAAAAACCCAATAGACAAACCATAAAAACAATCACACGCCAAATTGGTGGCAATAGGGAACTATTTCTGCATCCAAGGACAGAAATAGAAACAGACCCCTTAAAATCAAAAAAGAGGATGAAAAATCAAATGTTGAACATCCTTGCTTTTATTTTTTGTTTCTGATTTGTGCCACACAGTCCTAAACCTATGACAGCTTTTAGACTCGCTGGCTTTAAGTAGCTTCCTGAATGTTACCTTTCATAATTAGCTCATCACACAAATGTGTGAACATTTCACTCCAAGGGAGACAAGTCTTTAGATGACCATTCCTGCTCCTTCTTCCTACTGCTTGCATCTGATCAGCTACTTTTGGGGGGGGGGGGGAATATTCTGAAAAGGCTGGCCTTGGCTGGATCCAGGCTTTAAAGCTTGGATTCTTCAACCAGGATTTCTTAGCTAAGCTGCAGTTAGTTGGTTTCGCACAAGGGCTAAGTTTTAAGTCAAAAAAAAAAATCAAGCCACAATGACTTGATGGCAAACTAGAGTTAAAACAAGCCAGGGCCTCGTTTGGCAAGTAAATCCTGACTTTGTTTAATGAAAACGTGTCTGCCTTTTATCAGGAAAGCAAGAATTGTGAAATGAAGAGAGCCTAAAAAAACCTGATAAATGCTATATATTTTTTTTCTAAAATAGATCAGGAATTGCAAAGCTATGATACAAGGCTGAACTAATATGGAATGAGATTGCAGCAATCATTTAAAAATAAAATCATGTTCTTCTGGATTTCCGGTTAAAGGCTATATTAAACCTCTCTTAGGGTTTCCCTGCAAGTCCCCTATTTTAGCATGTTGGAAAATTGTGTCACCTATTTTCAGCTAACATGGGCAGAGGCAGTTGCGTGGCTGTAAGTTGCCAACCCTCGGTGTCTAAAGCCATTCTTATAACTTTTAATGAATGTTTGGGCATTCTTCCCTCAGTCTTTGCAGTTGAAGAGGGACTAGTCCAGGGGTAGGCAACCTTGGCTCTTTTATGACTTGTGGACTTCAATTCCCAGAATTCCTGAGCCAAGGTTGCCTACCCCTGGACTAGGATGTACCTCATCCAACGATTCAATTCTGCCTTGATTTGTTCTGGGTTTGGGAAGTGGGCGTAATGGTACGTGAGAATGATTTTGGGGGATGAAGGGAAGAGATGGTATCTAGGAAACAATCAGATAAGAGAGGGGGGAGCCCCCAGTGCAGTGGTGGGATTCAAACAGGTGAATAACCGGTTCTCTGTGTGGATGCTGCTTTCGGAGGTCCATTCTGGGCCTGGGCAACCAAAATTAGCTACCGGTTCTGCCGAACTGGTGCGAACTGGCTGAATCCCACCACTGCCCCAGTGTCTTAATGGGTGGAGAGAAAACATCGGAAGGGCCCACAGATGGTTAAAGGAGGCTGAGGGAGATTTGGACCTTCAGATTTGCAAGGAGGAGGTCAGCCTTCCAGGTATACCAGACAAAAAACGCGACTAGAAATGCCGGCTCTGTTTCCTAATAAGATTCCATTGCAATGTTCCACATCGCTGCAGAATGGAGACGAGAGGGGATGAGCATGGCGCCCCCCAACGAGGCTGTCCAGAAAATGGGACATTTCACCAGGATGCTGAAGTTGCTGGAGGAAGACCAAGCAAAGCGAGAAACTCAAGGCAAGATGCAAAGGTTGCAAATCTTGGAGGCTTTAAGAGAAAGTAGGGGCAAGCGAAATAAATCAAAAACATTCCTGTCTCCTAAGCACTCATGGAGTTAGCTAGTTTGGGCTCATGAAACATCTGCAAGGAAACCCTCAAGCTCAGAGGGAGCCAAGAACCCCATAGTCCTCCTCCTTTTCCTCCTCCCCTTCTCCACGCCACGAACCCATCTCCCTTCTAGTATTGATGATGTTTCCTAGTTGGATCATGAAATGTCTGCAAGAAAACAGCCAAGCTCAGAGAGTACCAAGGACCCCACAGTTGTTGTTGTTGTTGTTGTTGTTCTTCTTCTTCTTCTTCTTCTTCTTCTTCTTCTTCTTCTTCTTCTTCTTCTTCTTCTTCTTCTTCTTCTTCTTCTTCTTCTTCTTCTTCTTCTTCTTCTCCTCCTCCTTCTCCTTCTTCTTCTCCTCCTCCTCCTCCTCCTCTCCACAAACCCCATTCCCTTCTAGCACTGATGATGTTACCTAGTTGGGTCATGAAATGTCTACAAGATAATCACCAAGCTCAGAGACTATCAAGGACCTCACAGTCGTCATCCTCCTCCTCCTTTTCCTCCTCCTCCTCTTCCTCTCCACAAACCCCATTCCCTTCTAGCACTGATGATGTTTCCTAGTTGGGTCATGAAACGTCTGCAAGAAAACAGCCAAGCTCAGAGAGCACAGAGGGCCTCTCATTTCAAGCTACAGATATTCTTTTTCATTGATTCTCCTCCTCTGACTGCCTTCCCAGGGACTTCAGAAACAACCCACTTTGTCAGCTCAGCCCTAAAACACATAGAAGGCCAAGGAACGTTAATCAAAGCAGTAGACACTAGAAGCCAGTTTAATCGTAACTTCTTAGGAGGAAAAAAAATACAACCAGGAAATCCTTTTCTCTTGGTTCCCTCAGAATAATGGTCTTTGTAGTCCTACTCTCACAGCCCCACCCCAATTCCCTCACTAGATACCATGTGCTGCTCTATCCAGTCAAATACTTTGCTGCTGGATCCAATGACGTGCACGTTCTCAATTGCATAACTAACTATTCCATCCTCACCCTCTTTAGTTAGGTTCGGCTGCCTCCCGTCCTGTGTTAACTCAGTTGTGTTTTATTGGAATTAGGTAGCCACCTTCAGGTGCACTCAGGTTTGTTGCACCAAAGGAGAAGCAGACCCCTCCCCCCATTGCTGTTACTCAGTGGGTTGTTTAGACTAGGAAAAATGTGAGTCCACCTTTGAAACTTCTCAGCTTAAGAAGTTAGGACAAAGGTGGCAATTTCTGGCTTACCGTTTCTCGTTATCTTTTCTTCCTTATCTCTTGCTCTCCTAGATGCTGTAAGGAGTATTAACATCACAGGCGCCACCGAAGCTCATGTCATGGAAAACTTAAATTTATCTCTGCACATCCAAGGGAGGTAAGCCATAGGATTTGGGTTTTTTTTTTTAAGAAATCCAAAATATTTTCCGCAAGTTGTACTCTTTCTTCTCAGAATCATAAAATCATAGGATCCTAGGACTGAAAGGTACCTCGGAGGTCTTCCAGTCCAACCCCCTGCTCAAGGCAAGAGACTTTATAGTACCATCTCGGTCAAATGGCTGTGGGATGGCGCATCAACAGCCCCAGGAGGCAACCGATTAATTGTCCTGTCAGAAAATTTATCCTTATTTCAACGGATGTCTTTGCAGATGGCCCCCATTTTATAACGTCAATTCAAATCCAAACCGTTTAATCCGAAAACTGCATTTCAAACCGATCCAGCCGTCAGCGGAACCAACTCAAGGATCTGAATCAGATTGTCAGATGGATTCTGATGGCCTGAATCAAATCTCCCGTTCAGATCAGATTGAGGCTGATTTTGGCACCTTTGTAAATCGGGGAATTCAGCCACACCTTCTCCTGGAAGCTTTCAATGCAGCCCTAGAGGCGGAGCAGATTTAACCAACATTAAAGAGTTAAATATTTATATGTTTGAATGGATGGATCCAATCTTAGCTTCAGCCTCAGTGGAATCACGTGTGTGGGCAATGCATAGGACAGAAGGAGAACTCACTGCTACCTTTCAGGAGCTGTTAATGTTTGCAGTCTGAAAGCGCACGATTCATCTCTTAATCTGGTTGAGCAAAAGACAGTTCTTTTTTCAAAACATTCCAGCACAGCCTAAACAGAAAAAGAAAGGAAAGATGGTCTCCAGGCAAAACACCTCCCCAAAATCATCACAAAGAGAATGAGACTGACATGCTGGCTGGGGGATTCTAAGAGTTGAAGTCCACAAGTCTTAAAATTGCCAAGGTTGCAGATCCCTGATCCATGAGACCTGTAAGACCTGTGGACTTCAACTCCCAGAATTCCCCAGCCAGCATGTGGACTTTAAGTCCACAAGTCTTAAAGCTGCCAAGTTTGGGCAGCCCAGTTTTATAGGGATGGTAGCACGCTTGGTTTTTGCCAAGGTGAGCAACAATAAAAAAAATATGCTTGGAGGAATCCCATGTCTTTTTTTGGTTTTGTGAGCCCAACACTGTTCTTTGTATTCGTTTCTTTTTAGTCCTCCACTCAGTTTATGTTGGTTAATTAAGACGGAGTGTATTGTGCTTGTGGGAGACCAGTGCCATCTAGTGGTGATGAACAGCACACAATACTATCTGAACCACACCTTCATCAATGCTGGAGAATATTGCCTTAGCATCCGGGTGGAGAACCGGGTGAACATCTTGCAGTCCTACCAGGAGATTCAGATAAGGCCCTTAGGTGAGGTTTGGATGGATCTATGGGGCTCTTTTGCCTATGCACCCGATTTCTTCTGCATTTGATTTCCTCCGCTCCCTTCTCAACTGGTATACCTATTGCTTGAAGGCAAGATCTTTCTACCTTATGGAGGTCAAAATTTCAAGCCAATGATTTAAAATATCATGTGCTGCCATCTGGTGGGCAACATAAATAATAACTCCACACTGATTACACACTGTAAAAACGGGGGGGGGGGGGGTGGAACCCTTGATTTCCAACCATTCTTTTAGTTTGAAGTTACAACGGCGCCGAAAACAAGTAAATGATGACTACATGTTACATTTAACAACCATCACAGCATCCCCATGGTCACAGGTGGGAGGACATGGGGAAGCCAGAGAAGAAGATGGGAAGCTTTGAGCCGCTAGAAGAAAAGGGGAGGTGGGAATGTACATTTACAAATGAGGTATATTTATAAATAATGGTGGTGCCATGGTTAGAATGCAGTTGTTATGGTACTGCAGGCTAACTCGCTGCCCACTGCCAGCAGTTCGATCCTGACCGGCTCCAGGCTGACTCAGCCTCCCATCCTTCTGTCCTTCAACAGGGATCCATCCAGCTTCCTTCATCCTGCCTTGCCTCATCCTGTTGCTGGCCACGCTGGGTCTGGCTGTCTACATGACCTTCCGAAGCCCTGTGCAACAGAAGGATCTGGTGGAGGTGAGCAATCTTTATTTTGCTAGACCAGCCAACTCAACAGCTTTGATCTATCGTTTGGCTACCTCTTCCCAGATGTTCCAACCGAAGATTTAAGATTTGTTCATGTGCAAGGATTGTCCACCCCAGTCCTCCCATCTCCCTCCAGTCCTCCCCAGTCTTCCCTGTCCTCTTCCCAGTCCCTCTTGTCCTCTTCCCAGTCCACCCCAGTCCTCCACCCCAGTTCCGTGATGGGATGATTAGTTGAGAGTTACTTGCTAATTCTCCAGCAGCTCCGTTTCTTTCTGGTCTAACGCAGATTTTGTCTTGTTGCTGACCTACAGGTTGCCGATTTTGACTTCTCCCCCACGCCCACCAAGAAGCCATCCAGCACCGGATGGAGCTGTGGCCAATTCTGCTGTGGAACCTGCTTCCTTTGGTCCTCTCTGGAGCCTTGCAAGCCAGCCAAAGAGCACCACCGCCTTCTTCAGCCGCTCTGCACATCCAGACAGCTGTACAGTGCCTGAAAGACACCCGCCCCCCATGACTGGGGGTCCAACGAGTTTGCTTTGCTGCTCTCGAGTGCTTTGTGAAGCATCGGAGGTTTTGCCAACGTGGGTGGAGAAGCCTTCCTTTTAAATGACAGACGAGGAATCGTCCAATTAAATAATCGAAGAGCAAGCTTCATGCTGTCACCCTGCCAAAATCTGCCTTACAGCCCTTAGGGGAAAAAAAGGAGGCTTCTGTTTTTCCGCCTTATGCTCAGGATGCTTGATAATTTATTTGCAATTTCTCTCGGGAAGAATGTTAGAGCTGGCTTAACGGGGTGGGAGATGCCAATGCTGCTATTTATGATTATTCTTCTCCTCTCCATTCTGTAGGCTTCAGTATCTGTACTTTCCTCAACTTGAAAATCTTCCCAGGAGCAGGGGTTTTTTTTTGTTTTGTTTTTGTTTGTTTTTTTGCTAATATCTTCCTTTGGACCACGATCCAATCATGGAAAACTCAAGGAATTGTAGGATACTAGAGATGCTATAATAAAAAGCAGGACATTCCTGTCCAGCCTTCAGTGAAAGCCTGATCAATAATGCTCCAATATTAAACTTATTAAAAAATATCACCAAATTATTCTCTGGGGAAAGGAAAAAAAAACAACCCTTAAGTGATTTTTTTTCCACTGCAAATGAAGTGGTGGGCATTCTTGTTTTTCTTGTAGTGATTAAAAAAAAAATACAGTACATTTTTATCTCAGCACTACAGCAAAACAACAACTCATGGGTTCTAGCCCTAAAGGCTAAACGACTTTTTTTAAAAAAATATATAGAGAGAAGATGTTTGCGTTGTGTGACAAGGCCGCAGACTGTGTTAGCCTGCCAAACCACAGTTTACAAGCTTCAGAAGCTAGTTTCATGCATTGCGCTAAAGACAAATTTTGGTGCTGTGGTTTATTGACTCAGCCACAATTGGATGTTTGCAGAGCATACATGCCATGGATTGATGTTTAAAAACCACAACGGCTGGTTTCGTATAACACACAGGCTCTGAAAAAGTTGCCTTATAACTTGTGCGGCGTACGTAGTAGAGGGATTCAATAGAAAGTAGCACCTCAGAGAGGTGATACTGAAGAGATAAACAGAGAAACATAAAACATAAATAAAATCTAAAGTAAAATTTCACCAGCAGAGGTCTCTCTTGGTTAAGAAAGTCTGGGCAAATCACTGAATAAGGATTTAGCCATTATTTGCAGACTGAAAACACTTGTAGTAAACAATCCCAGATTGGTTTGTTCATCTCCATCTTCCTTAGAAGATTTACTGTCTTTGCAAATTACTTCTATTTGAACTAAATGCAAGATAAAAAACTGCCATTAACACTTAGGATCTACTGCATTCTCTACTTTGTGATTTTTATTCAGAGTAGAGCTGGAAGGGACCTTGGAGGTCTTCTAGTCCAGCCCCCTGCTCAAGCAGAAGATCCTGTACCACTTCAGACAGGTGGCTGTCCAGTCTGTTCTTAAAAACCTCCAGTGATGGAGCACCCACAACTTTTGAAGGCAAGCAATTCCACTGGTTAATTGTTTCAATTGTCAGGAAATTTCTCCTTAGTTCTGGATTGCTTCTCTCCTTGGTTAGTTTCCATTCATTGTTTCTTATCCTGCCTTCTGGTGCTTTGGAGAACAGGTTGACCCCACTCTTCTTTGTGGCAGCCTCTCAAATACAGTACTGGAACACTGCTTTAAATACTAGATTTAAAGAAAAAGAACACTGAGGGGGAAGGCTTAATGTTATATTGAGGAGGCTCAAGATTTGAGAAGAAGTAAAGGAAGTTTGAACATTAAAACATTAGAACAGAGTTGGAAGAGACCTGGGTGATCTTCTTTGTTTCTGCTTAACGTACCACCTGTATTTATTTATTTATTGGTCGGCAGTCAGCGTACTGTGCAAAAAGCAAGTTGTGTCTTCTGAGCTAAATTGTGCGAACACAGCTACTAGGTCATGAGTGCTGGGAGGAGGAAAATTCAGATGGTATGTACAACTCACTCAAAGCCTGGAGCAAAATTGGCTTCAAACGAGATCTCTGCTGGAAGACGGAGCCACAGATGGGGTGCCTGGATGCTGGAGGCTGGATGCCTCTCACGCAGGCTGCGTTCAAGAGAAGCAGGCGGGAGGCGCGGAGCATCTGAGCAGATTTCCAGAGAAGCCACCTTCGGAAAAGAAAGGAAAAAATAACTAGGTTAGTCACCATGAGCTAGAAGGGAAAGAGAGAGAGAGATTGTGTGTTTGTAGCAGTGTTCCAATATCTCAGGGGCTGCCACAAAGAAGAGGGAGCCAAGCTATTCTCCAAAGGCCCTGAAGGCAGGACAAGAAGCAACGGATGGAAACTAATCAAGGAGAGAAACAACCTGGAACTAAGGAGAAACTTCCTGACAGTTAGAACAATTAACCAGTGGAACAACCTGCCTCCAGAAGCTGTGAATGCTCCAACACTGGAAGTTTTTAAGAAGAGACTGGACAGCCATTTGTCCAAAATGGTATAGGGTTTCCTGCCTGAGCAGGGGGTTGGACTAGATGACCTCCAAGGTCCCTTCCAACTTTATTATTATTATTTCTAGCCAAGGCCAGGTCACGTCTCAGCAGGGAAACACCAACATATAAATATTACTTAACATGAGAACCGAATGACCCAGACAATGGAAAGGGTGGCTATACAAATTTGATTAATAAATCAATAAATTGAAAGAAGCTCATACCGGCCATGGGGGGAGGGAGGAGGAGGAAGAGGAGGTGGTGGTCACCTAATAAGGGAACATCTATAGAAAGAGAAACAAACAAGCATGGGAACTCCCAAATTACTGTGATTTTTTAAAAAAAAAATATTTGGCACAATTTGCAACTCTTGACATCTTATATTTGCTTCATACTAATAAAAACATGTTTAAACATAATAGAGGCCTTGCAGTTCAGTATGCATAGCTAGGATTTGATTGTTCAAGGGTTCATTATATTTACACCCACACACAAACACAATTTTCTATTAAAGCCAGTCTGAAACAGCCTCCTCTTCTTTCCAGATTCTGCTCCCTCTATTCTGCAGCCAACATTGACTGGGCCAAGATTTCCACAAATGGCCATTCCTTCCTTAAGCCTACAGTTCAATCCAGGTGTGATCCATTTTTCTGCCTGCCGGTGAGAAAGTCAACACAAAGGGTCCCAAAGACCCTTTAGCGAATAAACTTGCCAGTTTCCATGGAAATGACCCATTATTGCACAAGTAACAGAGCATCATTGCAAGGAATTTTACAAACGCCATTTAAACAGCTATCAAATGCTAAATGGGAACGCCCGGTGTCGGCTGAGGATTGGAGTTGTCGATCCCTGATACCTCGGAGACACCAGGTTAGAGATCCCTCGTTTGCCCTCCTGTCTGCTTTCTTCCTGCATGACGAGGTCGTTGAGTTTTCAAGGTGTCAGCCTCAAAGTAGATCACGATTTGCATGCTTAATCCAGCGCTGATTTCGTTTACACAACCTGCACTCTGTGCACCGTGTTCACAGAACGGGTCGAAGCCACCATCAGCCTGTTGAATTTACCCAGAGTTCACGCCGCACAACTCAGCCAATCCTGCCTGGGCTAAGGAGCCAGAAACTAGCCACTTCTGTTTCGGTCCAGAATGTATTTCAAACTCTTTGAGACACTGGGGGATGATGGGAAAGCTCTGCGCAAGACGGAGGAAAAAAATAAGGCTGATGGTTGGTTGGTTTTTAAGGTTTGGTTTAATTGCCCGGAATAGAAACGTCTGGCTCCATCTCTTTCTCAAGAGTCAGTTTGATCCAGTGGGGTTAAGGCACCAGGCTAGTAGAAACCAGGAGATGGTGAGTTCTAGTCCTGCCCTAGGCATGGAAGCTGACTAGGTAACATTGGGCTAATCACCAGGAGACGGTGAGTTCTAGTCCCACTTTAAGCATAAAAGCCGGCTGGGTAACTGTATGCCAATCACCAGGAGATGGTGAGTTCTAGTCCTACTTTAACCATGAAATCTGGCTGGATAACATTGGGCCAATCACCAGGAGATGGTGAGTTCTAGTCCCACTTTAAGCATGAAAGTTGGCCAGGTAACTTTATGCCAATCACCAGGAGACGGTGAGTTCTAGTCCCACTTTAAGCATGAAAGTTGGCCAGATAACTTTATGCCAATCACCAGGAGACGGTGAGTTCTAGTCCCACTTTAAGCATGAAAGCCAGCTGGGTGACTTTGGGCCAATCATTAGAAGACGCTGAATTCTAATTCAGCTTTAGCATGAAAGATAGTCTTGGTCTCAACCCAAACCACCTCACAAGATTGTTGTTGTTGTTGTTGGGAAAATAGAAGGAAGGAGGAGAATTAAGTATGTTTACTTCCTTGAGTTATTTGTAAAAAGATGGGACATAAATAAAATATTAAAAATCTGATATTTTCAAACTCCGAAGCATCTGCTGAACAATATGAAATTCCTTCACCTGGTGCTTAGAGCAAATGTATCTGGATTCTTTTTTCCAGGGCACGTTGTCATTTGCACCCTGATCCACCCAACCTAACCTTTGCCCTTGATATATTCGAATGTGACATTCTTTGATGCCCAATGATGGTTTGCTAATTCAAAAGAAGTCTAAATGGACGATTCTCTATCCACTTCCTGGAGATGTGTAATCTAGTCTGTTTGGTCTGAAAAATCGGATTTATTGTGGAAAAAAATTGCTTTTCTCCCCCAACCCACCCTCATACCTCAAAGTTCAAGGCAATTATAAAGTGCTTCTTTGTGCGGAAACCATGTCTGTCAAATCGCAGGCAGCATGCAGCAGCTTGCAGAAAATGATAAAAAAAGAAGAGAGAGAGAGAGAGAACAAGAAGGTTCACAAATATCCATACATTAACATTAAGTCTTCACTGAAAGAGGGAAGGGAAAAAAATGCTTTCACAATGTCTCGTGTTAATGCAACAGATCCTAAGAGCATTATCGTTTCGGAGCTTATTAGGGGTTGCTTCGATTGAAGAGAAAGCATTTTCAATTTGATATCATCTAATACATATTTAATGCCTGGTTCGCACACTTGAAAATGCTCTTCTCCTAAGTGAGCAGGAAGGGGAGAGAGAGAGAGAGAGAGAGAGAGAGAGACGGGGGGGGGGAGAGAGAGAGAGAGAGAGAGAGAGAGAGAGAGAGAGAGAGAGAGAGAGAGAGAGAGAGGTGTACAAGAGAACCAATTGGGAATGCAATAAATAATGAATGAACTAAAGACTCTCTTTTCTACTTTCGATCTAAGGATATCCCTCCGACGGTGAGACAGACAGATAGATAGATAGATAGATAGATAGATAGATAGATAGATAGATAGATAGATAGATAGATAGATAGATAGATAGATAGATAGAGATAGATATGAGAAAGTGGTAGACATAGATAGATAGATAGATAGATAGATAGATAGATAGATAGATAGATAGATAGATAGATAGATAGATAGATAGATAGATAGATATGAGAGAGAGAGTGGTAGGCATAGACAGACAGACAGACCTAGACAGACAGACAGACAGACAGACAGACAGAACTAAATGTATTTCATTTTAAGTGCACTACACTTAGTCAGGGCAATCCTGGTTCCTACTTTAAATTAATGAGGAAATAAAACGTAACATTTTCCCTCCAGGGCCACCATTAAACCCAACTCCCTTTTTCAAGGGGGGGGGAAGGGTAGAGGACAAGTTGTTAACAGATTGTACTGACCCATTCAGCAGATGGAGAGATAACGCCAGCCAAATATATAAGTTGTAGAAAGGATATACTCAAGACACTCATCCTTGGTAGGCGAAAATCCAGGTGTTGCAATGATGCTACTTTCTCTCTTCTTCCCCCCACCCCACCTCCACAAACCCCATCATCGGCCCCTCATCCCTATCTTAAAATTTAGATGTCAGCTTTTCCATTTCCGAGGACAGCTAGAGTAATTTGTATTCTGAACGCTTTAAATCATCATATCTATGAGAACAACCAGGCAAAGATACAATGTCCTGGGTTGAATTCCAATGAAATTACAAAGGGTGGACATATTATTAGACGAAGAAAAAAAAACAATGCTAAACCGCTTAGAGAGAGCTGTAAAGCGCTGTGAAGCGGGATATAAGTCTAAGCGCTGTGGCTATTGCTATTCTGACAAGCCAAATCAACAGACAAGCCAGATTTAGTTAACAAAAATGTTACTAACTAAAAGACTGCTATGATTCAGCTATAGCAAAAAAGGTCATAATGTTTGTGTGTGTGTGTTGCTTTGGACTTGCAAATGGCTGGTGCCAGTGTTTGGGCAGCCCTGATTTATGCTGATATTTCATGTACATAAGAAAGGAGGCAACCCAGCATGGAAGCAACTCAGAAGTGAACAGCTGGGGGGCTGAAGAGGGGGGGGGAGAAGGGAAAAAACCCTCTTCTATAGATTTAACTGGCTTGCTATCTCCGTGCTGTTCCAACAGGCTTAGCATTTTGAATAAAACATGACCAGTAATTTATTTAGTGAGCAAGGACTTGTAGCTGGACGGAAGGAGGGGGCGGGGGTATATTTTATTTTCCACTTTGCAGCTTTATCTCAAAATGCTTCTACCGGCCTTTTTTTTTTAAAAAAAAAAAAAGCGACTAGTAACCCTTGTAATAGTGACTTCCACCCCATCAGCAGGGAGGATCACATTCAACAAGTAGCGTCTCATTTGTATGTGAATTTGGGGGCCTTTCGAGGAATCCTAACAACTTTGTCGGTTTCAATTAGCAGACCCACCTGAAATTAATGCTGTCCGTCCCACACCCAGCGGGTCCCACCCTTGCCGAAGTCCATTCATTTTTTTAAAAAAAATATAATCATCAAAGATGCATTAAGTGTTTGCAAATGCCGAAAGGCAGATGTTCTGCGGTATTTAAAGATTATCGGACTAAAGTAGGTTAAATTATTGCTGTTTGATTCTCAGAACCCCCCCCCCAATGGCTCTTCTAAGCTGATTAGGAGAGGTGACCCAGATTGCAGCGTTTATGCCTGAAAATTCATCACAGATCTTCTGATCTGTGGCCAAGCAACACAAGCAATGGGGTCCTGGGGCCTCTGGCTCAGTTTTTTTGGGTTGGCCTGCAAGTAGAAAGAACGGGAAGCTCACTTTGCTTTAAATTAATGTCTCATTAATTGACACAGCAGGCTCCGCCATCCCAGCTGATTGTAGATTGCAATTAAGGCAAATTTATTGCTAAGGACACCCCTTGTAGTCTACCCTCTGCCAGGAAGCTAGATCAGAGTTACTCTGGATAGCAAGATGGGCAGCATATCAGAGAGAGAGAGAGAGAGAGAGACAGACAGACAGACAGACAGACAGACAGACAGACAGACAGACAGGAAGGGGGGCAGGGAAACTGACCGACAGACAGACAGATTCTAAGCTAGATAGGTAGATGATGATGATGATGATGATGATAGAAGATAGAGAGAGAGAGGGAGATTAGATGATAGATTGATAGAAGATAAATGAAAGAGATGGATGGATAGATGGATGGATGGACGGATGGATGGATCAGCTGGCTGAGGAATTCTGGGACACCCCTGCTTTAGATATCTCATATGCTGGGGTTTTGGGAGTGTAGATCTGAAAGTAGCTTCATTGGTTCCAAATGTCCAAAGATCTCAGCCACGTTGGATTGTAAACCTGGTTTATTAGCTAATCTGCACGGTTTGCCTGGCTAATTGTGTTTCCCAAACATTGTGGTATACTCAGAAAGGTGCGGTTTAGTGCCACGTTTAATCCACAGTTTCCTTTTCTGCAAAATGGAAAGATGGAAGGAACCGCTCCAGACTCCTCTTTTCTTACCATTCCTTTGGCTTTTTAGCAAGCCAAAACTTGTTCCTTGTTTTCTTTTTTCTTTTTTCTTTTTTTAAAAAAAGCATTTTTTAAAAAAAGATAGGGCTGTGTTCGTCTAAAAAAACATCCTTTTAGATTATTTTTGAGAGGCACAATCTGTTTTCGCTATTCGCAGCAGTCGCAGAGGTGGCTGTAATTTTATTCCTTTTAATCAGCTTGCATCCATATGCAGGACCAACTTACTCTAGTAATATTTCAGCCTCGGATGTGACAAATATAGTTTACAATGGCCTGAGTGGAGTAATGGGGTCCAATTAGCATCTGACTATGAGGCCTCTGAGCTCAGGATTAGCAACAGACTAATATGGAGGAGGCAGTGCTAAAAATGGCCATTTGTCCTTTTTTTTGGCAATCTCATGCATCTTGCAAGGAGGTTAAAATTTTAATTCTTCTCATAATGGCATCCTTTCCTTTCCTCCTTTACCATATTTTATTTTAAGTGTTGTTCCTTCCATGGTAACTCATGCTGAAAAACCACCGCAGAGCACCCTTCAGATGTAAATTTAAGCAGAATTATTTTCCAGGAACAGCTAACAAACATGTACAAGTTATGCCACCCACTTAGATATACTGCCTGGAATCCTGGTTTGTTGATTCATGTTTTTTTTGAGTAGGCTAACCTACGTCGGTCCGCATCACAAGAGAAGCAAGGCAAGAAACCCTATTGTAGGTTAAGGGAATATAACGGTTGTCCTCAAATTATAACTATTCATTGGAGACCATTTGAAGTTACAACCACTCTGAAAAATTGAGTTATGACTGGTCCTTAAACTTAACAACAAAAGAAATCAGGAAAAACAGGCACAGCCATAAACCTCTGTGCATTAATGATTCCATCGTGGAGATGGTTAGCCATATTCAATTTCTGGGGATGCAGCTAATGGTCGTTCAACAATCAATCAGAATAGATCTGGAAGGGACCTTGGAGGTCTTCTAGTCCAACCCCCTGCTCAAGCATACGACAGTCACAGCATCGCTCTAGTCATGTGGTCAAAATTACAGTGCTTGGCAAACTTAAAACTAAACAAGCTTTGCCCTTTGCACAAATATAGTCACTACATACATCTTTACTCAACAGAATTGGACCATATTTTTGGTCCACATTGTTTAAGCACAATACATCTGCATCCAGATCTTTTCTTTATTTGTTTAGCTGCTATACAAAAGCCTCTCCTGATGCACTGCCACAATAATTACTGCATTCAAATACGTTCGCAATCACACCCCCTCACTCCCGTTTTCCCTTTAAGATGGGGGCACAGTAACATCTGCCCTACTTTGGTGGTAATCAAAAGAAGTTTGGAAATGGATGACTCACTTGCTGATAAAGAGGCTGTGATTCAGCTAGCTGTACTCACAACCCCTCTCTTACCTCCTTCAATCATAGTAGTTATGGAAAGCCACATCACTTGTGTTGTGACAAGCTCCGATTGTGTTCATCCACTCAATATTGGCCTGAACCGTCTTCATGCTATCAACAGATGGAACGATTGATATGGCCAAGGATTCTTGAGTGAGTTCAACCAGTCTACTTTGCCATGGTTCAAGTAAGGCTGGGTTGTTGGAAATAAGAGGAGGAGGAGGAAGAGGAGGAAAAGGAGGAGGAGGAAGAGGAGAAGGAAGGTAGGAGAAAGAAAGAAGAAAGAAAAGAAAGAAAAGAAAAGAAAAGAAAAGAAAAGAAAGAAGGAAGGAAGGAAGGAAGGAAGGAAGGAAGGAAGGAAGGAAGGAAGGAAGGAAGGAAGGAAGGAAGGAAGGAAGGAAGGATAGAGAATGGTTAGGGAATTCTGGGATTCAAAGTCCACTAGTCTTAAAGTTGCCATAGTGGGAGAGCCCTATTTTAAAGTAGAAATGGCAACCATAGATTTTAAGCACTTTTAGGGGCTCCCGGCCAATCCTCCCTACCTTTTCCCAGATGTTCCCACTGTCTCCATAAAGGTGGAACTGGGGCCAAGCCCTCCACCCAGCACCTCCGTGCTCTTCCAGCATGGCTATCATGTTGATCGTTGTCTAGTCGGCCTTCAAAACCAGACTCTCCAACTCACTTGCAAGAGAGAAGATAAAGGTTTGATTATCCTTCGAGGCACCTCCGTTCTCTAGATGACATCCTAACGCTCCTCCAAGGTATTGTGAGGAAGGAGGGAAGAACAGATGGAGACCCCAGCTGACTTCAAGAAAGCATGAGTGGCTTACCTTCTAGATCCAGCTCAGATTAGCAGGCCAGTCCCAGCACCTTTGGGTCTCTCTCTCTCTCTCTCTCTGCAGGAGAAATAACGGCTGGAGCCTCCGAAAAGAACAAAGCAGTAATTCAGCTTCAACCAAAAGAGGGAATTAAAGGCAAGGAGCACAACAGGGCTGGTTGAGTTCTTTCTTAATAGGGGAAGTGAAGAATGCGAAAGGCTTGGGAATTCTCCTTACTTCTCCAGATGCGGGATCTTGTCCAAAATGTGAACTAGTAGAAACCTTAGTCCTATTTTTCTTTCGGTTTGGGAATTTCATGAGGAGAGGGGAGGACTCACATGGAAGGAAAGAAAGAAGGAAAGGAGTGAAGGAAGGAGGGGGAGAGAGGGAGGAAGGAAGGAAGGAAGGAAGGAAGGAAGGAAGGAAGGAAGGAAGGAAGGAAGGGAGGGAGGGAGGGAGGAAGGGAGGGAAGGAAGGAGGGAAGGAAGGAGGGGGAGGGAGGGAGACAGGGAGGGAGGGAGGAAAGGAAGGAAGGAAGGAAGGAAGGAAGGAAGGAAGGAAGGAAGGAAGGAAGGAAGGAAGGAAGGAAGGAAGGAAACTTTGCTAACGGCATTACTTATTTCTTGCAATGGAAAGATAACAAATTTAATAAAGAACCAAAGAAGAAGAGAGAAGAAAAATTTAAATCCCCACTCTTTCATTCATTCTCTCCCTTCCTATTCTCTTGGATTCTCTCCCCCTTCCTTGATGTTTTTTATTTGGATGCTTGTTGGGGGGGGGGAGAGGAGTGAGGTGCAAATGACAAACAGGCACCGTCTAGTTGGCCAGCTTGATTCCCAGAGACGACTGCAATTTGGTCACCAATTCTCCTTTTCTATAGTTGGCAACCCAAAAGCTCTCCAGTCCAAATGTGTTTTATTAAGACGGCAGCACAGGCCCTCCGGTGCAATCTTCTTTCAAATTAAGCTCGTGCCTCAGCTACTTTGCAGTGAAGCAGCCAGGTAGCTTGCAAGAAGAACTCAAGAGTCCAGATTTGTTCCTTTTGGGTTTACAGTTGCTTTTCATTCTGAAGATGGCGGTTTGGCTTAAGACGGGGGTAGGCTATGCTGGCTCAGGAATTCTGGGAGTTGAAATCCACGAGTCATCAAAGAGCCAAGGTTGCCTACCCCTGCCTTAAGGGAACACTGTACAAAGATGGCCCAGGCACATGGGACTTTATAAGAAACCCGACTGCAGGTCGTTCTCCACTTACGAACACAACCGGGATCAGAATTTCTGTCGCTAAGCGAGGGGGCTGTAGGGCGAGCGGCCTGATTTTAGGACCTTTTGGGCCATGTTGTTAAGCGAATCACTGCAGTTTGTCTAGTGGCTCGTGCCGTCGTTAAGCAAATCCAAGTTCCCCTATTGACGGTAGGAGATGACCAGGCTGAGGCCGAGGGAGGGATCAAAAGTGTTATTAGTCTTGAGTCTCTTCGCGCCCACAAGAGTCCAGCCCACCGTGAATTCAGTTCCTTCTTATTTACCGCCAATTTGCTTTGAAATTAAGAGTCTTGCTGAGAGCTTTAGCACACAATAAGCTTACAATATAATTGATTTGAACTACTTGGGCTCCCGATTTCCTGTACTTGGCTTCGGTTTTGCTTGTCGGAATTTGGATAGGAATGTTACGCGACCCTTGTAAATACATGCCAAGTGCCTGAATTTTGATCAGGGGACTACACGGATGCTGTAACCATCACAGGTGTGAGGACCAGTTGTGAGTCACTATTTTTCAGTGCCAAAACGGTCGCTATACGGTAAGCCGAGGACTGCCACTACTTGTGTTATACACACCATGTGTCTTGTTCTCTTGAATGGCAGGTTTTTGAGAGATGCATAAACTCGGGGTTTCCGAACCATTTCCAAGTTCCTTTTATTTCAGAAGGAGAGCCTTAAAAATGTGTTTAATCTTAATCGCCCTCTTTACCTTCTGCAAACAGAACAGCAACATGTGAAGTTTGTAGAAGGCTAACGGGAGAAAGGCCTGGGAAGAAAACCACGACATTTCACAAAAGTAGAAAAGGCAAATTCCCTTCCAGTGCAAGGTTGTTGTTTTTTTTAATTTCTTTTTTTTTTAAGAACATCATCTTACATTTCAATGGAAATATGCCTTACAAATGGCAGACATCCAAACAATCCATGGGTATGAAAAAAATCAAATATGAACCTTTATAAAGATCCCTTCCCCCCACCCTCTCTAAAATTAAACGCTCTCTCAAATCGTCTTGCTTCCCTAGTAGCGTGCTTGGTGTCAGAAGCCCCAAATAATCACAAATACTTTTTTTAAAAAGTGGGGGGGGGAAGTGAAAGGGAAGGTGAGAAAGAACCAGCTGTTTCCAAAGGGAGATTAAAGGGGATTAAAGGGGGATTAAAAGACACATACGATTATCCATGTCTGGTCAGGATTCATAGGAAGGCAAATGGGATGGGATGAGAACTATGGAAATATGATCCACAGATAAATAAATAAAAGTTTACTGCGCATTAATTATTTCAAACCGTTCCTCCAATCAGTGCTAATTCATTTTCTCTCCCCCCCTCTTATCTCTCTCTCCCTTTCCCTATCTCCCTAACTTCTCTCTCCCTCTCCCTCCCTCTCTCCCTCTTTAATATCTCTCCCTCCCTTTCTCCCTCTCTCCCTAACTTCTCTCCCTCTCCAATTTCTCTTTCTCTCCCTCCCTTTCTATCTCCCTCTCTCCCTAACTTCTCTCTCTCCCTCCCCAATTTTTCTCTCCCTCCCTTTCTCTCTCCCTCTCCCAACATCTCTCCCTCCCAATCTCCCTCCTTCTCTCAAACTTTTCTCTCTCCCTCCCTGTCTATCCCTCTCTCCCTCTCTAGTTTATCTCCCTCCCTCCCTCTCTCTCTCTCTCTCTCTTTCATTCTTTTATTAAATCCATGTGTTTTTGCACATTTTTTTTCTACTCTGCAGTTGTCAAGGGTGGGTATTTGTTTGCTTTAGAGAATACAAAAATGAAAGTGCAGTTTTTTAAAAGGACAGCCGAGTTGTACTCCCAGCAGCGCCTCTGACATGACACTGCACATTGGTAAACAAATTAGATTTCTTTCCATTACAGTCTAACACTTCCAACAAATGAAAAACAGCACAGGGGGGTGTCTTGTCGTTGGGTTGAATCACAGAGACAAAAACAAAACAGATCAGGCAATTTATGTTTGCAGTCCTGAGAGTTGGAGGAGGGGTGTGTGTGACAATCGTGCTCCCTTCCGGATCAGATTTAATAACAGGATATTCATAACAGCTGGGGAATCCTGGGAGTTGAAGTCTGCAAGTCTTAAAAGTTGACAAGGTTGGAAACCCCTGATTCACAGGAAGCTACAGGTAGTTCTCAACTTACAACCGTTCGTTTAGCGACTGTTCAAAGTTATAGCAGCACTGAAAAAAGAAACATATGGCTGGTCCTTGCACTTACGACTGGGGTCATCTGATCAAAATTCATCCCTGGGGTCACCTGATCAAAATTCAGAGGCTTGGCAACTGGCATGTACCTGTGACGGTTGTGGCATTCCGGGGAATCATGCAATCCCCATTTGCAACCTTCCTGACAGCTTCTGACCAGCAACATCAATGGAGGGAAGCAGGGCTCCATGTGATTCTCTTAACGACGTGATAAAAAAGGTTGTAAAATCGAGCACGGCCGATTGAACCACTGCCTGGCTTAGCAACAGTTAACTGTGATCCTGACTGTAGTCATAAGCCTGCGTGTAGAAGTAGGGGGATCATTGCAATAACACAGCTACAGTGGAGGAGGAGTGAAGTAATATGGCTTTAACAACAGTTCCCCCGCAACTGACCACAGGTCTTCGCCAGGTTTATCAAGAAAAGTTCTGGTTGCTGACCGTTGGATATAACTCTAAGCAAGTCCTTCTAGATTCATTGTCCTTTAAAAGATGAACTTTTAAAGGAGGGATAAAAGATTAGGGGGAAAGCCAACCTAAAATGAAATAAAGGTAACAAGTGAACCATCCCTTTAAGGATCTATGGACTCACAAAATCTACAGAAAGGGGCATTTTATGTTTGTCAGTTGCTATGAGATTCAGCTAGTAATCCACTCCCTCCAAAATTAGATCCTCTCCACGTCTGTGAATGTTATTTCCCAGAATTCCCCTGCCCATGTGGCCATCGCAGGAACCTCACTGGCCAGGGCTACCTGTGGAACAGGACTTCTTCTGGCCACACTTTGAGGAGCAGGCCAAAATGTCTTTGTTCTAATCCTGGCTTAAGCCTTTTAGAACATTATAAATCACCAGAGCTGGGTCCTGCATACCGGATGTGGCAATTCAGCCATTTTTAGAAGATCTCAAACTTGTGGCAATTCCCCATCCGTTCCCAGAGGACTTTTGTGGACATCCCTGGAGAACCACACCCTAGGGGTGAAACTGTACATTGTGCATTGGGGGAGGGGCAGCTTACTAAGCAGGGTTTAAAAAATAAAATCATAATTAATATGATTACACTATGAGGGAAATGGAGAGGGATCTCAGAGCATCAAAGATTGTCTTAATAAAAACAGGGCACTTGGACAGCAAATGCCCATGGCTATAAATCAAGCAGACGTTCTTCACAGCTCTCCACGGGCCACTTGGTGGCACCGCCAAACACATCCACGTTATTGTCGACCCACGGAATGATGTTGCCGGGCATGTTGATGGAACAATTCGCAATCTTCATAATATCATCCGGCTTTAAGACTCTGTCCCAGATGTTGAACTGGCTCATTTCTCCAACGAAAGCTTGGGTGGCGTCAAACCTGCCTCCAACGGTGTCCTTCAAGACAAATGAAAAGAAGCCCTCGATTAAGACCCAGCAAATGTTTTTGCTTAAAAGAAGATGAGTTACATCCTGAAAGAGACAACTTCTCCAACTTTCGGGTATCTAAAAGGGGGGGAAAAAACACCTCCAAATCTGAGAAGATCGTCAAATCTCACGGGGTTTTGGAAATGTGACTTTGAAGTCAGTCTGAGTGTCACTAGATGCAATCTTGCGTGATGGAAACTTCCATAATCAAATTCATCCTCTTTCTCTTCCAGCCCTCTCTTTGCTGAAGTCTCAGCCTTGTAACCTTCTCTTTGGACATTGTCTTCTCCTTCAAAGAGAAGATCACTCTGGCATTTCTGATCCCCAGCTTGTTCAATCACAACAGCATCTAAATCAGTGTGTAATTGGTAGTTCATATACCAATAAAAGAGAATACTGTACTTGTAGCTTAGGGATGAACAGTGGAGTGCTTGGTGCTCTCTGAGCTTGGTGGTTTTCTTGCAAATGTTTCATTACACAACTAGGTAACACTGGCAGTGCTAGAAGAGAATGGTGTTTGTGGAGGAGGAGGAGGAGGAGGAGGAGGAGAAGAAAGAGCAGGAGGAGGAGGACTGTGGGGTCCTTGGTGCTCTCTGAGCTTGGCTGTGTTTCTTGCAGATGTTTCATTACCCAACCAGATAACATCATCACTGCTAGAAAGGAATGAATTTGGCTCTCTGTTTATTATCTCTTCTAACACTGATGAGGTTGCCTAGTTGGGCAATGAGACATCTGCAAGAAGACAACCAAGTTCAGAGAGCACCAAGGATCCTGCATATCATATTATTGCTTACGTAAATTATAAATGAAAAAAAAAATAAAGGAGAGGCAGCTGAAGAAACTGGGCAAGGACAAGCTGTGGTTCTCTTCGGTGTTGGTCATCCAACACATTTTCTGTCTACATTTTTGCATCAGATTCCGCTGCAGATCTCAGGATTTAATTACCAAGCCCCTCCCAAAGCGGAACCCACCCCAAATGATCCACTGAGGCTCACCTGTTCCTGCCCAAGGATCAAAACCCCTCCAGGTTTAATAGGATGCCAAGGGGCTAAATTTTCTCCAGTACCCAATTTCTCTCCGTCCTGAAAAGCCTCCCACATCCCGTCTCTGGTGGTCCAGGTGATGCAAATGTGGTGCCATTTTCCATCGCTGACGAAGAGGGGAAGCTGAGCGACCTTGTCCAAAAAAATAAAAAAAAAATCAAAGCAATCATTGTGACTTTTTATTGTTATTATTATTTTGCTGGGGAGACTTTGCACACCTTTAAAAGGAGAGGCTCGGCATCCTGGACCTGGACCTCGCTGAAATCCTGGGCACCAGGAAGGTGCGCTGTTGCAATTTCAGAGTGAGTGAGGCCTCTGTCACTTAGCAACTCACCTCCCAACTCTCCCAGGGATTCATTGTTTGCGAGACTCTCACCACACCGTGTTATTTTTTTTCTCTCGCTTCCGTCTCACGACAACTTTTGCCTCCTGACAAATGTTTCGTTTTCAACAAAGCAACATGCTGCCCGAGTCGACGGTTCGGTTGAAATTATTCAGCTTTGATGTATCGCGCCAACAGAAGCCGGGTGAATGAACGTAAAAAGTAAAAGTCAAAGTAAAGGTTTCCCCTGCATGGTAGTGTCCAATTCTAAGGCCTGGTGCTCATGTCCGTTTGTTGGCCGAGAGAGCCAGTGTTGCCCGAAGACAATTTCCATGGTCATGTGGCCAGCTGGCTGTATGCCAAAGATACACGGAACACCGTTACTTCTCACTGAAGTGGTATTTATTTATCTACTCGCATTTGCATTCTTTCGAGCTGCTAGGAGTTGGGGCAAGGAACGGGAACTCACTCTCTTGCGCAGAGCTCGGGTCTCGAACTTGAGCTGTCCCAGCTTTCCAGCTGACAAGCTCACCATCTTTAACCACTCCACCATCACGCCCTCTTGGATGAATGGAGCTACAGTGCAATTGTGGCTTTACCACAATTAATCTTTGGACAAGTGAGGTGGGGGGGTGTCTGAACTGATGTCTTTCCAATCAAGCCATCAAGGAGTTGGGTCAAGCATTATCTAGAAGACCCATCCGTCCCAAATCAGAGAGAAGAGGGAATAACCTTGAGGGACAGAAGGAAGGCCTACAACCCAGACAATGGTCTGAGAAAAGAGGTCTGAGTCTAGGGCAGGAATGGAACCTGAGTAAACGTGAAGATAAGACCCTCCTTAGTTCTTACGAAGGTCAAAGAGGGGACGTGCATTCAGACCCGCAAGATTCCATGACTATTACAATAAATTTGGTACAGCAATCAAACAGAACAGGTTCAGACTCTGACGGATAGTTAAAACTACAGAAAGAACAATTGCAACCAACTTGCTTTCCATAGAGGGCAGAAGAAGGGCTGAGAAAATATCTACAGACCCCTTACATCCTGGACATAAACTATTTCAACTCCTGGGATGGCACTATAGGGTATTGCATGCCAAAACAACTAGACACTGGGACAGTTGTTTCCCTTATGCCATCACTCTGCTGAGTACATAATTCTCATGGTGCTGTCTGATGTCTATGTATTTTTACCCATGGCTATAGCATTATTATTTATCCTTCTTATTGTCTTCTTTACTCCCCCCTCTTATTGGTGTTATTATTATGATGATTATCATTATTCTGCTTTGCAGGTACACTGAGTGCTTCTGTGCTAGAGAGAAATTCCTTGGCCAAATAAAGTAGTGTTTTGCCCTACCTTGTCATTGATCAGGAGTTCAATGGGGTTGTTCCCCCATTCGATCAACACTACTTCGTTGGTTTGCCCTGGGACGGCGTAAGAGAAAGGTGTCCCAATTCCGGGGGAGGCGCCAGATTTCAGCCATAAGCAGACGGTGAAGGCGTAGAGTTCGGGAAGCGTCTTCTTGATCTTCCCGTACAAGTAGTTGGTGCGGAGAGGGAGGGAGACCTTAAATTCATCCGGTGCTTTAAAGGCACTGGTACCTAAGGACCAGAAACAACAATTATCTGCACAGGACACGGGATTGTCCTTAATCAGGAGATCTGGGGTCCACTGATAACGGTCAGATAAGAGGGAAAATGTAGCTGGTTCTTTGGCTGCTAAAATGCACTGATGATGTTACCTGGTTTGCTAAGGAAACATCGGCAAAATTAATAATAATAATAATAATAATAAGTTGGAAGGGACCTTTGAGGTCATCAAGTCCAACCCCCTACTCAGGCAGGAAACCCTATATCATTTCGGACAAATGGCTGTTTTGTCTCTTCTTAAAAACCTCCAGTGTTGGAGCATTCACTGCTTCTGGAGGCAGGTTGTTCCACTGGTTAATTGTTCTGACTGTCAGGAACTTTCTCCTTAGTTCTAGGTTGCTTCTCTCCTTGATTAGTTTCCATCCGTTGCTTCTTGTCCTGCCTTCAGGCGCTTTGGAGAATAGCTTGACTGCCTCTTCTTTGGGGCAGCCCCTGAGATATTGGAAAACTGCTATCATGTCCCCCCTCGTCCTTCTCTTCACTAAACTAGACATACCCAATTCCAGCAACCGCTCCTTATATGTTTTAGCCTCCAGTCCCCTGATCATCTTTGTTGCTCCCCCAAGCTCAGAAAGCGCCCAGGACTTCTATGTCAGAGAAAAAAAATTAAACGCTGTAAATCCACGTCATCCCATAGAAATCACATAAAGGAATGCAAATCCCTAAGCTAGCAAAGAATCTAGGTCAGAATTCACTCTTTGACAAGCCAATATCTCTCAGTCCCGTCTCTGCTCACCCCGCTCCCAACTTCAAGCAGGAGAGCATAATAACAGGGTTGGGAGGATGACAGATCTGCTAGACAAAAGGGCTTTGAACACGCAAGTGCTGTACAGAAGTGACTTACTACTGTTAGGATATGTAGGAGCCTTTAGCTGCAAGATGTAAGCATCAAAGGGAGGTGAGCCATACTCTGTAACTCAAATGTGACCTTTCCAGACCCAGCTTCTTTCCGGATTGTGTTTCGGGCTACGTGAATGTCTTGAGGGTATGATTTTTTTAAAAAAAAATTAAGGATAGCGGCTCCAGAAGGACTACTGAAGCTTTGCCCCTTTTTGTATGCAACTGCGCAAAAAAAAAAAAAAAGTGATATTTCAGACATATCAGCACAGCCTCTATTTTGATTTTTTTCCCATCTGTATCTTGTGGACACCCTTGTTTGTGTAGGGGTGGGAGTGTCTGTGTGCATGTGTGTTTGTGTGTATGTGTGTGTGTTCTAAAATAATTCCCCATATTTAAGGGGAAAGGTGGAAAATCTGGCTTTTGCTCACTCCACTAAAGTCATCAGTACCATAAACCAGATAAATGATAGATGATAGATGATAGATAGATAGATAGATAGATAGATAGATAGATAGATAGATAGATAGACAGACAGACAGACAGACAGACAGACAGATAGAGGTAGATAGAGATAGATAGATAGATAGATAGATAGATAGATAGATAGATAGATAGATAGATAGATAGATAGAGTTGATTGTTAGATTACAGAGAGAAATTAGGTAGGTAGGTAAGTAGATACATAGGTAAGAAGAGAGAAAGAGATGATAGATAGATAGATAGATAGATAGATAGATAGATAGATAGATAGATAGATAGATAGATAGATAGATAGATAGATAGATAGACAGACGAGAGAGAGAGAGAGACAGACAGACAGACAGACAGACAGACAGACAGATAGAGGTAGATAAAGATAGATAGATAGATAGATAGATAGATAGATAGATAGATAGAGTTGATTGTTAGATTACAGAGAGAAATTAGGTAGGTAGGTAAGTAGATACATAGGTAAGAAGAGAGAAAGAGATGATAGATAGATAGATAGATAGATAGATAGATAGATAGATAGATAGATAGACAGACGAGAGAGAGAGAGAGAGAGAGAGAGACAGACAGACAGACAGACAGACAGACAGACCAACCAATATTAAAGATGCTCCACTGGTCTCACAGGAGACAAATAGAAAACCATCCACAAAGTTCAACGATGTTGCCTTTTCGGGAGGCAAGTCAACATATCAGTTGCGCCGAGTGCCCAATGGGCGAAGTTTCTAAGGTGCTTCTCCCACAAGGCATTCTGGAGAAGAAGACACAGAGTCCAGCCAGCTTACCTCGTTCCAATTCAGACACCCTTTCTAGGAGAGCGTTCAGGGCTGCCTCCGTCCTCTGCCGGTGGCTGGAGGTTTCGTTATGAAGCAACCATTTCTGATTCTCCAGCTCCGACACTTTGCTTAGCAGCTGGCGCTCCAGTTCTCCGAGCCGCCCCTGAAGCATCTCTCTAAGGTCATTGGGCAAGGCTCCAACGGTCACATTGCCTCGAAGCTGGTGCTTTGGAAGGAGGGGGGAAATAGAGGGTGGGGGAAATCATACATCACCAGAAATGAAAACCAGCTTCATTTGTTTAACTAAGTAGCAACTTAATGTTCTCTCTTGAGGGTGTGGGATGTGTAAAATGGCAAATATACCAATGCAGGTCTTGCAAATATAGATCGTAGAGTAACAGAGTTGGACCTTGGAGATCTTCTAGTCCTGGCTGAGGAATTCTGGGAGTTGAAGTTGAAGTCCACAAGTCATAAAAGGGCCAAGTTTGAAGACCCCTGATCTATACCATTTCAGACAAATGGCTGTCCAATCTCTTCTACTCTCACTACTTAGATCTCTATCACTAGTCTTCAGAAGGCTAGTAGCCAGTTTAGATGTTCCTGCTATCTTTCAAACTTAACTTTGTCGGTTTTTGTATGGATATTTTGGTTCTTGTTTGTAAACGGCTCAGAGTCACCTGGGGAGTGAGATAGGTAGTGGATACATTTTATTCATGAATAAAATTTTGTGTCCCCACTAACCCCACCTAAAGGCAAGATATATGGACACTTAGATTAGTGATGGTGAACCTTTTGGAGACCGAGTGCCCAAACTGCAACCCAAAACCCACTTATGCATCGTCGGGTGCCGGGTGGGTGTGGCCCATTGGCTGAGTGTGGCCAATTGGGTGGGTGTAGCCCATTGGGTGGGCGTGGCTGCGGTGGTACTAAAAAGTTCAATCAATCAATTCCAATTTTGCAAGATCTTTCCCCCCCCCCCCGCAAGAAGCTGAAATTGATTGATCCTTTTTTTTTTTTTTTTTGCACACGGCGGTGGAGGCCTAAAGCAAAAAGGTTTTATAAAACCCAGCTGAAGGCCTAGGACTGGGGCGACGGCGCAGGTGCCCACAGAGAGGGCTCTGAGTGCCGCCTCTGGCACCCGTGCCATAGGTTCGCCACCACTGACTTAAATGAATGGACATAGGTCATGCAGCCACAATAAAGTCATCCAGACACAATAGATTCTGTATCAGCTTGGTCTTAAGGACTCTCTAATCTTGGACTTCAAGCAGTTGCAAAATTGGAATGGAATAACCAAAGCTTCTGACCTTTTTTGGGGGGGGGAAGACCAGTAGGTCTTTGTTTATGAGTCAAACATTTTACTCGTTATCTAGCTGTCCAAGAGATTAAGATACTCAAAAAGTTCAGTAAGGCAAGACAATTTCCAAACCACAATGCAGGTGACCGAGATGTTAGCTTTGGGGAAAGAAAATTGCCATGTATAATAGTAATAATAATAACAACAACAACAACTTTATTGTCATTGTATGTGTATACACAGTGTACACATACAACGAAATTTACTTGACACCCAAAGACCAGGTCCCACAAACATAATCCCCAAACACACTCCCACCCACCACAATTCCCCACCCCTAAGACCACCCAAACATCCACACAACAGACCAAGTAATTCTGTCCAACAGTTCACTGATGGTGGCCCTTTAGTTCATTGCTGAATGCAATTATAGCTCTGGGATAAAAACTATTCAGAAAACGTGCGGTCCGAGTTTTAATTATTCTGCATCTTCTGCCAGAAGGCAACAATACAAAAAGATTGTATACAGACCTGCCCATTAACAGTTGGTGTTTTATCACGATGAGATTTCCCCATGCCATAGGGATGGTGCTTCAAAGAACGGTAAGAGGCAATTTTATTGACTGAATGTCACACTGATTACAAAGAGCTTTCAGCTCTCTCCTTCCAAAACACTGGCTAGGAAAGCAACCTCAGATATTCATTAGTGAGTGTTGGAATCTCAACACTCCTTTATTCAAGGTTGAAGGGGAAAGTAGGAGAGGAGGCTGAATTCGAAAGTACAGTTCAATATTTGAAATGATCAAAGAACTGAAGACCTTTCTGCCTGAGGGAGTAAAATTGTCCAAGAAATAATTCCTGAAATTCTTTTAATGCTTGGAGGTTTCTCTAAAGATGGTTAGTTATTAGAGCGTTGACTTCAGCGGGCAAAAAGCAATGGGGGAAAAAGAAAAGAGGTGGTGGGAGAAGGGGGGAATAATAAACATTCTACCCTCTCCCAGGGGTTGTCTGCCCATTGTGTATTTGATAGTTAAGCTCTGCTGAGCTTTTAGCAAAATAAATTGAAAATGCTATTTGCACTTACATGAAAGAAAAAGAACAAAAAATGCAGCCTATTAAATTCAAATGGAAGGAAGGAAGTTATATGCATTCAAGGAAGGAAGGAAGGAAGGAAGGAAGGAAGGAAGGAAGGAAGGAAGGAAGGAAGGAAGGAAGGAAGGAAGGAAGGCAAGCAATGGACAGGAAAATGAAAATGAACAAATCTTAATCCACTGAAATGAAAACACAATGTCTCCTTCTTCCTAATTTTCATTGAAAAAAATGCCTTTGTTAATGAGATAGACATAATTTTTTACAGATTGTATGCACTGCAATCTATTTTCACAAGGCCACTCGTTTAACCAGAAGTACAATCGGTTTATTTCTTTGCTTTGTGGGTGATCAGTCTTCATTTTCTCTAGCCCTCTGTGTTTTCCAGGTTCGTCTGGTTTCTGTCCCTAGTGTAATTGTTAAAAATGCTTCATTGCAGAGATTTTGAAGATCGTGACTTATTTAAAGCCTTTATTTTCTTAGAAAATAAAGGCAGCCCTGAGACTGAGAGTTTCTGAGAAGTGAAGCTTGTTTGGGGAACTATCCCACTGGACAATCACTAATTACCCTCTTGATAATAACCCGCATGTATATTTAGCTAGTGACAATATTCCAGTATGCATCTTCTCTTAGGCGACAACAAAGATTCCAGCCCACAAGTTAAAAACGATGAATGAGCATGCAAAGAGGAGAGATGGAGGTCGACAGGAAAAGGTCTCCGAAAGGGAAGTGAACGTTGAATGGATCCACAAACTAATCCAGAAATGTGGAGTAGAAATAAAGACAGTCTTTAGCTATGTTGCTACAGCTAGGTTGAAGCTTCACACAAAGAGAATTTTTAAGTCCTTTTCAGTGGGTTAATATCAATCAATCAATCAGTCAATCAATCTGTTTCTAAACAATCCTAAAATCAATCAACTAATTCATCCCATTTGCTAAATAGGTAGCTGTAGATAACTCTCTCTCTCAGCCCAGCCCACCTCACAGGGTGGCTGTTCTTGTGGGGAAAACAGGACTAGGAAGCAGTATTAGATGTGTTCACCAGTGTGAGTCATTTATTAAATTTATAAATACTATATGCACATATGATACGCCATGGCACAGTATATGCATAACTGTATATAGAGCTATCTCTAATATATGACAGATTTATAATATTTAGAGGTCAAAATAGGAAATTCCATTCTCCTTTTGACCATGGAAACGGGTTCCCACCATCTTAATCGGCCACTGGTTTCAAGAGACTTGGGAAAGGGCAGCAGGTAGGGGAAAGCTAGTTTCGGTCACCTTGTTCACTGGGAGTTATGGAGTCAGAGTTTTGGATTCAGATCAAGCAAGCCCGGGATCGGATTTTAGTCCCACTTCTGATTCAGGGAGCTTGAGATCAGCCTCTACATCTCCATGCAAGAGGCCACAGAGGTTAACTTAGTTGCCCAGAGTAAGAAAAAGAAAAGCCGAATGAAAGCCGAATGGTGCCACTTTTCTTAAAGAGAAGGCCATCTCGGTGTCTCTCCCATCAGACAATCGTTGGAAGGATTCAGTCTGGTCTTAAAAGTGTTTCCTACCCTGCCAGCATTTTTTTTTTTTTTTTTTTTTACTTCTCCCGCAATTTGTTTTCTGCAGCTTAGACTTAAGACAAAACCCTTCCCAAAGTCACCTTTAAGAGCAAAGGTGCAAGGACAGAAATCCGCCCTGGTTTTCAAGAGCTTTCCCGCCCCACCTCTCGCCCCCCCAAGTCCATTCCCAAAAGGTTTCTCGCCCCTCCGATGGGGGGTGCCTTTCAGCATCGTGGACAGCCACAGAGCGTTTCAGCACCATGGACAGCCACGGCGTTTCTCCTTTCCCGCCGGGTCCAACGTGCTCATTCCTACTTCAAACCCGAGTTTGGAGACATTCCTACAAGCAACCCGCCCCGACTCGCTTCGGGCTCTTATCCCGCGCTGCTCTCCCCCTCCCGCGTCCAGCCGACCTCTTTTCCTCCTCCTCCTCCTCCTCCTCCGTCCTCACCTCCAGATTCTCCAAACGATCCTTGAGGGCTTGCATGGTGCGGGTGAGCTGGTCGACGATCTTGCCGGGGTCGCGCGGCAAGTCCCCCATGGTGTCCTTGCTCTTCCCCGACTCTTTCCTCCACGTGCCGCCTTTGCCGTCGGAACTCTCGCACCGGCCCAGCTTGCCGCTCAGCTCGCGGATGGTCTCCCGCTGGTTCCCGATGGTCTCCTTCTGCTGCAAGATGGTTTCCCGCAGCTGCAGCAGGGTGGCCTTCAGCTCCTCCTCGGGGGGCAGCCCGCCCCCTGCCAGGGCCCCCGAGGGCAGCGGGCAACCCGGGTTGGCGGCGTCGAGCGGGAGCGAGGTGCACACGAAGCGGCTGCCCGCTGGGGTGTCTTGCGCGCCCGCCGGCGCCCCCCAAGCCGAGAAGACGAGGCCGGCCAAGATGGGCAGCAGCATAGCGGCCAGACGCGGGGACCGATCTATTGCATGGAGGAGGCGAACGTGTGAACGGGCGCGAGCGAGAGGAGAGTCCCGTGTCAGCTCACTTTTTCTGCAGAGAAAGCCCGAGGGGGACGTGAGGATGAGCCTGGAGTTGGCCTGACGCGCAACAGCTGCGGGAGCTACCCGTTCTGGCGCCGAAGCATCCGAGCCAACTCCGCGCTCCGCGCACCCTTAAAATGCCCAGCCGCCGCGGGCAGGGCGGGGGCGCGATGAAGAGGGGGAGGCAGCTGGTTGGCTGAGCGCCCACCGCAAGCCACGCCCCCTCGGCCCGGGACTAGGAAACCTGGAGAGGCGGTGACGGCGGGAAGGCTTCTGATTGGCGGAGATCTGGAAGGTGGGTCCGAATCTGGAAAAGAGTTGGCGTTCGTTCATTCATTCATTTACTGATCGGGAAGTGCAAAAATCCAGACGGCCGCTAAGGGGCAGGGACGGGATACTTTGGGGACTCTTTAGCCGTCCATCTGTTGGTCGTCCGAGGTTTTTGGCGTTTTGTGGTGGGAAATAACTGGAAATTGCACTAAAAGCACAAAGCGCACAGATTACAGTTTAGCACAATAAGTGAACCGGTCTTAAATGAGTGAATTGTGTCAACACTTCCTCCACCCAAAATGTTTAGTGTACAGAAAAGGCTTATTATTCCAACACAGTGTCAGAAATCAACCAGACGTTCTCTGCCTTCTTTTTGTAACTATAATGATACGGTTGCTTAACAATAATGCCGTCTATTTTGGACTTGACAGCAAATCCACTCAAAGAAAGTACGTAGGATGGTTAAAAACAAAACCTAAATCCTAAGCAAACCAGAAGTAAACACCGGAAATCAGCAAAAAAAAAAAAAGTCACAAACAGCTATAAAATCAGCCAGTTAACAAGTGCCCAAAATGCATTCATGTGACCACGGAGGGGAGGGGAAGACGTCATAACTTCGATAACAGGTTGTAAATAGTTCTGGGGAGGATCATGATAGCTTTGGACAATTAAGTGACAAGTTGTAAGTCGAGGATGATAGATAGATAGATAGATAGATAGATAGATAGATAGATAGATAGATAGATAGATAGATAGATAGACAGATGATAAATGATAGATATGATAGATGATAGATGATAAATAAATGATAGATGGTAGATATGATAGATGATAAACCAGTGATGGCGAACCTTTTAGAGACCAAGTGCCCAAACTGCAACCCAAAACCCACTTATGTATCATCGGGTGCCGGGTGGCCATGGCCCATTGAGTGGGCATGGCCCATTGGGTGGGCGTGGCCCATTGGGTGGGCATGGCTGCGGTGGTAACGGCAGACTGGGTGGGACTAAAAAGTTCAATCAATCAATTCCAACTTTGCGAGATCTTTTTTTTCTCCGCGAGAAGTTAAAATTGATTGATTGAACCTTTTTTTTTTTTTTTTTGCATAAAGCGGCGGAGGCCGAAAGCGAAAAAGTTTTATAAAACCCAGTTGAAGGCCTAGGGCTGGGGCAATGGCGCACATGCCCATGTGTGCCATAGGTTTGCCACCACGGTGATAAATGATGATAAATGATAGATATGATAGATGATAGATAGATATTAGAAGATAAATGATAGCTATGATAGATGATAGATAAATGATAGATATGATATCTGATAGATAGATAATAGATAGATAAACAATAGATATGATAGATAAATGATAGATGATAGATATGATAGATAAATGATAGATATGATAGATGATAAATAGACAGACAGTAGATGATATAGATGATAAATGATTGATGATATGATACATGATAAAATGATAAATCATAATAAATGATATATATGATAGATGATAAATAGATAATAGATGATAGATAAATGATGATAGATGATAGATGAAAGAGATAGACAGACAATTTGATGCTAGTTACAACAAGGGAAATAAATCAAAAGCATCATCTTTCTCAAGGAACTACAGAAAAAACAGACCATTTCAGACCCATACAATGCTTAAAAGGCATTTTAGAATATTGCTAAAGCTGGAAGAAAGCTATTGGGATGTGCCTCATCTATGAGAAGCAAAGCCAATCTAAGAAAAGGCCATCAAGGGAACTCCATGGAGAGAAGTCATGGTCCTAAATGAAATACTGCCTTTTCATTCTTTCTAAATGTACCCTTCTCTTTGCAGTCCTGCTCTCATTAACTTACAGTTCCACCCTAGCAACCTGCTGGACCACACCTGCCTCCAATCACAGGTATATTCTAATTTGCATAACTCTATAATTGAAGGTGTGTGTGTGTGTGTGTGTGTGTGTGTGTGAGAGAGAGAGAGAGAGAGAGAGAGAGAGAGAGAGAGAGAGAGAGAGAGAGAGAGAGAGAGAGAAGGGGGGGAGAGAGAGAGAGATTGTTGCTGCAATTGTGGGGCTGAGATTTGGCTTCGGTTAACCCACCCTGCCCTCTGGCGGCTAAAGAGTCAGATTTGCACTCGTTTCTCATGTTTACATCCATGCACCTTGTTAAGAGGGAGGGGAAAGTTCTGACTATTTCATTGTTCACCTCTGGGCCGTTTTTCAGCAAGGGTGTAGAAATGGATCGCCGTGCCTTTCTTCCCTTCTATCCCTCACTGGGGGGTCTTCTGGGTCCCCTCTAACCTTCAGACTCTTTTTCTTTTCTTTCTGCAAACTTGGAGGGCTTCCCCCAAGCTGTCTCCCCCCCCCCGACTCTGGCACCTCCTTCGTGGGCATGGATGACGATGCTGTGATGACAACGTAAGAGTTTTGCTAGTAATGGCGTTCCATTGCTTGGATTTTGCTCTTCAATCATTGTGTCATGGTTCTGACTAATGAAACACTTCAAAGAACTTCCAGGCAAGGTTTACCCTAAAAGCCTTTATTATCAGTGTAACCGATTGACGGCACTTCATGTATATATACATTTTCCAAAAATCTTATACATCTGTTTCCCGAGACAAAACTTAAGAAACTATGATGTCACAGCATCCAATTAATCAGAACTGTATTCCAAGATGCAGTCTTGCTTTCTTTCCTTTCTCTCTCTCTGTCTTTCCGTTTCTTTTTCTCTTTCGTTTTTTTCTTTTCTTCCTTTCCTCTTTCCTCTTTTCTTTTTTCTTTCTCTCTGAACCTTTTTCTCTTTAATTCCTTTTTTCTTTTCATTTCCCCTTGCTCTCTCTCTCTCTCTCCCTTCCTTCCTTTCTCTCTCTCTTTCTTTCTTTTTTTCTACGCCTTCAACATATTCTTTTTTTGCTGCGCGTCTGTCTCTTTTCAGGGGCTCATAAAATGCATTTGGTCCTAAGACCAGTAAACTGAATTATCTTTGTTTTGCTCCAGTCTGTATTGATGACTGCAGTACCCTCCCTATTCAATAGAGATGACAATGTATAATATTCCCATTTAGAACTTTCCTGTTGAGCTCTGCAGGGTTGTGATTTATATTAAAGACGGGGGGGGGGGGAATATCAGATGTTTTATGGGGAATGGAGAGAGCTAAACACCACACCATGAGATCAAATTCAGTTCACCCAGCTATTGAATACCCGCGTATAGTACGTGCAGAAGAGGATTATGAGAACAAAGTTGTTAAGTATTAAAGCAGTGTGTCTTTTGCCTTGACAGGTAAAGTCAATACAATTGTAGAGGCCTGTAATGTAGGCAATATAAGTAATGCCACACTCACTTTGAGACACCAAGCACAAGACAAATTGAATTGGCGATCCCCTTCACGCCTTCAGTATGATGCATGTTTCAATCTGACACCACTCAAAAGACAAAAAATACCATGACTATTAAGCTACAGGGGGCGTTTTAACATTTAAGAGCAAATTTACAGCTTAATATACAGCTTATTTATTGAATTAGGGGGGGTGGAAATTCTAAAAAACAAACAGAAATCAGTCCAGCTCCTCACTAATTAGTCAAGCAGCTGCTTCAATGGAGAAAGAATAAAATAGTTCCACATAACTGATTTGTGCAAGTTGGTGATATATTTCCTATATAGAGAGAGGGGGGGAGAGGGAGAAAGAGAGGGAGAAGGAGAGGAGAGGGAGAGAGAGAAGGAGAGAGAAGGAGAGGGAGAAAGAGGAGAGGGAGAGGGAGAGAGAAGGAGAGAGAGATGGAAAGAAGAAAAGGGAGAGAAAGAAGGAGAGGAGAGGGAGAGAGAAGGGAGAAAGAGGAGAGGGAGAGAGAAGGAGAGGGAGAAGGAGGAAAGGGAGAGAGAGGAGAGGGAGAAGAAGGAGAGGGAGAGAGAGAGAAAAGGAGAGGGAAAGGGAGAGAGAAGAAGGAGAGGGAGATGGGAAGAAGAAAGAGAACTAATCCAAGAGAAAGTACTTTATCACTGCAGTCAACAGGATTGAAAAACCTCTCGTCCCTTAAGGGCGGCCTGGCGCTCTTACGATTTTGTTTCAGCCCACAGGACGGATTGTTAATTTTTAATTGCGCCTTGACAATTTCATGCCCGTTCAAAGCGGCATTTGTATTCTTGCGGGATCCTTTGCAGCCCTTGATGGACCTTCTTGAGAAATGCCTAACCCTGGAAACGAGCGGGAAAGACCAAGTCCCTCGGGCATCCTTTATATAGCTCATATGCTGGTCGTAGGCTGCAAAGCTTCAGCTGCTCATCGTGAATTCAAGGGGATGCGGCTGTCGCCTTTTGGAGGAAGCGAGCTTGTGGAATTGCCGCTTGCTATTCCCAAAGTCACCCGGTGGGCTTTCAGGCCTAAGGAGGGACTAGAACTCCCTGTCTGAATGGAGACGCTCGTTTTCATGCGTTAAGATCACCCAACATGCCAGGATAATAGAAGACCTTTGGCTCCTTCTAACGACACATAATGCTGCAGCTAATCGATGTTCTTGTATGCATTTCTTATTTTCTGGGGAGCGTTGCCATAACCTTGAACCCTGCCTTCAGCTTTTCTTCTGCCCTTCTTTCACAGAAATGGGTAACTGAAGAACATAATAATAACATCGTGCAGGCGATGGATCAAAAAGGCCAAACCATTAGGGACCTGGTCAGGACGCTAAGTTTCCTCTTGAGCTCTGAGTAGCATGCGAAGAAAAACGAAACGTAATAGATCTCCAAGGATACTTGATGGGCCCAGAAAGCCATTAAATTCAGAGAAATCATTACTTGGTATGTAGTGTGCATTTTGTTAGAAAAAAAACAGAAAAGGGGTAGGGGAGAGGAAGAGAAAAAATGCCGCTTAAGAAGCAAACCTGGATTCAGTTTCTTATATCCAAGAACTACTAGACTTTTAAACTCAAGACACCCCTCTCTCCCCAAAAATGATTTTGTCATGATAAAACTTCAATGTTGCAGTTGGCATATTCTAATTTTTAAAAAAATGTTTTCAAAAAGGTAAGATGCAACTGG